AGCTGCAGGTTCAGGTGCAAAGCTTGGAGCTGGCGCTTGAATAGAAGCTGCAGGTTCAGGTGCAAAGCTTGAAGCTGGCGCTTGAATAGGAGCTGCAGGTTCAGGTGCAAAGCTTGGGGCTGGATCGTGAGGGGCGGCGGTTGGCTGATATGCCACCTCAGATACATCTTCAGAGGTGTCGACCGGAGTCTCAGGCTTAGTAGGAACAGTCTCAGGCTCACTAGGAACAGTCTCAGGAACAGCCTGCTTAGGGTCCGAATGTTGCTGTGGTGGCAGTTGCTCAGGCTGGTGCTCGGCAGGAGGCGAAGGTGCATCCTGGGGATGGTCTGGCTCCGGAGTAATGTATGTGCCCTCAGTGGCCTGTTCCGCTTGTTGATTGCTCACTTGGGTAATAACAATATTGTCACTGTTGATACCGTCATCAATCTCGTTATGGCCTGAGTCAGTGTATGGACCACCATTTTGCTGATTGAAGTTATGCGGGCCACCAATGGCAGAATTCTTCCATGATGATTCGAAATCAGACGTATCAGGACCATTATTTTTAGGATGATCGAAGCCGTTGCCAAAGAAGTCGTGATCATGAGTATCGCCCAGGAAATCCCCGTCTTCACTACTATCACCTAGGAAATCATGGCCGCCATCACTGGCAAGTCCCACATCGCGGGATTGCTTATGTTGGCCAGACAGATGGAGCTCAGCCTGGGCGACAGCAGCCAACAGGGCCAACGGGATTGCTGTGTAGACGCTCTTCATATTCTTGACTTGGCAAATATCGTTGCGGGAACAGAGGGCACGAAGAAGCAAAAAATGAGTGACTGGTCCAACGGAGGGACAAATAAGCAAACAACAAAAACAAAATCTACGAATGACGACTGTAACAACTGATTATCGTCGACGCTATCGCTAATCAAAAAGAAGGAAAGAGACAAAAGACTGCGCAGTTGGGCAGCTTTATCTGCTTTCGCAGACATCGTGGGCGCTTCATCCGAAATATGGAATGCAGCTCAACGCGGACCCATCACAACAAGAATGAGCCATAGAAAGCGCGTAGGAGCGCAGAGAATGCAATGAAGAATGACAGGCATCCAGCTAGACGCAATTTTTGTCCACGTTGTACTTTGAATTGTGGGCAGGCAGTTTTGCGATTCGACGGCACAGTTTTGCGTGCTCTGGAATGACAAGGTCATAACATTCCGCTCGCCGTGCTTTCTCTACGCGCTCAACGTCTCAATTTCATGGGCAATGCAGGCAACCTGAATGCTGTCCATTTGCTTCTAATGTATAAATGGTTGGTGAATGCCGCCTCGCGACATATCTAGTCGCGTGAATTGGATAACATTCAGCAAGCACGGCCTGGCCAGACGCCTCGTGATGACACTCGCGCCTACGACAATGAATGAGCTTTATGTATACGCCGACTACGAAGGGTACTCGCTCGCAATGAACTATGTAAGCCACCCGCAAGCCCTGTCATACTTGTCTCTAACCATGGTTCTTGCATTGGATGTTTCCCGTCATCAGCATTCCCCATCCATCGCCCTCACTGAAGAGGACTCAACGGATGAGAAACTTCCTATCGAGGAATATTAGTCTCCAGAATCACTGACCCAGGAGGGTCATGGCAACACATCGTCGTGGAGAAAGGACTGGACGATGGTCGTGGCTGATTCTGTTAAGCTTTTTTGATTGAAGAAAGAAAAAAAAAAGGAAAGAAAGAAATTTGCGGCCCAGTTGTGCGCGTAGAAATAGAGTGCATCACGTGACGGTCTAGAGGAGCCCGGAGCCATGATTATCCGGATAGTCTGTGCTGGGGCCATCTTTTCTAAACTTAAGTATGTAGTAAGTCACTTACTGGGTAGAGGCAATTTGATGATCGCCGTATTTATGTGAATCAAGCCCATCGTCTCCAATGCACGATGCACAAAATGAAACGCCACAAAGACACGCTTTCCCCGTATTATGCTCGGAAGATGCCAGGCCACTTACTTCTGACAAGTCTTGCGTCGTTTAACCCCCAACAAGAGACAAAAGGCATTTAAAAAGGATTGACGTGGTATATAGCTTAGCCTGTTCTAGTGATATACTTCATCAGGCACTACCTGCCGAGAGTGCCTTTCACATTGGCTGACTTCCACACCCCTCCTCCCACGGCTACCGTGATGCCCATTGCAATGCCAATCATGGCGCCAATAATTATTAGCGCCAACACAAGCTTCACTATCAGACGCTGTCTCCTGGTCAGCGATGACAGGTAATCGCATCTCCTCTTCTTCTCAGCCCAGAGCTTCGAGCATCGCACACGGCCATGAACATCTAGCGAGCGTTTTCGAGGTGTGGACGGGACGCCGCTTTCAAGGTCGTTCGAGCCATATCTTTGTGCGGCTATGGTGGCTTCGTTTTTGAGATATTCGAGTGATGTGTTATTGTCGTCATGAGCATAAAAGGGGGAGCACGGTTTGGCGCCAATATGAGGGTCGAAGTCTGCGGTAGGTTCTGGAAGGAATTGAATTGTCGGTGAACCCGTTATAGGACATGACGGTACTTGAGCTTGCCATCCTTCTTTCTTCGGTTGAGTTGCACTCGATTCGTTGATAACTGTGGCGCCAATGACAGGGCCCGTTGGTAGTTCTGATGGTTGTGACATTGTGTGGGTATGTTCCAGGATGTTTTGAAACTTATTTGAGATATGAAAGAGTGCTTGGTGGTTTTTATTCTATCAGACTGTTTCAACACGGGCTGGTATCATGTGCTTTTGTATGGGACTCGGTCAGCAAGACTTCAAGAAGCAAAAACAGGCTCCTAGGATCCTTTGTAGCCCTTGTCTGGGGAGTTGCCTTCTATGACGACAAGATGCACAAATATAAACAAATCAAACAAGTCGTGCGGAAGTAAATATGACCGGGAGCTCAGTTGCACTCGGACGGGGCGGAAAGCTATTCTTTCTTCTTTCCTTTCCGAAGTATCGGACATTCCAGGTATGTTCAGTGGTCGTTATGCATTTGTCTCCGTACTGAGCAACCAGGAGTTGTACAGCATTCCGATGGCGGTCACCCGGAGAAAAGTAGGAACAAATCAGCGAGGTAAAAGTTTCTTTGAATGTCTATAAACGCCGAAGAAGTGTAAAAATTGGAAATCTGAAAATATATTGAATAAACTACCTTGAAAGAGAAAAAAGACTGGAAACAAACAAACATAAACAAATATAAACGCAGAAAATAGCCCGGGGATGGGCTATGGACGCATGCAGCCCTTCCTTTATGCCCCTAGCCGTGTGTCTGTGCACAGTCAAAGAACCAGAGTGAAACACGCTCCGGCCATGTTTTCATAGTGGTCACCCCTTGAATAAACTTAACTGGGTCTTTCTATTTATATAGATACGCAGAAAACAGTGATACTATGTATCACTCCATAGAACCAGATGATTGCGTACATATCAGAAAACCGGTGGTCGTCCACACTGAATTACAGTCATATTCCGAACGTTGCAGTCCCTTTTTTTTTTCTACAGCTAATACCTACTTTTTTTAAAAGAGACGGTGTTCTACGTATTTATTATAGATCTAAAGCAAATAGTCCCCTTCCTAAAACCAAAACTAGTGCCTTGTCTCCTGGCGCAAAAACAGGAACGGAAACCTTGGGAATGATTCAGCCATGAAGCCCTAATTTCCCAATACGGCAAAGAACAGTAAAGGTTATCTCGCTTACTACGTACTTGATTTTAATCTGCGGTGCTTCTTTGTTTTTCATCCGTCCTTTATACTCTTTTTATTTTTCCTCCAATCACCTGCGTAAATATAGAACAAACGCCGTACGATCGAGGGGAGTGAAACTCTAAAGCGATCACGGGAAGCAAGGGGTTTGTTTCTTAGATAGGAGAAAGGGATACCATGGTATGTGCATACGTTTAGATAAGATAATTGATGATCATTAGTTATACCTTTTGGTGTTGCCTATCTTGTTGATAGAGTGCTTCTTGTCTAATCTCACGTTACTCCGTAGTTCATATAGTAAGTAAGTACGCCTCCCCTACCGTGGTTACAGCAGACAAGATGAACCGTTCAGTAACACAGTAGTTGATGAGGTCTGTCACGTTATTCCGAGGCTTCCAAGGTTCATCCTTGTGACAGGAAAGGTTAGGGATTCAAAGATGAACCCAGCCTGGTGCATTCTTTGCCACATTCCATTGAATCAATATTTCAACGGACTGAAGTAACAGTCATGCAACTACTATAACTAGTCTAGCTAGGCACATGCATATGGTCATAACTAAATAGACATGTATCGTTATATTTTAGCAAATTCTTTAATTCGTTGTGACCGAGTTCTAGCTACGAGAATGTATAAAGCCAGACTTTTTATATGTAACTAACGCCATGATTCTAAAACGCTACGTTTTCATTTTGATATTGTTCATAAACCAGACCGTCAAACATCAACCTTGCAAAGAAACACTCACTAACAAACTCACCTTATCCCCACAGACTCAACGGCGTACCCAACACGGCAATCTGGCCCTGATCCATAAAATAATAGTACAGACCCGATCGTAAGTAAGAATCGTGCGCAACTGATGAGCAAAGAGATACAAAACAGCTGCCTATCAACAGCCAGCTTGTCATATGTGACACTAACAGTAGCCAAGAAGAATACAATTGTAACAATACCGCACACCATATTTATAACAGAGATATGAGACAGCCACCTACGTTCGCGAGCCCTAATTACCCAATTAGGAAATTTGTGGAATCTGGACGGACAAATCCCGGCTGCGGATGGTTAGACGAGGATTAAACTTCAATTTGCTGTCTGCTCTATAGTGGCTATATATAAAGGGAATAATTACAGTTTACTGGCTATTGGTCTCTCCGTCTGACCGAGTGATGATATCTAGTAATAAATCCATTGGCTCTGCACAGTCAGGAGACATTGCGGGGTCAGGTGCATCAGGCTGAATGCATGTGTTAATTTAGATATATGTAGCAATAATACGAATTTATATTGGAGGATTTGTTGTCAACTAGGATAATTCAAACTTGGATTACCACGTGATCAGTAATGAGAGTATGCGGTATTTATTTAATAGCTCTACAACCCCTCGTCCCCTGACTGTCAAGGTGCGGCATTATTCATGCCCTGTAATAATATCCCTCCCACTGTCAACAGCGAGAGAGAGGTACATAAGCAGGCGTCCCGTACGGCATGTCGCATGCAACTCTGCCTGGCTCCTGCTCACATAACTACGCTCTTGCTGAGCGTGGGCATTTGTCATGCACAAACAACACCGGCAACTGGCATACGACTATTTTATATAATCTTGCCACAGTCGATCATTTTTGGCAACCTTACTTTGTTCTTCTGAATGCTCCGTCTGCGATACGCTTTACCAACTGGGTATGGTTCCCGTGGCAAGCAGGCAGGGCTCAAGCATGCCGGCTCGGACTCGAGCTACAAGCCGTGCAATGTCGGTTGAGCACATCTAAGATGGCGTCTAATTATCGACTCCGATCTTGACTTTTTTCTCCGGGGGAGGAATAACAGCATCTTCTTTCTTTCCAGAAAGAGTAGGAAGCTCTTCGAGAGACTGCTTGATAATGTCAAGAGCGCTCTTGATTTCTTCTTTTGTGATGACAAGGGGAGGTGCCAGACGGATGATGTTCTGGTGAGTCGGTTTGGCCTGAATCGATACAGTCAGTCTCAAATTTTTGTATTCCCATTAATTTAGCAGCAGGTAAATATTTTCATGCAAGACACAACCAAGAATGACGAAGGAGAAGAAAAAAAAAAGGAAACATACCAGCAATCCCTTGGTCTTCATCAACATGCAGAGATCCCACGCTGAGTGACCGTTTGTTTTGCTCTCGTCAATGACAATAGCATTTAGCAGTCCCTTGCCGCGTACTGTCTGAACAAGAGGGCTCTTGATTGCCTCCAATCCATCACGGAAGATTTTACCAAGCTCTTCAGCCCGCTGCACCATGTTCTCATCGCGGATGATCTCCAGAGCTCGGATGGCAACAGCCGAACCAAGCGGATTGCCTCCGTAAGTCGAACCGTGCGTGCCAGCCTCAACTGTGAGCATGATTTCCTTTTTGCCAAGCACACAGGAGACAGGGTACATTCCTCCAGAGATTGCCTTTCCAAGCAGCACTAGGTCGGGCTTGATGCCGCTCCACTCATGGCAAAGAAGCTTTCCGGTACGGGCGATACCTGTTTGGATCTCATCACAGATGAGCAGCACATTGTGCTTATCGCACAGGGCACGGGCCTCTTGCAAATAATCGTCATCCGGGACGACAATGCCTGCTTCACCTTGAATGGGTTCCACCAGGAATGCAGCGAGGTTAGAGCCTGCCTTGTCAAAAGCCTCGCGCAGCGAAGCCTTGTCATTATAGACGATTGGCTTTTCGGTACCAGGAATACTGTGCCCGATATTTGGCAGGTACGGGCCATAGTTATCCCGTGACTCGGGGTCCGAAGACAAGGAAATAGCAGCGAACTACAGGGGAAAATTGTTAGCGAACGGCGGGAATTGTATGATCGAAGTCTGCCAGCTTACCGTTCTACCGTGGAAGTTGTTTTCAGCACTGAGCACAATGGCTTGGTTTTCGGGAATGCCCTTTACTTTGTAACCCCATTTCCGGGCAATCTTGATACCAGTCTCCACAGCTTCGGCGCCGGTGTTCATGGGAAGGACCATGTCGAAACCAAAGAACTTGGTCACGAATTCGGCGAACTTGGGAAAGACATCGTTATAGAAAGCACGTGAACTCAGGGTCAATTTGGATGCTTGGTCCACCAGAGCCTTCACGAGCTCAGGGTGGCAGTGGCCTTGATTGACAGCAGAGTATGCGGACAGAAAGTCCAGGTAGTGGCGACCCTCGGGATCCCACACCGAGGTGCCCAACGCACGAGCGAAGACGACGGGCAAAGGATGGTAATTGTGAGCGGCGTATTCATGCTCGGCAGCGATTGCGGCGTCGGTGGTTGCCGCGTGATAGGTAGACTCGTTGTATTTGGGGGCGCCGTTCGCGTCTTGCGTCCCAATTGCAATGGGAGACATGGTGAGAGGCGATGTGGAAAGGTTTGGTCTGGCGTTGAACGTCAACGAACTGAATGTTATTCAACGTAAGGCGGGGTAACTGCGATGATGATGACTCTCCAGTGTTGAGAAGTGCGATGACGAGAGCGGGAGAGAGAGAGAGGGCACAGCTGAACAGAGGCTGGTCAGCGTCTTATATCTTCCCACAGCAAGGGCGAAGGTGAGTGCGAAACCAATGGAAGGCGGCCCCAAAAAATGCAAAGATCCATCATGACGCTTGAGCTAGACCTCTAAGTGCAGGTGCAACCGTTGCCAACCACGAACTTCCCGGCGGACGGAGAAGCCGGCCCGGTGAGCGCCTTCTGATTGGCCCGCGTGCCGGCTCGGAATGTCAGCGCGAATTTACAGCCGCTGATTGGCTGTCGGTGCTAGCGTGGAGTCATGTGACATTCTTACTACAGGGGAATACGTGCATTGCTTGCAGTGATCATTTGGTGCTATGCTATTTTATACTGTATATTTGCATGAGAATTAAAATTATTTTGACTTAAGGAGTTGTTAACTTATGCTGTGTCTTCCTGTCGCTTATATGTAGTTAAGCACTATGTATATCATGTGACTTACTATTACTGTCTGTGATTGATGCAGGCTAAACCATTACGTATTAGCGGGGTTACTCGCCATTGCCGTCGCCCGCCTTCCCCTTTTGGGACCTTCCCTTTCCCAACCTGCATTGCTTCTCCAACTGGCAATTCACTGTTCACCACCTCACTAACTGCGCGGAATGCATCACATCCATGGAAGCTTCAGAGCAGTCTCTCGCGTCAAGTGACGCCAGCAGCGCCTTGGCCGCTTCCGTTTACCGGCTGAGGCGTCGTGCCAGGTCGCAGGCAACGCCCCAGAACATCTTGTTGTTTCTCGTCGCATTCCGCATTGTCAATGCCCTCAGCGTGCGCACCTTTTTCCAGCCTGATGAGTTCTTCCAATCGCTAGAGCCCGCATGGCAAGTCGCATTTGGCAGGGACAGTGGTGCTTGGATTACATGGGTGAGCGCGTTTCTCCCTTCGATTGTCGATTGGATATAGCGACTGACAAGTGTGCTTGCGTGCCTAGGAATGGAAACACGAACTACGATCCTCTATTCATCCCCTCTTTTTTGCCGTCGTTTATTATATTGTCGGATCAATTGCGTGGATCGTCCAGCTGTCCTCCCTCAACTCGGCAGAGTTTCTTATTGCAGCGCCCAAGGTTGCACAAGCCGTCATCGCCGCAACGGGGGACTACTTTACATGGAAGCTGGCCAGCAAGGTGTATGGGCACGATAGCTACGGCGCATGGGCTACGGTAAGGATGCATCCATGTTGTTATGCTTAGTAGTGCAATGCCTAATACCTTTCCCTCTCATAGCTTGCATTGACTGCCCTAAACCCCTGGCAATGGTTCTGTTCAACTAGGACATTCTCTAACTGTGCAGAGACCACTTTGACAGTGGTTGCACTATACTTTTGGCCGTGGGACTGGTTTCTCGATATCAAAGATGACGAGAAAGAGGACGATGATACAACAGATGATGCAGATGAGACTCTTGAAAGCATGAGTCGGCAGTCAAGGTACAGATGGCCCGGACTCGATGGCGACATATTTACCATCATGTTTCTAACGGTAGCACTGTCCAGCCTTCGGAAATCTCTCTTGCTCGCAGCGCTGGCGTGTGTTCTACGCCCTACAAACGTAATCATCTGGGTGTGTGTCGCCGGTTTTGCCATCTATAATAGCCCACGATCAGCATTCCTGATACTTTTGCGAGAGGCAGCACTTTGCGGGTAAGCAATTCTAATATGAACCAGTAATCACTTATTGGCTTGAGTCTTATAATTTTACAGATCCGCAGTTCTTGGTCTTTCAACTCTAATTGACCGTCTCTTCTACGGTGAATGGGCTTTCCCTGTCTTCAAATTCCTTTACATCAACGTCGCCCAATCAATTGCCATCTTCTACGGTCACAACGACTGGCATTACTACCTCTCACAAGGCTTCCCATTACTCCTCACCACAGCTCTCCCTTTTGGCATTTTTGGCGTCTACAAATCCTTGCGCCTGAGTGATACAACACCGCGTGACAGGCGGGCGTTGATCAAATTTCAACTAGCCTCTGTGTGCCTTGCTATGCCGGCCGTACTTTCTATCATTGCGCACAAGGAAGTCAGATTCATATATCCATTGCTACCTGCTTTGCACATTTTGGCGGCTGAGCCGCTTGTCTCGTCTTTTCTTCCTGCTATTACTTCTTCCTCGAACGCTTACTTACCGCAGAGACTTATCTTGCTATTTCTCATTCTTGTCAATATTTTTGTCGCTTATTATACCACGCTGATCCACGGTTCTGGTCCGGTGGAAGTTCTGTCCTATTTGCGTGAACGACACGAGGCGCATCAAGATAGCTCTGGGGCCTCTCTTGTTCCACATCCTTTGTATGAAGAATCTTACAGGGCCGCACATTACGCAGCGAAGAATATGTCTGTCGGGTTCCTCATGCCCTGTCATAGCACACCTTGGCGATCGCATTTTGTTTTCCCTTCAATCGAGGCATGGGCTCTATCCTGCGAACCACCTGTTGGGCTAAACGAAACGGAAAAAAAAATCTACCTTGATGAAGCGGATCAATTCTATGCAGATCCAGCCGGTTTCTTACAACACCATATGATTGGCGGTCTCTGGCACATGCGACGACGACCGTCGTACATGTCCACATTACCTCCTCGATCTCCCCCGACGGCCTACTACTCCCATCAAAAAGCACATCCGCTAAAAGAACCTCTCTACCACGAGTGGCCGGACTACCTAGTCTTCTTCGCGCAGCTTGAACCTACAATTCGCACGACATTACGCAGTAGCTCGTATGGTGAATGCTGGCGAACTTGGAACACAGCCTGGCATGATGACTGGCGACGACGAGGCGATATAGTTGTCTGGTGCCTTGACCCGAGCGAGCAACAAGAATGGCGCAAGATTCAGCACAGACAGCAAGCGAAGCGTCGCGAACAGCATTTTGACCGCATAATTTCTCGATTTGAGAAGCGGAAAAAGAAACAGAAAAAAACCGGTGTTAGCAGTAGCAGTAGCTGGTTTGATATCTTTCGCAGATCAACAACCATCACCCCTAGTTCGTCTACTGCTACTATAACTACTACTCGAAAATCGGCCTGGCCATGGCCATTCTCATCCAACAAAAAGCCCTCCACACTTCTCCCGTCCTGGCTAACAAATATCTGGAGCCCGAAGAGAGGGAGCTATAAGCAATACGTCCCGAAAATTATACAAGACTATTTAATACCATCAAAAAGGAGCCGACTTGACCCACGTACATGGTTATCTTCCTCCTCGTCGTTCTCTTTACCATGGCCATTTTCATCTTCATCGCCATCGTCATCGTGGTGGCCGGGAAGTAGTAATAAGAAGAAGAGATCGAAGAAGAGAACTGTCGTTTCTACTAATGAGCGTGATCTGTGGGAGTGAATCTTGAAATTGCATGTATACCCTCCTTCGTTCTTTTATGTATAATATTTATATATGACTTTATAAACGCTTTTACCATCCTGAACCAGGTACCGGATTCATGCGATGTTTCTTGACTTCCCTTGACCTCGCCGCTTTTTCAAAACTCCGCTTTCTTCCAAGGTTCTTCTTGCACGAACGAGTACGTATTGACAGCTTCTTACGCTGTTATTTTGAGCAAGTTCGAGGACCTCAAAACACACTCCCATTTATTGAAAAACCGATGGCGCTGGAGCTGTGTCATAACACAAATCCTAATATATGTTTCTTTATTTCCCCCGCTCATCTTTTCGGCGAGTATGTATGTATCGTGAAGTTTTGCGTGACCACGACGAGAATAATCACATGGGAATTTTTTTTTCTTTTTTTTTCCTTCAAGGAAAATAAAGAAAACCTCAGTTTATGAATTTTATTGATTTCTCTTCAGACATATACATTTCATAGCTTGGCGATTCTTTCTCTCAGCCGACCGAGCTCCAAATGGAGATTCCTCAGCTGCAGATTCAAATACGCCCCGTCTGCTCCTTTGTAACCAAACTGGTCTACTCTTCTCTTGAAAATCGTGATAATCTGCTCACAATCAGCCAAGAAATTTTGCAAAAGTATCCGTGTTACGGTAACACCAATCTCTGCCGAAGCGATGTATTTCCCTAATCGAATTTCCACAGAGATATGCCCTGCCTCACATGCACAGATTGAGAAAGGGGCCCAAGCCAATAGCCTGCATAAGATCATGTTTACCAAGAGCAGGAATTGCACGTCGAGCATACAGGACGGGCATTCAAAGAGTTCCTTGAGGGAAGGGATGATTTGCTGCGACTGACTCAGGAGAGCGTCGAGGGCATGGGAATGGTCGGACTCCGCAGAAGCAGCCTGCAGCGTGCACAGGTGATTGCTCAACATCGAAAAACACATGCACGATGGCTGGCCGCACGGCATGGTTGACTTGTTCATAGTCGAAGAGTATCCCATGCCCGCTGCTCTAACGACGAGAGACTCCGGCGTGAAATCGTGGCTCGTGGAAGACTTTTGCGAGTCTGGAGGTGACAGACACAGCGAGGACTGCCTCCTGGTGGTGGCGGCGGTCACCACTGCTTCATGCATTTGAGATTCTGTAGAGACAACGGCTGGGTTGTGGTCAGGCTTTGGCTGGCAGTTCACATTACTGACAGACGCTAGGGCACTCTACAGGCCTAGAATTAGCTCTGCTTTGCGCATCTTCTTGCATCAGGAGAAGTCTTTACATCTTCGAGACATGTTTCTAGCAGGCCCTCACACCATGCGCCCATGGCATCGAGCTCTCTATCTGGGAGTATATAGTCTTGAAAGGGCGACGAAGCCAAGTCGATATGGGCCGAAGAAGAATCGGGGCTGTTGAATATCGAATCGCCATTGCAACTGGGCAACGGGGGGATAACGGGAGAGGCAGGCCCTGGATGGGCGCTCGCTGTCGCCGTATGTTCCTTTTCTGTTGTTTTTGTTGTTGCTTCTTCTCTCATGCGTCGCAACCTTTCGATGGTCTTCTTGTTCATGCTCCCTCGGGGCTTTCCAATCTTGGCCTTGGCGCTGTAGTGGCATACTAAGTCGCTGTGAACGAGACATGCATTTCAATGACCCGTCGATTCACTCATCATCTATCACGGAACTGCTTACTCTCTCGAACATCGTGCACATGGCATACCCCCCGTGCATCGAATCTTAGCTGCATGACAGCCGTCGCAAGCAGTCCGAAGCTTGCCTCCAGTATCCGGGGCCTTGCTTTGACCGCCACCTGTGTTTGAGCCTAGAGCGTTCATAGTAAGAAGATCTGTGAATGGACAAAAATTCCGTCATTTGACTGATGAAGCGGGGATATTGTATATTGTATATGGCATATGGTATATTGTATATCGCCCCCACGGCACGGTTTCCCGAAGGTACTTGTACTAGTCCCAGTATCATGACTCTTCGTATCCAGCAGTTTGGCTTTACACCACAGAAATGGGTTCATGTCTGTCTGTGTATGTGTGTGTGAGAGAGAGAGAGAGAGAAGAAAGTGTGTGAATGGTGAACGGTTAAGGCTTTGTGGCTCTCGCTCCTCGCAGTTTCATCGCGGCGGTCTTGCTTCTCTGTTATGATTGCAAGACTTTATCATCTGCAAGCATAGTTGGACAGGGAGCTAAGATATTCGTCCATCTATCCGGTCCTTGTTATCACCAAGGTACTCTGACGCTCCTCCCCGAAACCGGTCTGACTTGGTGGTTACCTAGGTACCTAGGCAAAATGAGCGGGCTACAATTGCTCGATAGTAGCAGATACAGTAATTAGTGCCCGGTGGTAGCAATTAAAATGGGCGCGGGCTTCATGTACCTGAAGTATCCGGGGACATGAGCAAAAAATATTTTCATTTTTCGAAAGATCTACATACACGGCCTCTTTGCAGCATGCCAGAACTACCGCAGTGGTACTTTGGATACGGCTCCAACATGGTGTCCGATGTCTTCACCAAAAGACGCCAAATACAGCCTCTGAAGTCGGAAGTCGCAGTCATTGAAAGCCATACACTCTGTTTCGATGTTATGGGTGTTCCGTACACGGATCCTGCCATGGGAGGGATTCGCCTGGCTACAGCACAGGACGTTCCAGTATACGGTGTTGCGTACCTTTTGAGCCCGGACGACATGCGACGAGTGATCATAACCGAAGGGTAAAGTAGTAGTTTGTCCCTGACACCGAGCATTTCGCCACCTAACGGGCATTCATCATTGATAGAGGTGGCATCGCGTACAAGACCGCTGTTCTTACAGCTACGTTGCAGCGCGATTCGACCAGAATTTCGGTGATAACGCTCATAGCACGACACCAGATCGCCTCGAGCTATGAAAGAATGCCCTCTGAGCGATACATGGTCAGCTTCTGCTCACTTGTGCTTTCCTTCTTGAGGCCCGGCTAACCTCTTGCTAGGGTCTCTTGATCCAAGGTGCGAAAGAGAAGTCGTTGCCCGAGTTTTATCAAAAGAGACTTGCGTCTCAGCCCACGTTCAAAGCCGTCCCAAATCCCCGCTTTCGTATCGGAAAATGGCTTTTTGACAGCTTCTGGCAGCGTGTGGCATTCTATATCCAGAAGGGGGTCCATCATTTCAACGACGAAAATGGAAACGTGCCGGGGTGGTTCTTGAATGTGTTTGATGTTCTCTTGTGGACAATGTGGTTCTATCATGACTACTTTCACCGTTTCCTTTGGGGCAGGGGTGACGGGTTAGACCGTGTGGTAATCTAAGTATGTATGCTGCTACCTGCTATGATACATTCAAGCGCTTTGTAGAGAGACTCTTTTCGGCCCTCGGATATGTCTGTTCTACCATTGCCCGGAAGTTATCGTTCCACAGCTGCTTGACTCCTTCCTGTAATACAGGATCACGGGCTTTGCATATCATAGCCTGAGCTTCAACATCCTTCAATACGCGTATCACGTTGTGTCCAAGTACTTTCTCAATATCCGACCTGGCTATCCCGCGCTCAAGCATTTGGGCCACCAAGAATGGGTATTGGGCAACATCCTCAACTCCTTTGACTGCGCTAAACATGCCGTCGTAGTCGGACCCAAGTCCAATATGGTCATAACCAATAAGGCCGCCAACATACATGATATGATCAACGATGTGGTCGATGCTTGCTTTTGATGCGTCGACGTGGATGAGTGAGGGTATGAAGGTAATCATTATCACGCCGTTGTTTGTTTTCAATTTATGCAAGATTTCGTCGGAGACATTTCGAACGTGAGGTACAATGGAAGCCCTAGAAGAAGAAGAAGGGGAAAAAAGAGAATGTTAATCACAAGACACCGCAACCAAGAAATATTGTGCTGGCTTACACGGCGGAATGCGAGAAGACGACAGGAGCCTCTGATAAATCGAGCACCTGCTGCATCACTGCTTCGCTGGTGTGCGAAAGATCAATTATCCTGGGGCAAGTCTCAGCATGGTAACGTACGTAAGCCAAGACAAGTCTCACAGTCCGACTCTGTTCATTTCCCTGACAATAGCGATGCCTTTCTCTGATAATCCTCCGTGCACCGGAAAACTCGATGTCTACAGTTCCGTTAGTCTGCCGCCTTGTGCTTCAGTCTGATGGCCATCCTTACAGCACTATCTGCGTAGAGATTGTTCTTAGTATGCGCCAGGGTGATGTAGCGGACACCAAGTCTGTGGTACAAGCGGAGTACACTGGGACTGTTGGCAATCTGATGGAGTCCTTCCACTCCAATGAGACTGACAAATTTGCGAGATTGGAAAAGAGGCATGATATCAGAGGATTTCTCAATAATGCCCATGGAGTCCGCATATAGATCAACAAGTCGGTACACCAAGTCAATCTGCTGCAGGGTGTCCCTCAGTGCTTCGAAATGAGAGGCATCATCCGCGAAGTCATCCGTTGCTGGGCTTAGAAATCGATGAGCCCAGAAGACCAGCAGGCTATTATTGCTTTCCTGCAACTCACCAGTCTACGTAGACGCTCCAAAATGCACCCCCTGACATCCCTTTTCGTAATCGTTCCAAATCAACATGGCCCACTAGACTCCTTCCAGAGTCGAAGCGTTCATCGAGCCGATTATCGTAGAAACCACGGATGAGATGAGGCCAGTCATTATGCCCGTCTTAATATGGGGTCAGCCAAAAACCACAGTGATCCTGATCTTCGAGAATGTAGCATACCAATCAAGGGAACTGATTTGAGTATTTCCAAGGCGTCTTGCATGTGGTCCATTGTCGATTTGCGTGTCGCTCCTATCTGAAATCATAAGGTGATCGCATCATAAAGCGGCCGTAAAAAGATCCTTGCTAGCTAGCCCTAAGTACCGCAAAGTCTCCGTAAAGTCTCCGTATGCGACATAGACTCCGAGAGGGAGATCCAGCGAGCTGCTCCCCCAAGGTACTTCTTTGTACAGGCAGGGCAAAGGGGGCATTTCTAAGACTGGGTTGGGCAAGATCCGTCTTGACCAGACCAGTTCTCATCATTATACACACACGCAGAAAAGATCGAATCATCCGCCTTTGCAATTGACCATGGCTCGAAAATGGGTTCCGCCCTATCATCTCGGTCAAAGAGCCAGTCGGAAAGTGGACTTGAACTTGATCCTTCTGACGACCACCTTGGTAAACTTTCTGGACCTTTTCCAACTCTCGGCGGTGCTCTTCGGGCTTCCGGATATTGAGGGGGCCCTTCATTTTGACTCGGATGATATCAACTGGGTGCTGGTTGTCTACAACATCATGTTTGCGTCCTTTCTCCTCATCGGAGGCCAGCTAGGTCAGAAATTCGGCTTGGAAAAAATTTTCATCACAGGCGCCGCTGTTTTGACCGTTTCAAACATCATCAATACAGCGTCTCCGAACAAAGCTGCTCTGATAGCTGGTCGGTCAATATCCGGCATTGGGGCAGGCTTGACCGTAAGCATCATGCAAAGCCGTGCAAAAAAAAACCCCTGATTTTAACCAGAGCATTTTGAATTAGGCACCAAACGGACTGGCAATTATCGGCCGAAGCTTTGAAGAGGGCGAGGTTCGCAACAAAGCATTAGCAATATACACGGCATGTGCGCCTTTGGGGTCTACTATTGGCACTGTAGTCGGCTCTCTACTCTCATGTAGGTCTTCTCCCGACCTGATATTCCGTAATAATTACTCATGGTTGAAAACTTCACAGCATCATCCGCAGGCTGGCGGTCTATATTCTGGGTATGCCTAATTTTTACTGCCTTGGCTCTGTTGATGGCTTGTCTGCTCCTGCCCAATTTTGAAAAGGAGAAAGATGTGCCCATTGATCTTATAGGGACCGTTTTCTTCATGGCAGGAATAGCTCTTTTGGTATATGGCCTAAACGACAGCTCCAGAATCGGCTGGACCTCAGCGTCTGTTCTCGTTGGAGTGATACTGGGTGTAACCCTTCTTCTAGTATTCATCTTTGTCGAGACACATGTCTCTAATCCCGCAATCCCTCGTGGCGTCTGGAGGTCGTCACCTTTTTTCCTGATGTTGATATCCATTTTTGCTTTCGGTGGCAGTTTCAGCTCATGGTTCTTCATTGCCACCCAGCTTTGTGTCAACCTACTGCGTTACACGCCTGTGCTTACTGCAGTATACTTATTGGTACGAGCGTACTCTTCCTGTCCACAGCGCTGTCCCCCTTCCCCCAGATCATCTTTTGCTGATGCCATGACACCACAACAGCCAGGAGCATTTTCAGCTATTGTAAGCGGAGCGCTCTCGGTCCCTGTCATCAAATTGATTGGAGAGAAAGCAACACTGATGCTCGGTCTCATCATCACCGCGGCGGGCGCAGTGGCTTGGGCTTTCGCAACTCCCGCCAGAGCCGGTGGCACTGGACATGGCGAAGGATATTGGTATTCTATTGTCGCGGCAATAATTTTCGTAGTTGGAAGCCCGGTGGCAATGGTCCCCGCGCAAAGCATTCTACTGCGACAAGTCGGAGTGGGCGATCATGCAGTAGCCAGCGCCCTGTTTAACACTGCCTACCAAGTGGGAGCCAGTGTTCTGCTCGCAGGTGCTAATGCCTTCATGAATGGTCAGCAGGTGCTTGTCGACGGGAACTTGCTTGTAGCTATGGAGGGTTACCGAAATGCATTTTGGCTCCTGACCGGCGTCCTTGGGGGCGCAGCTGTCCTCGTAGGGGCTTGCTACTGGCCTGAGAGGGCACAGGAGCCAGAGCATCTTCTTGAGACGGAGAATCATCATCCGACACAAATTGATAACAAGGTTTGTGATGCTTGATTTGCATAGTATGTTAAGGAATAGCCATGTCGTTAGGAGAGATTGTGATTTCAAAGTACCTATTTATCTACATCAAAAGATTCAGTACTATCAGGATGCAGCTTTTCGTGCCCATGCAAGATGGTAGCAATAGGAGTTTCCAACAGTGCGAAGTTCAGTCTCCAAGTCCTTCCGAAGCTCATCAAAGTCACTTGTCGATGGTTGTCCTGGCTTGTCTATACATGGGAACGAATTAGCCGCTCGTCTCTTTTTCGAGGAGTAATGTCTGATTTTTGACTTACCGGCCAGTAGTTTCTTCATTCCCTCCAGCAGATATAACATTACACGGACTGCTCTCTCTCCTTGCTCCTTGTCCTCAGCAGCAGCACCAATAGCTATTGTCTGCGATTCGTGTTGGATATCAATTGCCCCGGCCTGCTCCAGCCACGGGACCAAAAACTTCCCCGGATTTGGCTGGTTTCCAATGGCTGCCCATGCGTTTACCATGGTATCACGGAATTTTGTGAATGCTGGATGCTTAGGCCCCTCCTGTATTGAAAGCATATCCCCCTCGTGCAGCTCAATGCAACCCCCTGGCTTTACACACGCAAACAGCTTTTTGGTTGCATCAAGGGCAGTCTCATTGGAACATACTGTAAGGACAAATCGCTGGTGCACGACATCGAAGCTATTCTGAAACTCTTCAGGCCAATGATCAAAAATCGAGTGAGTCAAAAGCTGTACATTATCGGGGCGCTCAGCATCAAGGGTGAAGTGTTGAGGAGCTATATCGGTCCCGATGAGCGTGGCGTTCGAAGACACGTTTTGGGCCAGATCGATCAGCCATGTACCTTCTGCAGTGGCAGAGTCAAGTACACGAAGATGCTCTTGTTTCAAGTCAACAGGCGAATACAATAGCTTTCCATGCATTGCCGTCTTGACCAGTTCATGTTGGGTCTTTAGGCGGTCATACTCTCCCTGGTGACGGGGGCCGCGGTAGGTATCTTGCGTAGAAGTCACATTCATTTTTTTAAGAACAAGAGTTGGCTTTGGTTTTTCTCCGTGTCTTTGAGAATTAACTAGCAGGTGTAATAATAATATATATATTTATATATTTGTATGTATGTCCCACTGTGTCTGGTTTTCGACCGGTCCGTGTCCGGAGACTATATATAAGCCCTAGACGAGGTATATATTCGCCGAGCGTGTATCAAATAAAATGAATTCAATCAGCAACGTATAATTCTACCAAAAGCCAAAGAGAAGATAATAGAGATTTCTTATCTGACATTTCAAGACCTCGAAAAGGGGCGACTTTGTCTTTGAATATGGCCGCGTCTCCTGAAGACCAGTCAGTTCGTCCACCCATACCGGATGATATTCTGGTCCTTTATGTCAAGAAAGGTATCACGCACATTTTTCACCTCTTGTAATAGTCTATATTTACATTGAATAGCAAGTCCTACGTCCACCGCAAATTCCGTGAAGCCATTGATGTTGATCGAAGCTCTCAATATTCCGCACCACATTCACATCATTGAGTCTACAAGCAATGAGACATGGTTCCACGCTGTGAATCCTTACAAGATGGTTCCAGCTCTAGAGGATGTCGAAACTTACGAGGTTAATGGCCAATCCCAACGACTGAATATCTTCGACAGCTCCGCTTGCCTTACATACCTGGCGGAGAGGTACGACACCGAGGGTCTCTATCGGGGCAAGACTGTTTCTGAGCGCACAATCATCATGAATTGGTTGATGTCTTATACCGCTGGACTCGGTGCCACTGGGAAGATCTGGTTGCTCATGAAAGCGCCCAAGCCAGTAGACATAGGCGAGTCGTTGTCGGTCCTGCTCAAATACATTCGCACCGAGTATGACTTTTTGGAAACACGATTGAACGAGCCTGGGCAGTTGTACATTGCCCTTGCTGATCGACCAACGATTGCAGACTTTGCCATCTTGCCCTTGGCAAATGAGAAAATTGCTGCTTCGGCAGACCTAGACTTCGATCAGTGGCCAAAATTGAAAGCTTGGAGCGAGCAGATGAGTTCATTTAGGCCGGTAGCGCGCGCATTGCATCGAGTGGCTCGTTTTGGTTTGTCGAGTGAGGAACTTGCCAGTCTTGATGCTTCCTAGCGAGGATTCAAGCTGTCGTGGCAACTTTTTAATTGAAGCATGTTTTACATATATTTGAACCCTACTGTTTCTTCAGTTACATTGAATGAAATAAATAGAAGCCTGATAAAAAAAAGAAGCATAGATATTTTCATATGTCTAGTTGTCCTCAAGCGATGATAGGGTTATGTGAATATTTGAAATAGGAACCCAAGTGTCCTTTCTGTGAGTACCAGAGTCGATGCCCGCCTTGTTGTCGGTTATTGGAAGACCAATCTCGTACTGCACAAGCAACTGACAAATAAAAGCTTTCATCATTGCCTCTGCAAAATGTTGCCCCAGGCATTTTCGTGAGCCAAAGCCAAAAGTGAACAAGTTGTATCGAAGCTGGAATCTATCAGTCCTTCTGGCAGAGGAAGTGAGAAAGGGGAGAGGGCTACTTGTATCTTACATCCGTTAATGGCAGCTTCTGCAATCGCCTTGGGTTAAATTCAGTACAATCATCGCCCCAGAACTGGGGATTGTGATTGATTGACAAAGTATCAACAACAACACTGGTCTAATTGCACAAGTCAATATGGGCTAAGCCGAGCTATGCATTGATGGACTCACATTAGGCGGGACAATATATCCTCCAAGGATCTTGGTTTGAGGTGACCTTTCCGGGATTGTGAAGACTATGTGAGCCATTGTCAGCGGCTGGAACCAAGGGGCTGGGAAGGGGAACAGCAATTCCTACCAGTAAATGGCCGAAGGCGTATCGATTCCAAGAAACAGCGATGAAGCAATGAATCCTTCTTCCCACATAGCTCCATCAGCGATTTGGTGTTTGTTTTAATCTCTTGCCGAAGTTCTCGCTGGATATCTGTGTGCTTGGCGAGAAAAATGACCAGCCAGCTCAGAACATGAGTAGAAACATCGAGGTTGGCAAACAGCATTTCACTCAAAGTTTGAATCATCTAGTGTTATCACCATCGACAGTCAGCAGATCCTGGAAATGGCCAACAACGAGCTAATGTGCCCACCGACCTCTTTCTTCGAGATAATCCCCGCCTCCATTGCTTCCCATGCTTGAACGATGACTGTTGCTGATGGTTCGCTAGAAGCTCTCCTCGCTTGCACAATACGCTCATTTAAATTGACCCAATCCTTCTCGAATTGAGCGAGTTGTTTGTATACCTGAGGCTTTAGCCAACGCGATACTTCAAAGCGGAAAACGCCGCCTGCCAGAACGCTGCCCATGAGAGCAAGGCTCTGCTGCCCAAGAGACCAGAGCTCTTCCTTTTCGGAGTCTTTTAACGGGCTATATAAATACTCAGCTGTGGCCATGAACGGAAACCGGGAGAATGAATTTGCAGCGCATATCTGAACGACGCCTGTTTCGTTCTGTCTGATCTGCTTCAGAAACTCCTCGGCCGTATCTAGAAGGAAAGGCGTATTTTGGGCCACTGTATGATGAGTAAAAAGTTTGTAAAATTGAGCGCGAAGCTCTTTCCACCGTCCACCGTTGATGAGGCCCATGCAATCTCCCAGCAGTTGATGGAACAGCCACCCTCCGTTGCTAGACGGGGCCTTTTCATGACTTTGAGAGTCACTATGAAACACTTTCACGTCATCTGGCCGTGTTATCACACTGCAAGTTATCGACTAATGAGTTCACTTCTCTCCCTGGATCTCGCACGATGGGGCCATACATACATTTCGGGACTGCATCCTGACCAAATGCGGTAGACAGGTCCATATTGTCGCCACCTATTGCTTACTTCACGCCCAGCAAGGAATTTCTCAAGACACTGTCCGTCAATCCATTTCCAAGATGGGCCTTGGATCGGTCCTATGTCGTCACTCCTCACGGGATATATGATCTTAGAGAGCTTGTAGAGATATGAGCTTTGATGTTTCTATGCAAAGATAAAAAAGAAAAAGAGAAAGCAAGACGCTTACTATGGTATGGACTATCCATTCTCTCTTCATAAAAACGCTGTATAGCAAGCAGGAAAGCAATATGAATATCATGTTGGAAAAAGTTAGAAGTTCCATTCGTTTCTTTGCAAATACTTTTTTTTTTCTTCGCCAACCACCCCGGGACATACATAGGATTTACTTCACAAGAGGAAGATGCACTACTTTAATGAAGCTTAGGGCAAATACTCTCCGGGGCCCTTGTATATTCTCGGCGACTAAACAGCGAAACAATCATTCTTTCCGCCCCACACTTCGGCCCGGGTGATAGATTTGCGGATTGAAGTAAGCCGTCACGTTCCATGCATTGTTCTCAGATGTCCAGGAGATGTAGGTATGAAACCCTAATCCGCTGGCTAAGCTGCGGTGTTTACTTTTGATTACGTTGTCAGAGATGGCAAATAGAGGAACGTAGTCTCGAACAGAAAAAGCACTTACCAGATTCTCTGTACACTTTCGTAGTAAGATCCTGTGGTGAGATTCTTGCCCCGTCGGTCGAGGTACTGGGAAAGACCTCTCGCAATCTGATCATCATCGCGTGCGTAGTGTCGTACTGGCATGTAAATCTTTGTTCTGGGCACATCCAATCCAGTTTTGAACTCAAAGTAGTACAGGATGCCTCCAGTAAGGTGGTCATTCTTGGGAAGCGGCTGGCTGTCCTCGAGTTTATTCTCATCCAAGCCGAAGACTGAGTACCAGAGTTCTCTGAGCGCCTTCTCTTCCTCGGGTGTCTTGGGGGCTCTGCCACCCAAAGATAGCATTTCATAGACGCTCTTCAATGTCGTATCACGGCATCGAACGTAAACTTTTAGTCTTGACTTCAGAGGATCCAGAAGGTCAATGGCGAGGATCTCTACCGTCGGGCGCGACTCTGGCGGAAAGGACTCAAGGAAACCAACAAAGACATCGAATGAACTAGGCAATGAATCTGCCAGGAATGGAAGCTTCTGGATAGCTCCTTTTATGATATCAAACTTGGACTTTGCTTCTCTTAACGCTGTCCAACCGGGCAAGTAATACTGTTTAACAACAACAGTTTCCTCCAGCAAATCAAACGCCATAAAGCTCTGAGATAAAGGCATGTCTGGAGCGCTAATATCCTCCGGGAGTTTCTTCGACATTGTATGCTGCTGAAAGTGCCTATGCAGATAAAGGTCTATCTCCGGAGCCAGTGGGAGAGCCTCCCCCAGCAGTCTCACACTCGCAGCCGTATTGATAGGGTCGACCGACTCACCAGCCAGTCTACCTATTGGCTCGACAGAGTAGCGCACAACTGGTGTTTGCTGAGACGAAGACCAGCACCAACTGAGCTCAATTGGAGTATGATCATCCGTCATGAAGCTTTTCCAGACCGCAGGCTCCCCAGTGCCTCGAGGGTGCGGACCGAGAGACGGCGCCACCGATTTGTGAAAAAATTCAGTATGAATCTTAGTAGAGTGTATCGGATATCCAGCCATTTCGAGCATATCAAGCAGTATCGTTCCAATTTCGGTTTGCCATAAGGACGGGTCTGCCGTATAAGCCCGAATGTGCCTTTGTTGAGTGTCTGTTTCCTACGACCAAGAGTTAGCATGGGGCGCAAAAACGCCTCTGATAGATTGTCTCACCGCCGCATTCTTTGGAATCCATGCTTTTCCAAATGTTCTGACACTGTGAAGATCCTGTCATTACCATATCAAAGAAGAGAAGGACGTTATATACTCACAGGAAGTTCCACATTGTTAGCACCGTCTCGATTTACCTCTTCAAGTACTTTTGAAGTGTACAGTTCACAGTTTCGAATCAATGGTATTTCTTTTTTAAATCACAGAATACGTCAAAGGATGTCATGATAGAAGTGACCTTGTCTTGGGCCTGCACGCAAAGGGCAGTTGACCTCGGGATGTAAAGTCCATAAGGGCTCGGCGAGTAAACTACGTAGCTAATGTCCCTGAAACTCAGAAACAGATCCCTCGTTCCTCTCTCTCTCTCTCTTTTTTTTTTTTTTTTTTCCCTTTCTTCTTTTTTCCTTTCCTTGTCCCATATTCGCTATGTGCGTAAGCATTACACACCACCGGTTGATCGAGAATTGATAGTTACTCTTTTCATAGCGGCTTTAACATGCTCTCGTCTCGTTGCAAGCAAAGAAATGAGGATCTCATTCCAAGTCTCCTGAGCCAACATGATGCTGTGCTCACAGGCGATATGACAACCATTGATCTCAGTACTGCGGAAAACTGGCCAGTGAAGGTGAAAGTATTGGACACATTGCAGGATGAGCATGGCCAACTATCTGAGTCCGTAAGCTTAACTTCGAGGTCTCTCCGGAATCTTACCGTTTTCTGAAATATGTTGTAATAATAGGATTTCGCTTACTCTTCGGGTATTGGCGGCTGCTCAAAAACAAGAGCATTGCTTGCAGACCTCCTGAACACCCACTTTCGCCCTACGAGAACAGTCGAATCTTCTCATATTATACTGGCAGCAGGAGGCAGCTTCGCATTGACTGCTCTCATAGAACAAATCTGCAATCCCGGGGACGGAGTTCTGATAGCATCCCCTTACTGGGCCGGGCTCGACATCTCTATTAGCATCCATAGCCATGCCATTATCACACCAGTCCACGTACCCTTGAAAGAGTTCTTCAGTGTGTCGAGCATTAGTTATTACGAATCAGCTATCGGGCAATCATCGGTTCCCATCAGAGCAGTTCTCATTTGCAACCCTCACAATCCATTGGGCCAATGCTATCCCCAAGAGACACTCCGTGCTATGTTAGATTTTTGTAAGCTGCATAATCTGCACTATATTTCCGATGAGGTATATGCTCTCTCGGCACACCGACCTTGTCCACTTGGCTTCACTTCATTTGTGTCAGTTCTCGAACTTGGTGACAGTCAAATGAGTGACCAAATTCACGTGGTTTATAGCCTGAGTAAGGACTTTGGATGTAATGGAATGCGCCTCGTAAGTATTCCCCTTGGTATACATTTCTAGCTGAAGGCTGATTCCATTCTAGGGCGCCCTGATCTCTCAGTCAGCCAAGGCCATTCGTCTGAGTGCTGCTCTGAGCCTCCACAGCCAGGTTTCCTCCTTGTCTACCGCGCTCGCTTCTCGACTAATATCGAGTGTTGAAAAGGTGCAACAGATCACAGAGTACGGAGGTACTGAGCTCAAGGTGGCGTATATGATCATGCGCTCTTTTTTGGAAGCAAGAAGAATGGAGTTTGTCCCTGTGGCCTACGGCATGTTCGTCTTTGCAAGACTACTACAGCTTCAAAGTACTGCGGAAGACCAAGAGCTTCTAAAGCATCTCAAGTCAGCCGGAATATCAGTATCGACGGGATCAAGTTATCATTTCACCCAGCCTGGTTGGTTCCGAATCTGCTATGGGGTCCCGCATGAACAGTTACAAGAGGGTCTACGAAGGCTGGATGCTGGTGTCCAGAATTACTTGAAGGAAGTTACTCATCTGTGATGCACTTGCGCAATGTTCAATTTCCTGGTAACTACAATACGTCAAGTGGACAAGGAGGGTATAGCAGAGCATGGAAGTATGAAATAATCAAACAATGTAAAATTATAATATATTCAGCTGTCCAGTTCCCAAAATTAACAAAGTTAAGAGGGATAGAAACAAAAATAGGGCACAGACGAAGCCACATTAATCTATGTATGTACATACTAGTCACCCGATAGATCAACCAAAGCTCGACATTATACGTTGTATGTAAAGACGGAGCGCACCAGCTGTTGCTGGACTGACAATGTTTTCCATGTACTCAAAATCGCACGTAGTACAATTCTTGCCCTCGGTGAATTCAATCAACAAAGGGAACTTGGCTCCTGTAGGCTTAAGCGCAACATCATCAACGGTAACTCCAGGCAACTGGAATGACTGTGCTATTGAATCATCCAGACTGTTATGCACCAGCATCACAGGGAAAAGCTCATCTGCTCCCACTAGAGTTCGAATATCCTTTAGCGGCATTGCATGTGCCAGAGCATTTCTGGTCGAGGTTCGCGCAGATTCGATGTATGCTCGAAAGTCCTCGAGGGACTCGATTGGTGCTACCTTCATTCGAACTGGTAGCCGGTCTAGAAACACACCAAGCATGTCCTCAGTCCCTGGCTCGGTGCGATCGATATGCGGTATTCCTATCAATACATCGTTGGCGACTGGCTGGACTTTTGATAGGGCTATTGCAACGACCGCCATGTACAACTCTAAGCAGCTGTTCCAGCGGAGGCTCCGTTTCAATGTGAAAGTTTCGGAGCGACCATCAAACGTTTTCCTACTGGGGTCAAGCGTCTTCCATGCTGGTACTGGGAGCTCGGACAGCTGAGACTTCCAGTATGCTGCGTTCGAGTCTTGAGCACACAATTGCGGCTGGCCAGCCTTCCATTGGGCCCAAACAGTGTAATCTGGTGATTCCGGTGATAGGGGCTTCTCAGTCCCCGGAGAACTGCTCCCCAGTAGTTTCAGATATTCCTGCCGAATACTGTTCAAAAATATTTTGATTCCGGTCTTGTCCGTGATTGCATGATGCTGAACGAGTATGATGCCAGTCTGCTCGCCATGTTGGGACAGGTTAATCCTTGTCATTGGACCGGTTGACAGATCAAATGGTCGATTGATGAACGTTTGCACCTCCCATTCCTTCATATCCGTCTTTGTGACTTCCAGTGCAATGGAGGACTGGCCTCGGAGAAGCTGGCCGTCACTAATGTAGAAGCGGCTTCTGAGGATTGCCTCACGAGATGTTACAATGTCAATGGCATTCTCTAGGCTCTTCATATCTACGGACCCCGTCAGCTGCAACTTGATAGCGACATTGTATGTCTGACTGGGATGAAGAGAAGACAGGTGGAAAAACTCTTCCTCAAGATGAGAAACACGCGTAAATGGGCCCTGTATTGTTTTCCATGCTTTATTAAAAGCCGTCGCATGGGACGAACTTGCTGGTTTATCCTGCCAGTCCTCGATTTTGTCTCCCAAGGCACCCAGAGTTGGGTTCCAGATAAAGATTTTCAAGGGTATTTTGTCGCCCAACATGCGGCTGACAATTTGAGCGAGCTTGACTTGGGAAAGAGAATTTCCCCCGAGCTCCATGAAGTCGGTGTCAGCGTTGATCCCAACGCTCTTGCTCAGGCCAAGTGCTTCTCGCCATGCCTCCGCCAGAAGGGATTGGATCTTGGTCAGCGGCCTGTGAGCTTTTTCGGACGTCAAACCAACCTTTGAGTGAAGTGCTTGCCGATCTAGCTTTTGATTTGGCATCGTTGGTAAATTTTCTAGGGCCACAATCATTGACGGACATGTGTAGGCTGGCAGTTTGCTTCGCATTGCCTTATCAATTGCTCGAATGTCCACTGTGTCTGGTTCTACAAAGGCAATGATATTGTCGTTGTTCACGATGGCTGCGGCACGCCGAACGTCTGAAGCCACCAGTCGAATGACATTTTCAATCTCGATCAGTTCGACCCGATACCCTCTGACCTTGACTTGGTGGTCGAATCGACCTAGAAACTTCGGCTCACTGTCTTCAGTCCAGACGGCGCAATCGCCCGTGCGATACATGCGCTGTCCGTGGACAAACGGATCTGCTACAAACCGAGCCTGTGACAGAATCTCAAGATCAGGCCCAATATATCCGTCGGCTATTTGGATTCCACTGAGGCAGATTTCGCCCGGTAATCCAACTGGCACTGGGCGGTTGTGAGAATCCAGAATGTAGACTCCGACGCGGTCAATGCTCTGGCCCAGCGTCACTTCTTCGTATGGCCGAAGTTGCTTAAACAAGCATCCAATGGTGCATTCACACGGTCCATAGGAGTTATAAACAGTCCTACTGCCAGCCCAACGATCCGCAAGTGCCTGCGGAACACTCTCGCCGGCGAAAAGGATTGTGTCGAGGTTTGGATAATCCTCTGGTTCACAGACTGAAAGAAAAGAAGGCGTGATCATAGTTGCATTAACCCGTGACAGATGCGCAAAGGGATCGAGAGGGTCAACAAGAACTAGGGTAGCTCCATAGCAAAGAGTGCCGAAGATCTCGGCCTGGTTTACATCAAATCCAGGAGAAAACATTTGCGCGTGTCGTCTTCCTGGCCTAGCATCCATTCGAGCTGGTCCGTGAGCCAGGTATGACACGACGGACTGATGCTTGATGCGAACACCTTTGGGCACGCCAGTCGACCCAGAGGTGAAAGTGATATACGCGACATCTTCCGGCCTCGGTGCCGTCGATTGCCTTGGGCATATTCTATCACCGATACCAGCCAGGATATCACCCAAGACCAGCTTTTGCCCGTCGAAACAAGCGGTGAATCTGTCATCGGGAAAGATTACCAGCTGAGCCTCGGAAGTGCTAGTCATAATCTTCATACGCTCAATGGGCAAACTTGTGTCTAGAGGCACGTATGCCGCACCAGCCTTGATGACTGCGAGCACAGAAATGATCCAACCTAAGCTGCGGTCACTCAGTACGGCGACTGCACTTCCAGGACGCACATGAGCTGCCACTGCACTGGCCACGTAGTTTGTCAGCCGGTCCAGCTCCCTATACGCGACTTGGCGATCTCCAGCTTCAACTGCCACTGCATCCGGCCATCTATCCACGCCATTCTCAAAGAGAGCTTTGAGATTGGACGGGCCAGTATACGGAGCCATCAGTGTTGCAGCGTTGGTAGTTAAGGCCAGTGACTCGCAAGCATCCAACATCTTGTCACGCACGTCGGCGACGGAGTCACATTTGTGGTCGAGCAGTCCGAGGAACAGATTGCGAAAGTGGTTCATCATACGCTGGATCACTGGTCGAGTGTACTTGGACTGATCAAAGAGCGCGCGGAAGTTGAGACAATTGTTTTCCTGTGCAATCAGAACAGTAAGCTCGAATTCCGGAGCATCAGTGCGAGCAAAGTGCCATTCATCGTCTTCTGGGAAATCGTAAAGATCATATTCGAGAAACAACATTGTTTCGAAAGCCCTGGCAACACTTCCTGGCATTAATTGTTGCAATGCCTCAGCTGCCGACCATTGATGAGAACTCACGCGAAGTAATAAACTATGCATGTCGAGCAGCAGCTGGGCCTTGGTGGTCGATCCAGACAGGTCCACTGGAAGAGGACAACTATTTAGCACAGGGCCTACCACTTTGTCAATGCCAGACACGGGTATATGTCGTCCTGAAAATACGGTCCCAAACAACACATGTTCTTGAGAGGTGTAGGAGCTCAATAGCAGAGCCCAGGCAGCGTATATCATTGAGGCCGACGTTACCCCTTGGACGCGGCAGATCCGATCAACTCTGGATAAGGGGAGGTCAACAATAGCACGCACTTCTCCAAGCTGTGTCTCCTCAAGTGACTCTTGAAGCGTCGGCTTTGGTAGGGTTAGCGGAGTGGCATTCGGAATTCTGTTTAGGGCTTCTTGCCAGAACCTTCGGCCTGACTTGCCTGTCTGATCCGCGACTCGTGATACTTGGCTTGCAATAGTGAAGAATTGTGGTGGATCATTAGACAGGGTCTCCCCCCTGAGAACGGCTCTTACTTCTTGAATGACAAGACCCATTGAATATCCGTCTATGAGACTGTGATGAATAAGCCACAAGAGATTAGCTCGCAATCGCGTCTCATCGATGATCAGGCGGAACGAGTTCACTGGCCTAAATATGTGACTATCGTGTTCAACTCGAGTTGACGCCAGCAAGCGTGAAATAGCAATATCCTTGGCCTTGCACATGCTGTCACTTCGCAGTATCGATTCCTTCCAGTCGTGGTGGCGGTGGGACTCGGAATCTAGGATCTGCAGACCCTCAATCAAATCAAACGAGGTATGAAAGATGCTATGTCTTCTCAAGACGTGACCCCAAACATCTCGTATATGCTGACCGTGGCCTGCGTCAGAGCTCCAGGGAAAATCAATGGACACTACCATATAGCTGGTTGGTGATCTCTGGATAGAAGACCGTATCATGCCGTTCTGAGTTGCTGTAATTGCAGCTGAAATTGAGCTGTCTTCTTGAGATGATTGCACGACTTTGTCTTCTTGATCGACAAGTTCCGGCGGACATCTATTCAGTCTCTCCGACAAATCGAGCAAAGAAGGTGACTCGAAAATGTCTTGTAATTGAAGAGTTTGATTCCTTTCTCGCAGATAGGAAAGCAGTTTGATGGCTAGCAGAGAGTTTCCGCCCAGCTCCCAAAAACTGAAGTTCATCGAGATGGAACTGATATCCAGATTCAAGGCGTGACATACAGCCTCTTGCAGAATTGTGGCCTGAGTGCCGTGAGTATTGCATGAACCTGCCATTTGCTGCGAGCTGATTTGATCTTTCAGTTTGTTGGCATCGATCTTTCCATTTGAGGTTTTATGGAGTTCACGGTACGCTAGAATCTGGTCTGGCACCACGAAGGGATCATGCAACTGCGACAATCGGTATCTCATCTCTTTGACGCTAATAGTATCAGGAGTCACAGCTGCTACCAGCTTGTCTTGATGCTTGAATGCAGTGGCCGCTTCAACGCCGGGGTATGACAGCAGAATCGGAAGAACATCCATCTCGAGGTTGACTAGGTATCCCCTATTCTTCACCACACTGTCTTGTCGGCCACAGAACACGATCCCCTCAGAAATCCTACGAACACGGTCAAGGGTCCGATATACGCGTGTGCCTTGTCGGGAAATAAATCTCTCGCTGGTTAGCTTGTGGTTCTTGAAGTACCCGGAGGCAAGGCAAGGTCCACTGATGTACAGCTCTCCTTCGGTCGATTCTTCCAAGAGGTCGTTCAAAATTAGGAGCTCCGTGCCGGGGATTGGGTGCCCCAGTGTAATTGGGACGCTGGGTTTCAGCTCCGCCATGCTTGTACAAATTGTTGCCTCAGTTGGGCCGTAGCAGTTGAAGATTCGTCGTTGTGGACGCCACCACTTCTGCAATAGCCCTGGACTTGGTGACTCGCCACCTAGGAAGATGGACTTAATATTGTTATACGCTTCGGGACTGCCGAGGGTTCCTAAAAGCGATGGTGTTGCTGGCAGTATGGTGCATTTTGTTGCATTTTGGAGAACATTTTCAGGCTCTGAGAGAACAAGGTGTGCGCCTTTACACAGAGTACTGAAAAAAACGCCCCAGGCCGCTGCAAGTGAGTTATATCAGTGGCTTGTTTCAATTTGTGCATCGAAGCTGGTGGGTGTTTTCTTTTCCTTTTTCTTTTTTTTTTTGGGCCTTACCGTCAAATGCAAGTGAGAACAAGAGCAACACGGTATCCTCCGGGCAGAGGCCCAGGTTGAAGGGCATTCCCTGGCTGCTCTCTTGCCGAACATAATACTCGACACACCGTCGAGGAATAATCACTCCTTTGGGAATGCCGGTTGTGCCAGAGGTGAAGATTATGTATACCGGCTCTTCCACGCTCCGGCTACCATCTACAAGGATATCGACCGAACTGAAACCAAACTCTGCAATGTCGCCGTTGTAGACGCGCTGTACCTCGTGTGCCGTGATTTGGGGGACTTTGTCCAGGTTGAGCTTCGTCGAATGAGAAACGATGACGAGTTTGGGCTCAACAACCTGCAGTACCGAATCGACTCTTGCCTGGCTCCACGATTCGGCGTCGATAGGCACAAAGCATGCCCCCAGCCTTAGCAGTGCAATCACTGAGGCCACGCTCTCTAGAGTCCTGGACAAACAGATGGGAACTGTATGGCCACCTTGTACGCCACGAGCGTGGAAAAAGGCGGCCAAGGATAGAGAAGCCGTCTCCAACTCTCTATAGGTCATCGACCGTTCGCCTTGTGAACAAGCGATTGATTCCGGCCTATCGCGGGAATGGCTACAGATCATGGCAAAGAGGGAGTGCATTCCGCTCTCGTGGGATTCCTTGGAAGCTGACATGGTTGATTTTGCAAGCATTTCGACGACCGGGGGCGTTGTAGAAAGGACGGGCGGCGCGGTACGGTGTATTTGAGGGAGTATACGGGTAGTATCTTCGGCACATATCTGCACCAATTAAGGTGGTAATGGAGCTTATGATCTTTTTGAGAATCTCGAAAAGAGGGCCTCTATAGTGGCTTTGCTTTTGACAGCTACGTGTGATTCATCTATCCAACTATCAAAATAAAGACTTTTGTCCTAGAAGCTCAGCGGTGATTTGGAATGAAGCCCCCATGCCTGCCAAAGATCCTGAAAAGATCGCATTAGGCACATTTTTCATCATGCCACAGCTATCCCCAGCCGCAAAGACCCCCTTGACGCTTGTCTCGAAGAAGGGAGGCCCTGCTTTGATGTCGCAACTGGGAGTCTGCTCCAATCCAAGCTGCTCGACGAAAGGCCCACGAGGCTTTGTTTGAGGAGTGTGAGCCAAAAACCCCTCCAGTTTCTCACTTCCGTCCTCGAATATCAGGCGTACAGCTGCTGCTGACTTGTCCGGCTGTTTCTCCAATCGCACTATCTTGCGATCATCCACCGTCATGACCGCTGTAGTGCCTATTCCTGCACTTACGTCTCTGGCAACATCCTCACCGCCATTCGTGTAGATGGTGACATTGCGACTGAGCGCAGCGGCTTGTCGAGCGACGTGCAAAGCCAACGGGGCTTTGGACAGTCCGCCGATGGCGAGTACCCCAGCGGAGTTGCATCCTCGCTCTTCAAAGCCTTTGCAGAACAGGCAGTGGAATCTGGGAAAATACGCGGGGTTATATACTATTAGACTGGCTCCATCATTTTGATGCAGATATATACTCACATCCCCTTCCCCCAGCATTCGGCATAGCCGTCGATGGCAGGGAAGATATCCTCAACTCCAACTGCCAGAATAAGCTTCTTCCCTGTCCAGAGCGTGCCACTATGGTCCGTGAGAGTGATTTCACTGGTCGAGGCGTCTTTCTGGACTTTGACAACGGTGGTCCGATGAATGGCGATCTGCTCTGGATAATTGGCAGCAAGATTGTCGTTTGCCTTGCTACGGAAGTCTGAAGGCTTGACATGGTCAAATCCCGGAATCAGGTGCATGAAATCGGCTGGGTCATTTCTATATGTCCCGGCGTCGAAAATAAAGGAGGTCTGTTGTTGACGAGCGAGCGTGAGCGCAGCTGTCAACCCAGCGGGGCCACCACCAATGATGAGAGCGTCAGCAGCGTTCGCCATTTGGAAATTCGATGTGAGTGACTAGCTGACTATTCCGAGGCGCAGAGAGGGGCCGGCGGAGGGGATAAATACAGAGAAAAGAAGATGTTTTACTCGCCGAGGATAATCGCCGGCGAAAGGAAACTTGTATAAAGTATGTGCCTTTCGGCGATTTACCTGCATAGACTTTTCACACAATAGGAACTCGAATACAATGACTATTTACATATGCACTCGTAACTCGGACGACTATTCGAATATCGGGAACTATAGAGGTAAATCATATCCAAACATCCCATTATCCAGAACAACATCAAAGTCTACTCTTCACCAGGCTTTTGACCCCAGACAAAGTAGACCCTCAGAGCAAAGTGATATTTTCTCATCTCCTCGGCCAATTGTTTGGGTAAGTCGGTCCATTCCTGTTCATTGAAGCCGATGATCTCGGGTCTAGAATCAATCAATCAATCAATCAATCAATTGGAATTCAGCAGAGAAAGGAAAAGAAACGTGGGGACCAACCCAGTAAAAGATTGAAAGAAGCCCAAAATCGACAGAAGATTTTGGAGGCCGCGCTCGCCCAGCTCTGGATCTGGATGCGCCGACCCAGCAAGCATGTCGACAGCTTTATAGTCGACGTTTACGAAGCCGGCGTGAGAGAGCCGGTCAGCCAGCTTTGTGGCAGCAAGAGGGTCCGAGACGACGCTGCTCGTCAGTTTGTGGAATGCTTGAACCGCCTTGCACGACTCGATTGGTTGTGACACGGGGGTCTGGAAGTCCATCTCAACGAGCTGCATCCAGCCCCCCGGCTTCACGCATCCAGCCAGATGTGAGATAACCTGTGGAACCTCGTCGGCCTTGAAGAGAGGAATGACAAAGCGTTGGTGAACAAAGTCAAAGGCATTGTTCCAGGCGGCTGGAAACTCTTCAATGAGGTTTTGCTGCACGATTTCAAAGACATCGACAGGCGGATATTGCTGAGGCCTGTTGGGAGAAGTGTGAACAATTGGGCTTTAGCTCGTAACACCAGAGAAAAGGAAAGGGGAAACAAAAAAGAAAGAAAGAAAAGAAAAGAACAGAAAAAGACTCAACTCGTTATCGAAACCCACGAATTCGGTGTCTTCAGGAAAGACTCTCTTCGCATCTTTCATCCAGTATCCTGCGCTCCAGTCAGTCCAGCAATGCAATGCTAGGTAAGCAGTAGTCCCTCCTCCATACCGTCTGCAGTGGCAGCATCCAGTACACGCATGCCGCTGCGTTTCAGGTCAATCGGCGCGAGTATCAGTCCATGAGCACTGCCCTTGACCCATTCATGCTGGTTTTGCATACGCTTCGCTTCTTCCACGTTGCGAGGCAAGAAATATCTACCGGCGACGTCTTTCTTCTGTTCCTCCGATAACATTTTGCCAAAGGTCTTGAAAGAAGTCTATAAGTATGCGTTTAGCGAAGTTACGGCTGTAGTAGAACACGCCTATATATATTATTCGGAGGGTAAAATCATTACTGTGAAGTACCTAGGTACCCTGCACTAGGCCGGCGAATATGCTCGGTGCGTATTACAACTTGGAGATTCTTGATGAAACAAAGTACTTTTTAACGAAATTCTTGAGTCACAGACCATACAGTTCGATTCATCATCCAAAAAGCCAAGCTAACTCCTTTAATGCAACAAAAAAAACCAACGTCAATCCGAAGAAAAGAAGAGAAACAAAAAAAAAAAAAGAAAAACGGAATGTCAAAGAAAAGAAACGAAACGAACAGCAAAAGGGGTGTGTTGAATGTACATGTTAAATAGATATAAAGATCAAAACATATGTTCAATGGTTTTCTCTTCTCGTCTTCCCCTTACGTGTAAGTATGTATGGCCTTCATGTTGGCTTTCAGGACCAAGAAAGACAAAAGGAAATATGTATATAAGAAAAGCTTCCTTGAAAAAGAGTTTAACCAAATCTTGCACTTAAGCTCGCAAATGCGTCAGGGCTATGTCGGCCGCTTTGGAGATTATTGATATCTACACTTGCTTTGCTCATGTGTAATGGTGCTCGGGGCATGTAATTGTTCGCCTGTGTTGTTGTGGGAGGAGGAGCTGATGCTTGTGTTGGTCCCGACCCTAGGCCGATCCCTAGACCATTTGATTGGGCTGCAGCCGGAGCTGATGAATGAGAGGCCATCATCGCATATGGATTGTTGTTATGCTGCTGCTGAGTAGTGTTGTTCATGAACGGGTTTGAGACTGAGACAGCCCCCGTCGGAGCATTGCTTTGCGGAATCGTAGCCATGCCATTGTAAGGAGTCTGCGACTGCATGGTCTGTTGTTGCTGCATTTGCGGAACCTGAGATTGCTCGGGAATCGTCGACATTGTCGGCGCTGCAGCTGGCGCAAGGTTATATAGTGCTAGAATGCTATTTTTGTCCGCTCTGGCAGGTTGCTGCTGCTGCTGCTGTTGAAATTGAGCGTATGGGTTTTGCTGCTGGGTATATTGAGGTTGTTGGAAATTGGGTGCATAAGTGTGGAAATTGTTGATGTTAATATTATTATTATATGCGGTATCGAACGGGTTATTGCTTGATGGTTGAGGATTAGTTTGTGGCTGTTGGTAGAACGTAGCAGCCGCAGTCTGTGGCGAAGAAGAAGACTGGGAAGAAGAGAAAACGGGCATAGCAAATCGCTGGGATTGTGCTAGATTCTGCTGCGCACCACCGGTGGACTGTGCTGACAGCGAGTTGGTGAATGGGTTGGCTGGCGAAAAGCTCCGTGTGGGCTGTATAGGTGTTGACTGTGCGGTTTGACTGCCAAAGTAGGGATTTGCAGCATTTTGATTGATCGGAGAGGCTGTCTGGAAGAATGGATTGTAACCCAGAGGCTGTGGAGAGCTTGTATATGAATGCGATGTGTAGAGTGGTGTGAGAGCCATGTTGCTGCCAGTCATCTGGTGGCTAGCACTAGCATAACCCCCCGTGGTATGGGGAGACAAAGGCTGCGCAACCTGCATGTTCTGGAATGCGCTCTCGAGACCTGTAGCAGAAGGGTTTTGTGTGTTGGGCACATCAAACGGATTGTAGGGTTTGGCGGGCTGCGGTGTTGTTGTATGTGCTCCGGCAGAGCTCGTCACAGTCGATGTAATGCTCCAGGGATCATCGGCCTCCGCTTTAGGGGTAGGCAGGCTAGTAGCAGTAGACGGTTTTCGAGGAGCTGCTGCAACTTGAAGGAAATTGCCCCCCTCTCCAAGACGAACCAAAGACTCCACCGCGCGATTCAGGTCGCCTCCGACACCCTTCAAGACGGACGCATTTCGTTTGTGGTTCGGGAAGCCCATGTCTTTGAGTTGGTCCAGTTTCGTTTCCAGGTTATCAACATCTGCAATATTGGCGCCAAAGACTCGCGATTGCTTATTGAGCGACAACGAGGGCGACAAGGTATTAAGCGTGGCAGACCTAGGGGAGCTTGGTTTGTCAGAGTGACGAGGCAAGCGACTGGTGGACGAGACAGATCGCAGCCCAAATCCAAACTTCCTGCCACTCTTCGGCGGAATTGGAGGCGGAGGGGGCGATGGCGACGATTCATCCAGTGATTTTTGTGTATGATATCCCGAATCGTCCCTGCTCGGTGGTTTCGGTTTGCCGTCTTCCAGCACGCGAAACTCGTATTTCTGTCTGATAAATCGCTCCATTGCCAAGTCCACTTCGTCGATGTCGACGGGAATATCGGGCTTGACATTGCGCGGGTTGTACTCCTTGTTGACGATGGTATTTCCTCGTTTTTTCATGTTCTATAGTCGTGTGTTGCAAGTGCATACATACAATGAGCGTTCGTCGGCCAATTTGTCATCCGATGTCTTTTCATCGAGCTCACCTCAACCTGATCCGACGTCCAGCTGTCCATGCTTAGGGACTTGACCTTTGAGATATGTGTTCCCATTTTCCGATGAAGCGATCCGCATCGCATGCAGAGGAAGGCGCCCAGCTATCTCATACGTATCAGCATAGAAGTCGGGGAGGATTGGTTTCGGACGAGACTCACGTTCCAACTTGCCCATCCTATGACACAGACAAGACAATTAGTATGAGAAATTAACCGACAGAATACACGGATGCAGGAAAAGCTGGATCGTACCTGGATTTCGCGCCTGGCAATCCGCACATTGATCATTGCCTGGAACTGAGCGAATGAGGTCGTGCAGCGCCCTCTCATGGCGCGCCTGCTGACGCTTATTTATTATGGAAGCCATGGCAGTTCAAAATGAAGGACCCCCCAGAAAAAAAGAAATGAAAGAAGAAAGAAGAAAAGGAAAAGCGCGCGACTAGACACAATGCATCGATCAGTAGGAATAGGTAGTTATGCGAGAGAACACGGTCTTGGGGATCCGGATGCGGGAGGGACAATGGAAGGCCGCCGTCGCATGCCAGTTGGAAGCAAAGGAGGAATAAGGCATATACACGTTTGAGAAGTCATGTACAGTCTTCAACGGCGAAGAGTCCAGCGGCCTGGAGTGCATGCAGAGACAAGACGAGGAGCGAGGAGGATGTGGGAGAGAGAGTTCGGCGCACTCCGCACTCTAACTAAACGCCCTCTGCAGGTTGACTAAGGAAGGAAGATAACTAGTTATGGGGCTGCAAAGACGGGCCAGGGGCTGCTTTTCTCCCAAGTTTCTCGTCCTACGACTTACGTGCTATCTAGCAGCTGTTTCTACTGTGGAATCTTCCAAGTTTACTGTGTTTGGCATCTCGGCGCAGTATTGGATATGATATATCGCATTCAAAGAAAAAAATACATCATGCAATGTCGGAACAATTGGAGGACCCGTCCAACCATACGAAAAGAAATACATATACACATACACTGGTGTATGTGTATATTTCTTTCTTTCCGGGCTCGACAAGAGAAACAGTTGCCCCTGAAAACCACCCCCTACACACCTCCGAAAAAAGCATGCAGGAAAATAGTTGTCACTCTGGTTCGCCAATATGACCTGCCATCCCATCGAAATGTGTATGTCTACACATTACGGGAAAATTGGAGGTTGATTATGCGTTCGTAGGTAAAATAAATGTGTGATGATATTAGGAAAGGAGGGAAGAAGAGCGAGAAGGGAAAAAAAAAAAAAAGAATTTGTATGGCGGCTGGTTTGTGGAGGTCACGTGGGTTTGGCTTGTTTGTTTGTTTGTTCTGCTTTTTAACTCGTGCGGCAGCAGTTGAAGAGAATTTTCTTCCTCTTCTCTTCCTCTTCCATACGGAGTCAGAGACTATTATCATTTATTATTGTACGACTCGTTAATGTCGCGAGGGTTCAATTAATCATTTCTTTTGATTCACCAAAATATCAATCAGGACTTCCAAAAAAACAAGTCAAACCAGATCGAATTGCGATCGAAAAGTTGACGCAAGTTGACACAAAAGTTGAACCACCATTATCCACGTCTTCAGCTCCTTTCAATGCTATGGACGTTTTTCCTCTTTTTTTTATTAGTTCGTTCGGTGGAATATAAAACCCCATACAGTTTTTAGCAGGACTGCGTCTACTTCCACCCTGTTGTTCTGCTTTCCCATCGAGCACACAGGACTATTTAAGTGACGGACATTTATATATCTAGATTATCTATCATGGGATATCTATCATAAGAATGAACGATATACATCTTGAAGAATGAAATCTTTTCTTATCATCACACATGTCTTGAGTAGTTATACAGTGCTGTTTCGCCCTTATTCTATCTGTCGTTAAAAGAGTCGTGAGGCTATCGTGATCTGCCCTGGGCACGAATAGGACTGGGGTCAAAATAAAACGCAAACACCCGTTGCATATTTGCGTGGTGGAATGGAAGACTTGGGTTCAATAGCGTCTCCAGTTTCGCCGTTCGATGAGCCGAGATTTCTGTGAGTGCATGCACTGTCAGCTTCACACCCTTGCAACTCTGCGCCTTGGTAAGCCCCAAACGAACCTTGCATATGATTGTTTCCAATTTCATTGATTTTATCAAGGAACATTGGAATATCCCTTGAGCCGTTACCAGCTCGACGAGTCCTCTCTCTGAGCCAATCACTTTTTCGATGGCGAACATGCAAGACGGTGTTTTTGAATGCTGTCTCCACGTCTCGAATGTAGGAAAAGGTCGTTTCCCTTAGGTCTGAGATTTCACGCTCAGCAGGCAACCGGTAGTTATCCATCAGAGAAGTCTGTAGATAAGAAGAAGTGGCTACAACGAGTATGGTCATGCAATGTACATGGCATAGATGGCACTCCGATATCTTTTTTGAATTGGTTCTTTTGAAGGCTTCAAGAGCTGACATGACCTTCTCAACGAACTGTCTGTAAAGATCAAAAAGCAGACTTTTCACGCATTTATTGATTGGCCGCGACGAATTCAAGTATGTTTTATCGGCCACCAGGAATCGCAAGTTGTTCATTACGCCAAGCTGGGCGTCCGATGGAATAGAGACCGGCAACGACAGCATGGTTGTCACCAAGGCCAACATCCATGTATAGGATAGGTTTTTGTCGAGCTGAAGTTCGTCTTGACGGGACTTTCGTGTTTTCCAAGATTGAACAGAATATTCCCACGTCACGAGGAGAAGTTCTCGTATCCATCCAACGTCTTCTGCACCAAAACAAACCCGTAGCCAACCTTCCATATCGCTCCGGCTTCTAAGTGTTTGTTTCAACCAATTCATTACATATTTCTGAACGTTGCCTGAATTGCTGTTGCTTGGATATACCGGGAGACTGTATCCATACAGAGCTGACTCGGGGTGTTGATCGCTGGGACCGACGACATGCGAGAATTGAATTTCCGTCGTCATCGGATTGTATTCAGCGCCTTTGAACCCGTAAAAAGGCCTTCCGAATCCAAAGTGCAACGGCAAATCAAAGTCGTCCTGGCCATATCTGCGTAGAGTATGATAGCTCATAAAGCCAGTCAAGGCTTGCGGTTGTAGGCGCGTCGCCAGAATTTCTATAATTGTCTCAGATCAATGAACAAGGGAAATACCAGCGTGCTTCCAAAAAACAGGGTCTTACCAGGTTTGAAGACATCTACCAGCTCCTTGAATGAACGGACGCAGCCGTCCCATTTGCGTCCCTGGGTACTGCTACAACTTATGCAGGGCTTCCCTTCCGAACACTGCATGTAATTAGCAAAAAGGACACAACCCGGGAGTACTAGGACAGATTGTTTTTTTTTTTTTTTTTTTTTTTTTTTCATTTCACTCTTTACCTTTTCTTTCAATGCTTCACATCTCAAACATGCGCCACCTATATCACGAACCCGACGGATATTTTGTACAGATTCCCGTGACAAATTCATTCCAGACTGACGGCCACCTCTCCGTGGTCTTGTCTCAAGTCTGGTGTTCACGTTTTCCGAGCTCACTGCACTGGCAGTGTCGGAAGGCCCTCCAGGCGTTGTGGCGCGGGAGCCGAGTCGGTCAACATAGGTTGGCACATTCAGATATACTGTCTCAGGACCATATGCTCTTCTATGGACATGATTGGTGTCCAACTCATCATAATGAGCCCATGGAGGCGCATTGTTGTGATTACGGGTGAAGGTATTGCCTGGCTCAAAAAAGGGATTCAAGAATCCTTCGTGATCGGGTTGAGCCAACTCTGTAAATGGATCGCTTTGGAGAAGATCTAGTAATAGATAATAGCGAGCAAGGATTAGTAACCGGTGAGGCCCAAGTGCGTAATCGAAAGAAGACTTGATAAGTACAGTACCTTGCTCTATCTGAGGAGATATAACTCCTGTTGCATCGAGGTCATCCGCAAACGCAGGAGAACTTTCTTGCTGTTGCATCCAGTCCCTGCTAGTGTTGCTTGACCCTAGGATTCTGGTAGCGGACCAGACCATGCGCGGGTCACTGCTCTCCCCGGTGGAAGAACTTGCTGTAGAAGGATATGCATCAGAAACAGTATGTCCAGTGCTACCAAATATGCCCTCCTCCTCAAATTGAATGTAGGGAAGAATTGGATCGGGCTCCATGAGGGATAGCAAAAGAATGTCTTGTTTCAGGTGAGGCAATTCCGTAGTTCCAGGTATATATATAGAGAGAGAGATTGGCAGATAGATACGATAGTTTCAAGCGTGGGTAAGTTTTGCATTGAAACTGGGTAAATAAGATGGCCTCAAGCGTATAGTCCGTGGGTATCACGATTGATTATATTCTAGCAAGCGCAGTGGTTTTACGGGGAAGGTAAGAGCTTGGTCGTTTGGGATGGACGCAGAAGAGAAGACGGAGCATCGCCTCACGCTAAAGCTCTCTGAACGCGGTACCGGAAACATTGCGAGACCAATTGACTGAATCTTGTCCAGGCCGATAGCTCCAGCGTCTGGATGGATGCGTTGGCACTCCATGCCCGCGAATCCGCATCGTTTCGAAGTGGCTCAGCAGGACGATGCGGGATGAGTTAGGAAATCTAGTCGAGGCGAGAACACAGCAAAGCTAGAGCTGGCGACGAATCGCATCTCGTGGTTGGGTTGAACGCAGGGGTCGGTACTGCTACTGGAAAAGCGAACCCGGGGTGGCGAAGTTCAACGCCGCCAAAATGAGGCAGCAGAAAAGGAAAAATAGCACGGCCAAGAAGAGCACCCCAAACATGACCTAGCCGCCGGCCGGTGTAAAGAGACAGAAGACTGGCCTAGCCAGAGCCCGGGTCAAGCACTGACGAGTGCTGGCAAGCTGCTGCGGGCCCCAGGCGCAGCTAATCCATGTATATAGCGAGTAGCCATGCTGCAACAGCCGGGCCGTCGGTTCAATTTATGCTTCACGAAGCACTTTCTGACTCACCGTGACTGAACAGTTAGCTTGCTTCGTGACTCACCGCTTTGCTCACGTCCGGTCGTCCAGTGAGCACAACAAGGCTGAAGGCGCGGAGAGAGAAAGCAAGAGCAAGAGCAAGAGCAGTCAAGTCCGTCGGCCTCGGCAGATGAGGTAAGCTGAGCTCTCCTACAAGGCAGACCTCCTCATCCACAAGTCCATCATCAGACAGGTGGACACGTCCGGCTTTTTGAACGATATGAATTGTTTATATTAGAATCGTAGAGCTAGCTGTAGCCCTTCACGTCTGCTGGACGCCTTGCCTTTTGGGTATTTGTGCATCGATCATGAATCATCGTCCCATGCCTGCATAACCATTGACTGACTACCATGGCCATCGAGACTCGTAGAATGCCTTCTCCAGCGAACCAGGCCCATGGATCCAAAACGCCCACTGATGCACGCTCGCATCACTTTTCAGTGTTCTTTCTACGTTGTACATTGCCTCGTCCAACTATTGACACGACTGGACTTGTACGAGAGAGCATAAGAAGAGGGGGAGAGATAAAAGCCAAGCCCAATAATATACATAGTCAATGCTATAACTAACGAATATGCTTATATATTCCGCAACGCAATGCAGCCAATGGCAGACCTATAGCTTCTGCTCGACGTCGAAGTAGCCATTTGTCTTGAGCCATTGCTCGACATCCTCGCGGTCTCGCTTCAGCCAATGAGCTTTGGCGCGGATGGCATCCAAGCTCTGGCCCACAGCTCGGTCAAAGCCCTAATAAAAGAGTTTTTTTGCGGTTAGTTCAACTGCACGAGTCGTTCAAAGTCAAAAAAAAAAAAAAAAAGTGTGAGGGAAGAATCTTACCTTGGTGTCTTTCGGGGCGAAAAATGCCTCGACCTCCTTGAGCTGCTCTTCCGTGTTGAACGCAACAGCCGAAAGCTGAATGATCGTACCCAGCATGCCCAGAGACGGTGGGAATCGTGCCACGATGGCGTCCCAGTTCTCCAGCAGCCACTTCCATCGCTCTTCGACACCGGTAACGTGGTTGCGGAGTCCAGAAAGGGGCATGTATACGTCCTGGTTCCTGACCTCGCCGTTGGTAGCCAGTTCAAGCGTTCTCCGCACCAGGGCGATATCCTCTGCAGCCCCCAAGCTTCGAAGAGCGGTATTCTTCTCATCCGAAGTTGAAGCAGTACGGAATATTTCCAAAATGGCATTGTATTCCTTTTCGCCGCCGTTCTTCAGAACAATGTTGTACACGCTACCGCGGATGTTGGGGTGAATTGCGGTACGGTCACCCTCAAGGAAACGCTTGAACATGTCTTGAGCAGCTGCCACCACCTTTGAGTCGCCTGCTGCGCCAGCACTGCCAAACAGCATGGCCTTGAATTGCTGCAGGACGTGGTCGTCCGAGTCCGAGAACTCCCAGCCGACCTGGTGTGCCTTCTCGCTGACCAAGGCGCGTTGGAACGCCTTCAACGAGTCGCGAGTTTTCTGGTCCTCAAAGAGCCAGGCTGCCCGCACGCTGCCCACTCGTGTAAGCATCTCGTTCCAAACAATAAATTCGGTCTCGGTATCAAACCCCTTCAACAGAGACAGCAAACCCGAAGTCTTCTGATAACCCGCGGCAGCCAGAGCGCCCGAGTCGGCCACCATACCAGCACGGTCTTCAACGGTCAGCAGGCCTGCCTTAGCAGCATTGCCTAGCTTCTCCAGGCGTTCGGGAGTGTACGATGTTCGGTATAGGCCTGAATGGTCGGCATTCACCTTGAAGAAGTCAAGGTCGGGCACTTTGAACTCATTCTCACGCTTGTCAAGAACAAGTTCGTCATGAACGCCATCTTTCGTCCGCAGAGCCAAGAAAACAGGATAAATCGTCTCATCTTCCTCTGGTTTGACGTCCCCAGTGCGCAGGAAACGGTTCTGCTTGAGGTTCACCGTGCCTTTGCTTGGGTTCTCAGTGACCTGAACAACGGGGAATCCAACATATTTGGTCCACACATCCATGACTTCTTCAACTGGCTTGCCGCTGGCCTTTGCCAAAGCAGCCCAAAGATCGCCAGTCTGTGTGTTTCCGTAAGCGTGTTTTCGGATATAGTCACGAACACCCTGGAGGAAAGTATCCTCGCCCAGATATTTAGAAATCATGCGGAGAACAGAGGAGCCCTTGGAGTAGGAGATAGCATCAAAAATCTGATTAACTTCATCAGCACGCTTCACGGGCACCTCGATGGGGTGGCTGCTTCGCAGTGAATCGAGAGACAGGGCGCTCTGGAGGTTGTCAATCACGTAGGTTTGCCAAACCTTCCACTCTGGGTAGAAGATGTTGCATGAATACCAAGACATCCAAGTAGCGAAACCTTCGTTTAGCCATAGACCATCCCAGAAATCCATGGTAACCAAGTTACCGAACCACTGATGAGCCAACTCGTGCTGAACAACCTCAGCAACACGTTCTTTCACAGATGCTCCACTGGTCTTCTCGTCCAGGAGCAAATCAACGACACGATAAGTAATCAACCCCCAGTTCTCCATGGCACCTGCGCTGAAGTCCGGAATGGCAACCATGTCCATTTTGGGCAGCGGGTACTCGCTGTCAAAAGCCTTCTCGTAGAACGCCAGCGTCTTGGCGGCCAAATCGAGCGAGAAACGACCATGCTCAATATCCTGGTCTAGGGTCGCGTACACACGCACAGGCACACGGAAATCGTTCGATTCAATGACCTTGAGTTCACCAACAATGAAAGCCACCAGATAGGTAGACATGACCGGGGACTTGTTGAACTTGACCGCCTTCTTCGTACCACCCGAGACCTTCGATGTCACCTCAGACTCGGAAGCGACATCCATGTTGCTCAGGCACGTCAGGTGTTTATCGGCAATCAAAGTGATAGTAAACTCGGCCTTGAGAGCCGGCTCATCAAAGCAGGGAAATGCTCGGCGAGCATCCGTGGGCTCCATTTGAGTGGAAGCAATATACCCGGTTCCACCATCAGCAGTCTTGTACGACGAGCGGTAGAAACCGGCCATGTTGTCATTGAGGATGCCGCTGAAGGTCTGCTTCAACTGAGCCTTGGACCCGGCTGGGATAGTCTCGACGAAGTTGACGGTAGTAACTTGCTTATCCTTGTCGTAGGAAACGGAAGGGCTGGAGGTGACGACGGCTCCATCGACAATGATTTCGCTGGTGTGGATTTCGAGTTCGCTGGTGTTTAGTGAGACCGAGTTGGTGTCCTCGTTGACGTTGAGACTGGTAGGGGAGAGAGAGTTAACCCAATTAGCGACATGTCTGTTTTAAATTTTTCTATACCATCTTTTTTTTTTTTTTTTCTTTTTTGGCGCCAACCTTCATCCAACGGGATATGGCAACTCACTCGATCACCACGGTTCCCTCATAGGTGAATTTCTCAAAGTCGGGCTCGAGGGTCAAGTCATAGTGCACCGGCTTGACATTGGTCGGGAGCACCTCTCGGCCTTGGGCAAGGGTCGAGCCCAGAGCCTCGTCGGTGCGTCTAGAGTGACACATTCTGCGGTAGGAGCAGTGTCGTTTGGAGATTTGGGCTAAGGGAGCAGTCGTGGAGGACGAAGTGGCGGTGGGACGGAGAGAAGTGCGTGTGGTTGTGGTGGGCGCAATGCGGAAGGGAGGCGGGGAAGAGCGAGTCGACGCGATAGCAGCAGCAGCAGAGAAAGTGCGCAGCAGGTTGGAGTTCCTTATCAAGCGAGATTGTGTTGTTGTTGTTGTTCGCGTTGTTGCAAGCACATTAGGTTTGGCCGAGTGCCAGCAGACTCGTGGCAAGACAGACGACAGGCTGACGAGAGGATGCATCAATTAGGCAGGTTCCGCGGTCAAGGGCCGCGCGCTGTCCAAAGGAGGGGTACTGGCTACTACTTTACTCCACCGCCAAAAAGATAAAAGAGAGCGTGAGAGGCAGAGAGGCCGAGCAAGCATACGAAAACAGAAGCTCGATTTGCTTTCAATTATTTTATTATGGAGATTTGGATCGTTCGCTAACTTGTTTTGGTTTAACTCGTTTTGCATGCGACTCGCCCATTCGCTATCACGGCGCCCATAATATCGCATGTCCCCCTCAGAGATAGAGATTGCAACGATGCGATGCCATTCTCTGACTGTACGCAACTGTTACGATTATTCATGCGACGCTGGTTCTGGTATCATGAGATATGCGCATTCTGCTTCTGCTTCTTCTTCTCCCACGTCTACCTCTGCTGCCTGAGGCCGCGACAGCCGCCCGGAACCCGACTCCGACTAACCCGAAGCAGCCTAGTGCGAGGCAGCATCACGTGATATAACGCGCAGACTAGTAAGAGTTGCTTTTTTTTTCTCGCTTTCTTTCTTCCTTTCACTTATCATGCAGCACTTGTATGCAATCACAACCTTGCGAGTCTGACTTGTTGTTACATAGAGAACTTGCTTCAATATGCATGCGACGCTGCTAGATCACGTTATTCCAGCAAGTTTGAGGTGTCTATTCTTTTCTTCTCGCATCGAGAGGGACTTGAGGTGGATGGGCTACCATAGATGACTGGGACATTCTGTTTTTCTCTATCGTTACGTGCCTCTTGTCTTTATAGACGGGATTAGGAAACTATGACCGGTTATTGTAATCAGGTAAGAACTCTACCTAACTAAGTAGGTACTTCGAAATACAAAAACAAGAAGAAAACAGTTCGTTCCAATCAACATAAAAAAACATTCAACAGTCCCCTACGGTGCAAAATTGAGCTGAGAAACCGTACGTAGTAGTGGTGGTGATCTTTGCAGTGAATTCAGTCTCTGTCCCTTGTACATTATTCGTAACCCAATCCAAAACAAAACACCGTCAAAACTTGCAATCACGCGCGCGCCCAAAAGAAGACAAAAAGAAAAAAAAAAAAAAAAAAAAAAAAAAAAAAAAAAACGTGTGACAAGAAAGGAATAAACAACGCTCTTTACCCCCTGTAGTCCGAAATCCGAAATCCGTAAGGGTTAAAGTAGATGATATGTTTCAGTCAGTCTGGTTCTGACGGGTTCTCAGTAACTCCGATGTCTGTAGAACCCCGAATATATGAAAGGAAGAAAGGACAAGAAAAGAAACTCCACACATAACTTCTCCGGTAAAGACGCTTTGCAAAGCACAACCACGTTGGGCGACAGTGAAAGAGATATAAGTCTGTCCCCAACCCCCCTCCAATGTGTATTAGTAAAGTAAAAAATATAAATAATAATCAAAAGGATGCCTGCTCCTGAAATGCGTCATTGAAAAAAAAAAAAAAAAAGGAAGAAAGAAAGAAAAGTAACACGAATCGGAATCGAAGAACAAAATGCAAAGTGATTCAAACAAGGTGTTCGTCCAATCTAGATTGTCGAGAAATTGATATCTCATTATCACCGGGGTGGACTGATATCTGGAACTGGATAAGGAATCGCAGGGGACCCCGGTCGTGACCTTGTCGACGGCATTCTGCTAGGCGATGTGCCGACAGGACCAGACGAGTGCTTCGCCATGAGGGCAATCTTCTTGCGAAGAGATGTCAATCGAGAGCGAATGCTTGAAACGACTGTGCCGATTATGATGACTTTGATTAGCGCACATCTCAGGACGAGAATATCAAAAATAGAGTATCTTTACTCACGTTTGCTAACCACCTTGCGATCCTCAACCTGAACTCCGTCGAGAACGATCCTTTCTGAATCAACAACTCGATCACCGCTCTTTTGTGACTGGGACAGTTCATCGTTCTCCAAGACAGCTTCAAGCATGCGAATCGCCGTGATGTAGGCGATTTCGCAACCTTGTAAATCCTCTCCAGTAAGTTCATTGATGGCTGCCGCTCGGCTCATCTCCAAGGCCCGGTCGTACATTAGCTTCTCTGCGGTGACACCAGAGCTGACCACAACATGGTCGGCAGAGGTGCCAAGAGTACCGGCGGAAGCAGAGTCAAGAGAATGGTTGCTCGGATGGTTTGGATGATCAGGCGATAAGCGCCTTTGGCCTTCAATGAGCTTCAGGCGGACGAACTCTGCCTTCTCGAGCACTTCGTTGAACCGATTACGCACCCATTGGACAACATTGTTGATGCGAGTGCCCACGAGAGCGTTGGTTGGAGATGTTCCTTGATTGGGATCTCCAAAAACTTCGCCACGGTTTTTGCGTGCCCACCAAGCTCCAGCAATATCCATTGACTTTGCCAGAAGTGCCAATGCCTTGACATACAGTACCAAAGCTTCCTCGGACAATGTAACCACCGCGTCGGGTGTGAGCTCACCATCATCGGAATCGACAAAAGTCTGCTCCCCAGCCTTGTCTAGATCTGTCTGCACCGATGGAGCAAGCGGGATCAACTGCTTGTACTTCACCTCAGCAAATCCATAAACGACATCGCTCCGAGTAGCGCAATCTTCTATATATTGAACTGTCTTGGTGTCCTCGTCTAACGCAGAATTTGCCTTTCCTCCTTCGCCTGCCATTAACAAACTGTATTGTGCGGCTGGATATGCCGGGTAGGGGTTGTATGTTAATGGCGGAGATCGCCCTCCCTTGCTCAACCCCATGGGCGGCGAAAATCCCACCCCGAAAAGTCGGTCAGTGGCCATGTTCAATGCCTTTGATATGGCTGAAGTAGCGGATGACGGACTCTGGCCATATCGTCGTTCGTATGAGCCTTGGCGAGTATGGGAGTCAGCTCGCGCACGCCCTGAGATTTGTATGGCTTTCGGGGAAGCAGGAGGATTGTTTGCTGATGGAACATTTTGTACTGTCGCTCGTCGCACAATGCCACCAGATAGACGAGATCCTGTGTGAATACGAGGACTATTCGCTAGCTCATCAGCGAAGGCATTGACTTCAACTGCTCGCTTCTCCACAACAACATAGTCGCGCTCAAAAGCTACATCTTGCGCAGCCCGTTCACGCTCGTCCTTGAGTGTTCGGTCTTCTTCTTGTCGAATTATTGGAGATGGAAGAGGTGAGTTGCGGCTTGGCCGTCGTTCGAGAGCCATTTGGTTTTTGTCTACACCTTCTTGTCGAGCTGGTGCAGTTGCATGTGAGATGGGACCCGGCCTTCGGCTGACAACGGCTGCGCGTTGTACATCGCCAGAACGGGGTAACCTATCTCCACTCGGAGTTCGCTGAAGCACTTCAGGTCTTGGGGGAGTCCCGGACTCAATGCGAGGGCTACTGGACTGCCGAGGTGTTGGTGGCAAGGGGGAACGAGTGAACGCAGGTTCTCTAATATCCTCAGAAAGCCTTTGTTCGTGAGAAAGACGCGGCCTAGGTTCTTGTGGATTGGGCAGTCCACTGCTATTATTGTTCGGTGAGCCGGCCTCCATTTGACCTGTCGAGAAATGGCGTTGGGATGGAGGAAGATCATCAGCTACGAGACCAGGAATGTTCTCCTGAATGACGATGTTGTCGAAGAAATCGGCAAACGTCATCCGTTCCACAGGATTCATCTTGAGGAGTCCCCGAATGAGGGATTTAATATCGGCAGAAGTCTCAAGGTCATCCGGGAAACGAATCTTATCCTTGTGGCGTTCAATCCGGCGAAGTAATTCGACATGATTAGATGCCATGAAAGGAGGCTTGCCAACAACCATCTCGTACAAGACCGTTCCGACAGACCACAGGTCGGCCTTGGCATCGTATTTCTCATACCGTAGTATTTCAGGAGCCATGTAGAGAGGAGAGCCACAGAGGGTTTCTGCCAATGATGTCGACGGTAGGGACCTGGCAAAGCCGAAGTCCGCTATTTTGAGCATCGGGAGAGTCTCCAAGCCGGCCAGCGGGGTGAAGGAGTCATCGCTTCCTTTGAAGGGTACTACCTGAGCTATACCGTTGCGATATGATGCAGGGGAAGGACACAGTAGCAGATTTTGGGGCTTGATGTCCCGATGTATTAAGTTCCGATCACGAAGGAACTTTAGCGCACTTGAGAGTTGCTTGAGGAAATGTCGAACGATGACTTCGTTCAGTGCACCCACCCGCGGGTTAGGATATTTGGCAATCATGTCTCGCGTGTACCGGTGGTCCCGAAGTGAGTCTCGCCTTTTGATGAAAAGAGATAGATCTCCCAGTGCACAGTATTCCATGACCAAGTGGATATGGGATGTAGATTCATGGCAGTCGATCAAAGCGACAATGTGCGGATGATGGAGGCCTTTCAAGATATCGATTTCCGACCATAGGTTCTCTTTGAGTTTCTTGTTGAGCTTCGATAGATTGACAGACTTGATGGCAACGTAGGACCGATGTTTCTAGAACAAGAAAGTAAAAAAGAAAAGTCAGCAAGTATTTTTATGAAGCGTGCGCGAACACACAAAATTCTGGCTAATCCAGAACCCAACCCAAGAAGGCTCATGTATAGTATTTAGTAGACTTACCGCATGCACTCCCTGATAGACAGTGGCAAAACTACCCCGGCCGATCTGGTCCAGACGAATATACCGTCCTATCGGCACCTCTGCGTGAGAAGCATCGCGGCGCTGCCTCGTCGAGGGCAGAGCAGGCTGTGCAGACGCCATTATTATCGATCGGCCTCACTCTGTCGTCCGCGGGAGCTCGGTAATCCTCTCTCCAATCTCTCCGTCCGTCACAACTACCTCGACAGCAGGGTATTGGGTGATGAAGAGCAAGGGTTGCCCATGGAGTTGAGCTCACCGTCCGATCGTGGGTGCGACGGGGAACAACAGTGATAAGATAGATGTATGTCCGATACGTATAGAGCGAGGAGTGCTGCGAGCTACGTAGTGTGTGAAGACTTGTGATGATTCGAATCAGTTGATGATGTTCGATGTCGATGGCGATGAAATTGGTGGTATATATGCTTGGGCTGATAGTGGTGATTGATGGGAGGGAACGAGCGAAAGCAGCGGTCCTGCAGGACAAGCCCGTACGACGATGCGACGAATATTAACGCAAACCCGATGAACCCAAACAGACAACAAGTCGATTAGATTTCGAGACTCGAGTCGTCTCGAGAAGGGAAGATACGGATAATTAGTTTCGAGGTAGGGGGGAGCTCCCAAGGTTCCGATCAAGTCTCGAGGGACGACAGGCGAATCGCAGGAATGGGAGCGATAGTAGATAAGAGGACTAGAACGCGGATGAAGTGTGTATGGCGTGAGGATGATTCACAGGAGGGGTGACGAGAGTGTGGCTGTCTGCTCTTGGGATATATAAAAGGAGAAGAGGAAGACGGTGAGTCAGTCAGTTGCGAAAGGCATGGGCCATGAGCTTCTCACCTTCCGACTGCTCGATTGATTGGAGCCAGAGACACCGCAAGGCGTGACCACGACACCTTAGGCAATCCTGGTGGCTTAGTCATGCCAGGCGACCAATTAGCGCACGCGCTGCCAAGTCACGGGAGGCGCTTCATTGGACAGCCGCTTCCGGCCTAGGGCGAGCCAGTTGGCACCGGCAGCTATCGCATCACAGATAAGGATGCGTCGGTGGAGGCAAGGCGCACTGACTGGAGGAGATAAGGGACTGGAGATCTTTCTACTTCTGCTGAGCGTACGGAGAGCTGAGGGTATCTCTGTGCATGTACATATCCATATCCATATAACTATACATCTACTAGCAGAGCATGTTTATGTTTGCCTCTCGATGACGAGACACATTGTTTCTGCCGTGACTTGTTTGCTGGCCCACACACAGCCTTGTGGGCCAGCCGGCGTGATCTCTGCTCTGGACTTCCAGGACGACGACGGAATGCCTCGATGACTTGGGTACCTGACATGCTATGTCACGGTAGAGGATGCGAACAGTTCAGCGCCTAGGGCACAAATAAGACACTAGTTAGCATCGACGATCATATTGTATTGATCAATCTGATATGACGCCATTCTGGGTTAGATCTGTCAAAGCAGGGTATATCTCGACGCTGATTGGCCAGTCCCTCCCCGCATCTATTCATTTCGGCCTCAGGTGTCCAGCTTTCTCTCCATTCCATATTGGAGCCATCCCTTCTGTCAATACTTGTTGTCCACTGGCTCAAACCTGAGTTGGCATGCCACCAGTAAGAATGACATGGTAGAAAATATGACAGGAAGCGAGCTAGGGTTTATCTCGACCCCTGAAGGGTGCAATAGCAAAGGTACATACGGACGCCATGGTTGTCTTACTCATGTCATTATCATAATGTATATATTGAAATCATCACCAGTTTCAAATGTCATCTCTAGATCCAGAAGCCAAAATGCAAAATCCAAACGCCAATCAAGTTTCCTCCCCCCTTCATATTTCCGTTATCTATACAATTATGCCCTTGCCATCGTGCCTGGGATTTTTATTATGTCACATTAGCTCTAGAACCTGTACAAGACGGATAAACAACGTAGCAAATAAGAAAGAAAATCACAATACAATTATACAATGATGTGTTGTTGCACTTAAATTGCCAATCCTCGGACAAGCAGCCACAGTACAACCGGGACAATGACATTATCATTGCCGCCAGTCAGGACAGCCTCGGTGAGACTGGCGCCACCTGCGGCGACAAGACATTTCACGGCTGCGAGGAGCCAGAAAGCAATCAGAGCTGTGGCAGTTGATGTTGATGATAAGGATGGGTCAGAGATGGCGGTCCAACCGCCAACCGACAGCCAGATCCGAGCAGCCATCAAGCCTATAAACACAGCTACGGCAAACGCCAAGCTGCCTTCCAAGGACTTGCCACCGCCCCAGAACCATTTGAGACGGCCGTACCGACGTCCAACGAGCGATGCTGCTGCGTCTCCCATGCCCACACACACAATGCCACTAACCATGCTCACGTCCCGAGAGGGGACTTCCCAGCCTAGCCAAGGCCCATCACCCTCAACCCGAGGCAGGTCGGCAAGTGAAAGCCACAGGGGGATAGCACAGCCAATGAGCAAGAATATGTGCGACACAATGACCGGGCCTCGGTGATCGCGGCCGTCAGTGTAGGGAGCTAGAAAGTAGGTAAGCGGCTTAGCAATTGGAGGCACCTGAGATGCGCGGAGTAAATCGAAAAGCAGAAACACCGCAAGCACAAGGACCAAAGCGAGAGCAGGATACGTCGGGTCAATGTATGTGATGGGAAGAAACATAAGCACCATCATCCCATGAAACACCTTACGTCGTGTATCCACCTCGGTAAATTTGCTTAGTTGAAGGACCGTGGCCATCCCGACTATCAGCACCACCATACAGTACCCACTGATAAGGAGACGGGTGGTTGCTTCTCCAAAAGTTTCCCGACGCAGATGTTCAACCCAACCCATATGACAGAATTGCAGTTCCTCGTGGCGCTTTGGAAGCTGGATCCAATACTCAAGATTACATTTCACTGTCCACAGCCGAAAAGACGGTATGTTTCCAAACATATAACCCAACGCCCAGCCAAATGGATCGCTTCCGTGAAGAGCTGCCTTTGTGATATACCTTCGGACGGGGGCAAGGATGATTAAAAGCACAGCTGCGAATATGTACCCAGCAAAGAGCCATCTTCGAATGCGTGCTTGGGCCGCCGTCAAGGAAAGGAACGAAGCCAGGTCAGGCGCCATCGACCGCTTGCGTCTTCCGCCCGGTGTGGTCCGAGGTTCTCGTCCAGATCTTACGGTTTCGAGATCTTCAACAGTCGAGATGGTATGGCGTCTTCTGTGTGATGTGAGAAGTTGTTTGGTTGCAGCCCAGGAGGAGGGCCACAGATCATCGAGTCGAATACTTTCTGCAGCAGATAAAAGCTCGACACGACGCGCGAAGAAGCCATTCTGACGAGGCAGGCTGCTCTGACGCGGTGATGATTTTATGGGACTGTTGGCATCATCATTATCATCGTCATCGTCGCTATCTGAATCCAGCTCCTTTTCACTGCCCGTACCCAGGGCACTGATCTTTTCGCAAATTTTGTGATCTATAAAATTAATAAGTTTCTTTGGTGACAGAGAGCTACTGGGCGGTCGGCGAAATTTCCAAGTCGGAATTCTAGCCAGTGTTATCTCCCATCGAAGAACAGCACGGCAAAGTACCCAGACACTCAGTCCGCCCAGCCATAGCAGCGCTTTCAAAATCTCGGCTTGGGGTGATGTGGCGAATAAAAAGAGGTTTATGAGACCAGCTCCTAGCAGATGAAGCTCTGCAGGAAGTAGACTCGTAGCGAGAAGAAAGTCGAGGGTGGCTATTAGGGACAGATGTAATGGGTATAGGAGAAGGAGGACCTCAGAATCGAGCCCCCGTAATGACAGCGGTATAGACATAGAGCTCAAATGCGTGATATCATGCTCCGAAAGAATAATCGGGACGGTGCTAATAGCCCATTGAGTCAAACTGAGGCGCCCGTGATGCAATGTATGTAGTGGAACAACTTGAGAGGGTATCGATGAAAGACTAAGGACAATATTTGGTAAAATCAACGCTGGACGGTGATGCAAAGTCGACAAGGCCACAAAAACAGGAATGAGGATAGGGTATAATAGCGGTGCTGGATCGAAGCTGTCGGGTATAGAAAATACGAATGTCACGCGCGGCCCACGACGGCCAACCGAAAAGCGAAGCGGGTATAGGGCATAGAGGGCAATGACCAAAGACAAGGAGGTATACAGTTCTGTAAATAAATCTCGGAGTCAGTCTACTATGATATTTATGATGAAAAGCTTGGTTGGGGAACATAGGTACCTCACCTTTACGCCACGAATATGCATATGCGCGCACATCCTCTCGAAGCAAAACAATAGCACCAACGGAGAGCAACAGAGCTGTTTCAGTACATCTGCGAAGAACCTCATTTCGTTTCTGACGTAGAACAACCCCGCGGGCAATAGATACAGACTTGCGGATGGACTCCTCGCTGGAGCTACGCTTTGGTGAGCTCCTTAAGGGCGATCGCACAAACAGTGACCATGAGGTGGGAGTTTCATGATGCAACCAGAGAACTGGATCGTCTCGACCGGCAGTACTCCGTAGACCTTTCCTCGACCTCGTCGGGGGTGCTGGCAACCCTTTGAGGAACGCCGTACTTTCATCATCCGCTTCTGTGCCGCTTTCGCTTGATGTGCGTTGAGATGTCCTCGTCCACCCATTGCGTCGTGGCTGAGCAGCGCTGCCGCCGTTTACGCTACCCGAGTCACTTGCCTGGCAATCGCTTCTTGCTGGTGAGCATTGTTGTTTTCTGGACGCTACTTTCGAGCCAATGCGGTGGTATGGATGAGGCGACCGCGAGAATTGGCGCAAGTTGTGAGTGTCGATCTGCGATGATAGATGCAAGTGCGCTTCTCCAACTCCTCCGCCTCCAGCATCTCCTTGGCGTGGCTGTGTGGACGCCATGGCATCATATATGTCGGAACTTCCAAAGCAGCCTTCCCCCGTACTCTTATTTTTTTTTTTTTTCTTCGGTATGTTCGTTTTCTGTTCAATCGGCCATCTCCGTGGGTCAATCCGGCCAGCAGCAGCTTAGATAAGACAAGGCCAGGTGGCAGGGCAGCAGGAAAGTGGTTCGTCAGGAAAGAAGAACAAGTTAGCTGTAGATCTGTCAGTGGGAGCAATCAAAGACATTGCAGGTCAGATGGAGTGACGATACACAGCAATTGGGCGTTGGTTGACAGGAGATGAAATAATGTAGTGGAGGGCAAAGAGGAAAGAGTGCGCTCGCGATCACATGTCCGGAAGGCGCTTCCCGTTCTCGCCTTCCGCCACGCTCTGCCGGCGTGTCTTAGCTCAGCGCCTGCTGCCAATGGCTGCTGCTGCATTTATATTAACAGCTACAAGTACGAACCCTCTCAGATAACGAGTCCCGAGTTTTTCTTTGTCGGTGTGTTGGGCCGACTGAGCGACCGTCGAACTTACGAGGGCAAAAAGTATAATACGAGAGAGAATGAATTGGCTCCAGTGCTAGGTTTGAGCACTGACCTGCACGGTGACTGCAGCAGCTATGATGTCCCCTTCGCTTCCCCAGACAGTGTGACAGGGCACAACTTGGCCCTTCCAATGCGCCATGGACAGCCTGCAGGATGTATAGATCGTGCGGTGCTGGGTCTCAGAGCTACTAACGAGGTCAGACACTACCGTGTCGACTCGATCCTCTAAAGATACTGTCCCCGTCGCCATCTCAATCGTATAAAACAAAGCGCCGTTTAGTTGGGTGCGCCATATCTTAGTCTCGCGGTCCGTGCAGGGCACAAACACCGGGGCACCAACAGCCATGCCAGTCGCACCCAGTGCTTGCCACTCAATGTCACTATTTCGCGGAAGCTCTTCGACTTCCACCGCGAACCAGGGCGGAGGAAGAGTGTTGTTGCTGCTGCTGCTGCTGCTGCTGCTGTTGTTGTTGTTGTTATTATTATTATTATCACTGCTACCAGCCACCAGCATCTCGAAGTTCGGCAACGGTCGTCCACCCTGCGCCAGCCTAGGGTCCTCTTGGAGGCCATGCTTGATATCCCAAACGTCTATGACGGAGTCAGCTTCGTCGTCGTCCTCTTTAACTTGATCTCGCTCATGCAATGCTTGCCACAATCGATGCGCTATCCGTGCTTTCTGGTGTCCGCGTTGGGCGTCCCTGGCCAGGAACACAATGGCTCCCAACCACCAATCAACCTGCATCGCGAGTCCAATTCTCCACAAATGCTGTAATGATAGTGTCGCGTGTAAGCTGAAGTTTTGAAACCAATTTACTTCCGTTTTGTCAATCCCTCCAGGAAGTTCCATTGATGGTGGATCGAGCGGAATCTGTCCGGCAATGTAAACTAGGCCACCATCACCAGCATCACCCAGTTCTGTCATCGATTCTCCCTTTCGATTGATACTGTACGGCACCGTGATTGCTTGTGAATAGGGCCCGATGTTTGCCGGTGCCCAGTAGGAGCGTGATTGGACATGAAGACCTTGTCTACAGCTGCGCTCCCCAAGATCAACGACAACTGAAATCATGACCTGAACGCCATCAGGCAGGCAATCACCACAAGCTACCGTAACCCTGGCAGGCGGATTAGGTTTTGTGAATAGCGAAACATATATCGCATTCATAGGACCAAAATCTTGCATAGATCGGAGTAGAACAGTAGCAAAGACAATATCACTCGTAGTTTTCCTTCTAGGAGCAGTCTCGTTGCTCAATAAAACCGAATTCTGAAGCAGTGCTTGCAGCTTTTCTGAAATTCCGCGCATCTGTGCATCGGCTGTTGGACCGGCTTCGGGGGCAGTGACGTTTGAAATGGTGTATAGACCTCCGATACTCGTCTCGCAGATATCTATACCGACCCCACTACTAGAACTCTTGTTTCCAACCGAAGTGGCACGATGATAGACTTGCTCTTGCTGCTCTTGCAATCGATCCAAGGCTCGGCGAAACCTCTCGTCAAGCCGGCTTGGTCTGCGAATATCCTGAGGCATCAGCGCCTTTTGATCTTCATCATCGTCCTCTTTAGGAACACATCTAGCTTTCAAAACCCTCACAAAATTGACCCCGCTGCCTGCAGCATGAACCTGTCTATCAGCTTCTTCAATCACAATACGCTGCTTCCACAGAAACCGAGGCCCATCCAGCGCCAGAGTTTCGTATTCCCCTCCTTCTCCCAAAACAGCTCCTTTCAGGTCCTCGGCATCAACAAAGCGTTTCATGGCTTTCTCGATGCGTCTTTGGACAGAGCCATTAGATGACGCGACGTTTTCCCATAGGATGTCGGCATCAAGACCACCTGAGGCCACTTTGATGATCCTCGAATCGCAGCCGGCGGCCGCCATATCATCAAGAAGACCACCATTGTTATTACTAGTAGTCGGTAGATAGGGATACATCCATAAAAATGCAAGCGGCACCAGACCCAAGCGACCAGCCACATTCTCAATGCGAGTGCGCTGGTAAGTCGATAAGATGGCACCGGCCGAAATCGCGTCAGCATGCGGGATATCGCGTTTGATGCGGTTGAGCAGTGGGACTAAGGATTCAGTCTCGTCCTGGTTTTCACTTCTTTCGTCGTGATCATCAGTCGTTGTGTTTTCATCACGGTATATCCGCGATGTGTCCACAGCGCCGCCCGTGATTGATGCTCTGTATAAAGGAACGCCTAGGGCAGATTCATAAAGAGGAATGACATTGTGGCCTATGGTCTGGTACATGAAGCTATCCATATCTTCTTCTGTGCCATCTTGATGGTTGACAGGCGGATGCAGATTGGCCAATGCAACCACTCGATGCCCGTTTCGGATGCAGTGCAGGATGGAGTATAAAGAGTCTTTGCCGCCGGATATCAGGGCAATGACATTGAGGCCCTTGTCTGTTGGTGATGGAGGCATTGTAATTTGTCTCTACCTGGTACGATCCATGATATATAGCAGAGAAATGTTCTGCATAACCCCCCACAACTTCTTGCCGCTTTTACTGTTGCTAAAAAAAAAATGGCGCTAACCATGTTCGGGGAGGGGCATATCAAAATTCAAACATTATATCTTGAAACAACTTCCTCGGGACAAGAGCAGTTTGGGGGGAATCTGCACTGCTGATTGGCTTTTCTTGTTAGCTCCATACAACGGATTCGCGCTTCGCCATACAGAAGTCATGACATGTTCATTCATCACTCAAAAGCATCAAAAAGTCTTGATTAGATCGTTATGTCAAGCATGATCCTAAGATACTTGAAGTGTCTGATATTCCGCCAGTGGCTCCTTTCTCGATTCATATTCCATGGCCCACGCTCATAGAGCTGCCAATACTCTTCGGGCAGTTCCCAGGCATGTTTGATCGGATACTTGAACTCATGGGGAATTCCTCCGAAACGGAATTGTCGAGAACTTGGTTGATTGTATCTATCTGTCAGGATAACCCTTCATGGAGATCTTCCAGACAGTTTCAGGTTTGATTACTATCGGAATATGAGACAAGACTGCTACGAAAACTTCGGCGGGAGATGCTCTAAAGGCCTATCTTCTAAGTCTTGAGGAGAATTTGACTCACCATTTCCCACCTGTCTAAGCAACCATTTTCATCCTTATGTTGCATCCCAGCAGCACGCAAAAACTCCTCGCCAGATGCTGATGGCAAAATGCAACCAAGATCCAACTGAGAGAGACATTCCATGAAACTAGGTGTCGAACTGAATGAACACGTCGTACGGACGGAGTATGCAAGTCGAACACGCGGACATGATTTGTAACCCTGGGGCCTTTAACGGTTGCAATGCGCAAGTATACCGCTAGGAGGTATCGAGGCAGGTGTGACTAGGTAAAACGTCTTTTTGATGTATCTGATTTTTATACATGAGATATAACATTCATAAAGATATACACAGGAATATTCTGATCAGTCTGAAACTGTTTACAGATCCTAATGTGCCGGTATGTCCAGGTCAGATCCAAGTCAGTCCAGACTAAAGGTTTTTAGAATTGGAGTAGTTACGTGGTTGCCTGGTATGTAATAAGCAGCTCGGAACACAGACCGAGTCGTTCAAGCCAATGCATAAGCCAAAGTTGTTTCGAATCTGCACTCCGTCCACCGTAGACGAAGAACGTAAACGCTTGCAATATGACGAATACGAGTGGAATCAGATTGCTCTTGAGATTTGCACTTTATTGCCACTAGTTCACTGATCGACGGGCAAAAAGCACCGCGCCGTCCAGTCGATGGATGAGCACGGAGTGCAGGGCCCTGAAGAAAGGGTTATCAGGTTAACGTTAGTTGGAAATAAATCAACGTTTACGAACAAGCACCGCAAGCAGGTGGCCTGTTCGTGATGAAGATATCCGCAAATAAGCAGTGAATAGTTGATAATTTGCTTTTGCGAAATCCTTAAGTTTGAAACTTTAGCGTGTCTATGTTATGGGACGCATGTAGTATTTGTCGCTCGCAATGGCAAATGGCAATGCTCATAATTGTGCGTCGTGGGACTGACCCAAAAGACTGATAGGCCGGTGGACTGCTACAAATGCATGCATGGCACCGTGCGGTTGCAGTACCATGCTCAACTTTGATAGGCGCAGTCGCGGTGTGCTAGTCAAGCAACTTGTCGATCATGATAATCGTCTTGTCGGACTCGCCAGTGTCGCCACAGAGTGGGATAAGGTCTGTCTTTGGCAGCTCGCTTGCGCCATTGCTTTATGTTCCTTCAGGTAGGAAGGCCTATGCAATGCAATGCAACGAGCATAATAGCCTGGCTCGTGCTTTGTGCGGATACATGGCATTTACTGCCGCGCATTGCGTCTTGACAGTTGAAATCCACTGCGCGTATTTTCGCTTGTTCATGGTTGTGGAATGTGGATGCTGAGACTGTTATACCAGCACGTGCATTCCGTATGGAGTGCACTATCGGTATCGCACAACGTTGTTGGACGGACAATAGTGTACCGGGTCCTTTCGGTAACACGAGGACTCTGTAACGAAGCACATGGAGTAGAATTCCATCCCAGCGGTTGCCAGTTGAAATGGTGAAACGCTTATTCAACCACTTTTCTGTTTTTTTTTTTTGCCGCAACAGCTGGTTCATGTTCACTGGCGTTTTATCATCAAGACTAGTGGAAGAATGCCCACATGCAGTTCGTGTGCTTCTGCAGAAGACTCACGGAATCCACGGATACACTCCGTCCGTCCAGACACTAAACTAGCGAGCTTTGCTAGACTGGTACCTGCAGCGGTTTCTGCGTCTAAAAGCTTATCGCTAGTACGTCCCAGCCAAAAACGGTCCCGAAGTTGGAGCAGTTTGGAATGGAGTCGTAATATTCAGTAGTGCGCGAAGACTCAGCCACCAAAGTAACTTAATTGCCGAAATGGGCCTCGCGAGTCACGACACAAGCGCGGGCAAACCGAACTAGTGGCGAGAACTAGACAGGAAAAAGAAAGCACAACGAAAATATGAATGTACGGATCTTCTTGCGGTGTGGGACTACTGGCTGGAGAAGACTCATTTTTTGGACGTCCCAAGACTCGTAGTAGAGCGAGCGCTAGCACGGCGTAGAAGTTAGCAAATGCGGGGAGAACGAGCCTCGCCTCGCCTCGCCTCGGCAGGTCGAGTTACGGAGTAGATGTTACTGCACAGCATATCGAGAGTCTGTCAGAGAGAGAGAGAGAGAGAGAGCTCTGCCCCCGAGAGGTGATAACCAGCTGGCAGCACGTGCTCCTGGCGATTACGTACTCCCTCTCCCGCACCTGATTGGTAGATGGATATCTTCTTCGGCAACGCAACCTCGCGTCTGGACGAGCTATCTCACTATCGATCTTCTATTGGGGACTGTTACTCGGCTAATCTTTGTGTTATCCACACCCCTGGACGGAGGATACGCATGGGTTACTCTGCTCCCGTACTGAGATAATCTAACCCACGAGGGATTCCTTCCGGAAGCTTCATATAGTAGTAAGTATAAGTAATTAACTAACTAGTGAATGTCCACTAGGACCGGTTAGTCATAGTGCCACTGTCCCGTCCCGCAGTGCCACTAGCACCTGTGCGGACTAGCGGCCAGACTAAGACCCATTCTGGGATGTACCCTTCCTAAACAGGAAGTCTGGCCTGCTGGCGTGTTTCACGTTGGGTTCTTGGTTTCATTCATGCTTCTACAACGCTGGCGTCAACCCACGGGAACGGCCCTGCGCTTCTGCACAGATTGAGTTTCTCCGAACCCTGGCTCTGTCTGTCGGTAAGTGCGTCATTCCGTGTATCTATTCTGGTTCTATACGAGGGACGGTGCCCTGGTATGATCTGTAATAACATGAATTTGTCTGAACGTTGGATTGAGAGAGATATCCGGCTGGGTGGCGTGCCTCATTTAAATCTCTTGGCCATATAGCATTACTATCATCCTCGAGTAACTAGTTGCTAGTTAAGTAGCAGCTAGCTCGATCCCGAGAAACCAACTAGCCAGTCTCGCGCCGAAATGGTGGTGGGAGACAAAACTAATTTAGACGTGCTTAAGAGGCACGCCACTTTGATTTGTCGGCGTAGTCCGACGACTAGTTGCTTGTTTGGAATTCTATTTCCTGTGGTTGTGATTGAGCGTGGTCTGGCACACGCAGTAGTACAGAGTACGGAGTATAACGATATATTATGTTTATCTTCAAGTACAGCAATTAAACCACGCCTAGTCTTGATCTTTGTTTATGTACGTATATGGAACGATCGATATACTCCGTAGAGTATGACTATGTACTCCGAATGAGTAGTTCTTTCCGGCGATAAGATAGAAACATGACTGACAGAATCAATAGTTTGTCGAACAGTGAACCTGACTTGTCTAGAGGGGTAAGTGACAGGCTCATATGATAACATCCGAGGCGTACAAAAATAAATATCCAGCCAGGCCTTGTACGCTCGGAGGCAAGCAACCTACCGTTGAAATCTTGAGTCTTGACACATGATAGGCACGCCACCCTTGACTGACCTATCACTTCTGATCAAAGGACAAACGCGCTATCATTGATTCATTCGTAATCGATAAACACTTGTTTTTTTTGTTTTTTTTTTTGTTTTTTTTGCCCTCGGCGGGCCGAGACTTTTCATGAATGAATTAATTCATTGGACTCCGGCTACCATGCCAAACACACATACACTTCCCTTGCATTAATCTGCATGTATGTCTAGCACCACTACGTCGTACTCCGTAAACCAGCGCTGTGGTATACGTCAGGATAGGTATAAGACAAGAGGATTGGGTTGCAAGGCCGGCCAATGGATTTTGATTGTTCCTGCATTCTGTAATACGGGCGGCTACGCAAGGTGCAGTCACAACTCCTGTCGTTAGTCTGGCTGTCGTTTCAGTCCAGAGCCCATGGTCCATACTCATGGCTCCGTAGAAGCTCAAGGGATGGAATAAATTACTTCTTCCTCCCTTCTAGAACGTCGGGGATGAACATGGATATGGAATAAGAATCAATAGTAAGGGAACTATAGAGCCGTTGTCTGACCCGTTCTATATTTACTTTTGGCTATATTATAATATAATAATTTATTTGAAATATGGCTATTTCAAATACGGAGAGTTTTAATATCTGACGGCGGACGGGCCAATGGGTGGCGACGGAATTGGCCGTGTCTGTTATCTTAGTTATAACGAAGTTAACACGCACTGTACTCTGTCGGCCAATTGGCAATGGCCAGTAGTTGCAACTTAATAGTAGTAGTATGGCAAAAAATTCGCAAAAGCCAACCAGAGCATATTGTTATTTATTACACCATACTACCGTAATAGTACTAGGCCGTGACGGAACGGTACCATGGGGGCGTACCCGCACTAGCCCGATCGGGAAGCTGCCGCGGGCTGATCACACTGTGGCCGCGGGCTGTGATTGGCCAGGCTGCTCGACATGTTGGACTGTGCAGTGTGCTTTGTTGACTGCACAAGTCCAACCAACCATGGCTGATGTGTGCACAGTCTTTAATGCAAGGCGAGTCGAGCATGTCTCACCATACGTCACCCATAGGCAGGTTGTTTTTGGCGGGACTTGCGGGGGATTCTTTTTTTTTTCTTTCTTATTACTTTTTATTATTTTTCATTTATGTCTTATATTTCTGTTATTTTTAGTCTGCCAGTATTTCCACATGGCAGGCAAGATGTGCATCCAGTGTTTAGTATTGATTATTTTAGTATTATTGCAAATAAGAATTTAAGTCCTGGTGCTGTTGGATGAACCAACTGATACAGAATGCATAGTAGAATAAAATAGAAAATAAAATAAAAATAAAATAAAATAAAATAAATCAATAAAAATGGGCCCGCTCAGGCACAGCCCGGTGGAGTGGAGTTCTGCTGTCTCGGCCTGTTCGGGTTAGCTGCATCAGTCCCGGGCGTCTGGCCTCTCGGCGCGAGCCCACCGCCGTAATCTACGTTCTGGTGGACTATGAAGGCAAGTTAGTCCGTTAGTTATAATGTCTGTAACAGCTCTGGCTGTGTACGCCGTGCACCGTACTCTGTCCAGTCACTGCGGTGGAGATCCATCATACACATGTATATCCCCGACAACGCAGACGAATCAGCCGACTGGAACGGCCCCGGACTGAGCAACTCATTGATGACTTTAGTGCATCAAGTGGATCACACTCGCGCCGGTGGGTGAGATATATTATTATTATCACCATCAGAGATAGCGGTATGTATCCAGTACATACGCCGTAATGCATCCATCCTGCACTAAGGTTCCTCGCCTAGGGTTTGCGGTGGGTATCCCAAAGCGTAAATACTAAAGCGTCGTCGTACTGCAGTCCAACGACAGAGGAAGACTAAACCACTCTTATTGAAAAATACACTAACTCACACTAACAGGGTCCTTATCCTATAGGCTCACGGCATGGGTCAGGCAATGCTGGCCTGATCGCCATCTTGTCCAATTTATCCACGTCCGCGTCCCGTCGCTCGCTCGCTCGCTCTCTCTCTCTCTCCCCTCTATCTCGCTCACTCTCTGTCTTATCTTATTTTTTCACCTTTTTTCTTTGCACATCGTTTCTTTTCTTAACTTTCTAATGCCTCATTTTCCCTAATTCTTTCTTCCCATTTTTATATACTTTTATTTCCCTTTTTTGATCCTCCGGCTCCCAAGCACTCCAAGAGCACGTCCCATCTAGTGGCCTTGCGCTTGACCTTGGGTCCTGTCATTCGTTTGAAAGTCTCCGTCCTCTCTTATACTAAAGTACTGCTGCTTGCGTCTATTTGAACTTGTATACCTTTTTCTTTCCCCCCTCCCCCAATATCTTCTGTCTGTCTTTTGCATTGCTCCTTGTCTCTTGCCCCTCTCGTCCATCCGTCCTTAAGCGCCCATTGTGCCGCGCGATAAATCAAGCACACATCTACGAGTCATTCAATTGCGTGTGATTTGTTTGTAAGAGAGAGAGTGAGAGAGCGAGACAGAAAGAGGGGAAGCAACAGCGCCAACATTCTTTTTTCCTATTCACTCATTCGAAGAAAAAGGACTGTGTGGTGGTGTCTATATAGTCACACCATATACGATATCATCGGCTTACACAGTTCCCCCGCCGTTCGACTACTAATAATATATCTTAATCACCTCAAGACCAAGTCTTCTCGGAGACACTACGATCGTTCAATAATACACCATCTCTGTTCCTGGCTATACGGATCACAATGGAAGCCACGTATCAAATGCCTGCCGGGTCTCTCCCGGGACAGCATGCATACTACTTCTACAATCCAGAGGCAGCCAGCCAATGCCCGCCTCATGGAACGCCATATGTCGCCCATCAGGCAGAAATGCCTGCCTTCCAAGGCCCGATGCCCGTCTACCAACATCAACAACAGCACTTCTTCGCTGCCCACGCACAGATGGGCCTCAAGAACCCCATGCACGCTGCTCACCAAATGAGTCTGACGCCGATTGCTTCTCCACAGCCCACGAGTCTGAAGCCCTCGATCATAATGCAGCAGGGTTCTCCGGCGCTGCTGCCGCTGGACACCCGCTATGTCAGCACTGATTTCTATAGCTTTCCTTCGACTCCTCCGCTGTCGTCGGCGGCGAGCAGCATCAGCAGCCCGCCGTCGACGTGCGGCATGATCCACACGCCTGTGAACGGGTCCTTTGGCCTGGAGAGTATGGAGGGCGTCAAGGAAGGCTGTGAATCCGAGGTCCACGCCGAGCTTCTTGCGAAGCCCGACTGGGGCCACTCCAATTCTCCCCCGCTCACGCCTGGTAGGTGAATGAATTTTTTTTTTCCCCTTCTTCTTCTCTCATTTCTTGGCTATGCCTGGGTTGCAGTGAGGTATACGCATAGTGTATATATGTGTATATATTTAGATATACATCTTGCTGAGAGTACGGCAGCGGCTGACCAATCACAAGTGTTTATCCACCCGCCGTCGGCGGCCGCCAGCCAAGCCGAGCTGCTCCTCTCCTGCCCATCCCTGTCGCCGTCTCCCTCGCCCGGTCCTTCCGGCCTGCTCACGCCTCACTCCGTCTCGTTCCCAGCAGAGCCCGTGAGCTCCGACTTCTGCGATCCCCGTCAGTTGACTGTCGACTGTGCCGCCACCGCTGCTCGCCAGGCTCCTGCCGACCTGCCCCCCTTGCCTACGCTGAGCTCCGTCGACGAGGACGAGCAGAAGTTGATCCTGGGCAGCGGGAATCTGACGCTCTCGTCCAATGAAGCTACGCCGACATCCTTTGCCAGCTGTGCCGAAGCCACCCTGCCCACTCTGCCCAGATTCGACTCCTTCTCCGACTTGGATTCCGACGAGGAGTTTGTGACCGGCATTGCTGCTGACTTCACCCCTTCGGCCCCCAGCACGTTCTTCCTCGGCGACAAGAGACAACGCGTGGGAGCCTACGTACTGGATGAAGACGAGTTCCTCAGCGAGCATAGTTTCGACGACCTGGATGAGGACGACGTTTTCATGCGGTCGGGCCTGCCCACTGTGATTGTCGAAGAGGTGTCACAGAGCGAGGACAACTGCAGTAGTGACTATTCTTCGGCTGCTGACATGAAGACCAAGAAGCGCAGCGGAGCTTCGTCGAGGAAGTCCGTCCAGAAGAAACTATCGACCTCCGATGACGAATCCTCCAACTCCTCGCTTGGGCACCAAGTGCCTGCTGACAGCCGGGGCAACCACGGCCAGAGCCAGAGCAGCTCGAACCAGAGCAATGGATCCGCAAACAGCGCGAAGACAGACGACTCGGCGGCAGCGACTGCTTCGGGTAAATCCGAATCTTCCTCATCGGCGCAGGCGCCAGTGAGTCGTCGCGGCCGCAAGCAGTCTTTGACTGACGACCCTTCCAAGACATTTGTGTGCACATTGTGCTCGCGCAGATTCCGTCGCCAGGAACATTTGAAGCGTCATTACCGCTCCCTTCACACGCAGGACAAGCCATTTGAGTGCAACGAGTGCGGAAAGAAATTTTCGCGTAGTGACAATCTGGCTCAACACGCTCGGACACATGGCAATGGTGCTGTGGTCATGGGCGTTTTGGATCCTAGTGAAGTCTCCACCCCGCCAACCACGGCCCAGCAGATGTATGAGGAAGATGCGGGCGTATTGGGTGCTGTGCTCTATGAAGCGGCCAATGCTGCTGCCACCCAATCCACAACGAGTGAGTCGGGGTCAAGTGTCGATTCGGATTCTCCAGAATCTGAAGATCATCGATTAAGTCTCAAGAAGCGCAAGCGAGACGAGTCTGCATAAGCCTTTGTCTGGTCTAGATTGAAATTGGCTTGAACATCTATTTAAAATATTTTCTTCGATCCGAGGCCCTTACGATGAAACGAGACCAGGAGATGCATCTTCATCTTTAGCCTCTCTATTACAGGACATCTCTCCATATAGAGAGGCACATTGTAATACACATTCGAGAACATATTTCGCTTCGAATTGTTTTCTTTTTTTTTTTTTTTATTATAGCTCTTTTCCTTTGTTGGCGCCTGGGGTTTGAGTCATCGGATCGATTCCATGGAGGCCATCATGCAGTCTCTGTGAACATTACAAATTGAGACTGGCCCATCGGCAACATCGAGTCATCAGTCATCATCAGCGTGGGCGAATAACACAGGTCGTGGAAGGGAAAATTTGTTTATCTGCTTGCTCTTTTTTATTTTTGTCTTTGGTTGGTTTCATAGAGCTTACGAAGCATCACACACAACAAAGTGATGGCCACAAAAAAAAAGGGTGCGGTTATTGGATTGATTTTCTCTCTGTTTTGTTTGTTCATGGTTGGTTCGTCATTTATTCTTTTTCATTTTCGTGTATTTACCTTTCCTGCCCCCTTTTTCCTTTCGTTTCATTTCTGTCTAACTGCCATACTTTGTTTGTAATTACTTATTCTCCCTCTTTTTTTTCCACTTCCCCCCTCACTCCTTGTGCTGGCCACAGATCTCTTGTTGTATTATTCTGCTACTGTCATTTCCTCATACCCCTTTGATCTATACTATTTGATCTCTCTGAGCATATATTATGTTATATATATATTGTCCTACTTAATCAACTACTACTGCTAGAAACAATGCACGTGAGAACTCTGAAATTCAAGTAATCCAATAATCAGCTGGCCATTGTAATATTCACCTTGGACTTGGCCACGTTTCAGTAAAGAGCAAACAGATATCCAGGGTTAGGGTTATGTTCCACCTCGACCGGAAAAACTATCGGCCCCGCAAGCCCCTTTTTTCATTCTCCTATAAATTCTTCCACCACCAGCAAAAATTTTTGATTTTTTTCTTCTTTTTTTTTTCTTCGTGCGGCGACGCAACTCTCAAAATAACATACCCGTGTTGCCTTGACAGTTTTTCTTTTCGATATTGTCTACAAGGTGTCAGTTGCGTCACAGATCAAATATAATTGCTACCGGTTCTTACTTTATTGGTTGTGAGGTCTTTATTTTGCAGCTCTGTGACCATTTGGTTTGGGATCGGACATTTCTTTTTCTTTCTTTTACCCTTCACATGGTTTATAATACTTTGTGTGTATGGCTGGGTAGATTTTTAGGTATAGATCTTTTTTTATTTAACCTATTTTTTTTTTTTTTTTTTTTTTTTTTTTGATTCAATTGTTCTTAATTGCAATGATTCTTTGATCATGGGCAATCATCGTACCTTGTAAGACTTGGAATCACTCGCCCGCCTCATCTCCAATTTTCTCCAACTTGCCCATCTCCCTCTGCTGACCCGCCTCGCCAATAACGCGTATACGATCAACACGGATCTTCTCTGCGTCGCCATCGCCATCCACAAAGAAAAGAACCATCGAATTCACCTTTTGGAATTTCACAAACCGTAGCTCCACCTTGGCCGTCCCCGTCTTGCTGTCCCAGTCCTCGGGCGCAATGCTGACTGTTTGAACGGGGTCGATATCCTCTGCCTCCTCGAAGCCGAGGATAGTCGCTCTATTGACGTAGAGACGAAGCGTCTTGGGGCGCATGGGGAGTTCGTCTTCATTCTCTCCATCTTCTTCTTCAGAATTTGTTGTCGGCGGCAGCGATGTGATGTGTAATGTATGTACTTTTAGCGTCGAGTTGAATGGGATGTACACCATGAGCTGTTCGTCGGTGTCACTCTCGACCCAGTCTTTCTGTTGTTCTTCGCCAGTCTTCTTCGTCTTCTCTTTCCCCTTGTTGTTGTTGTTGTTGTTGCCGCTGCCCGACAACGCAGATGGTTTTGATTTATCGAATAGAATCTTCGCGCTGCCCTTTTCGCTGTCCCGATTCAGCATGTCCAGGTCCTTGAGGGTTACTGTTTCGGTGACATCGACGTAGTTTCGAGGCAGCGAAGCCCCGAGCCAGGTCGTGCCACCCCCTGTGTTTCCGCTGCTCGATTCGCCTCCAGATTCGGATTCCATAGTGTTGGCCTCCGCGGCGAGCTTTTGAATGGCCTCGGACAGTCTTTTGGGGTCGGCGCCTGGGATGGTTGATACGGGTCGGCCGCGTTTGAACATTATGAACGTGGGCATACTAGTAAGAAAATCCGGTTTGTAAGGAAATTGAAGGGAAAAAAAAAAAAAAAAAAAAAAAGGGAGAGAGGGAGCTCACGATACAACGCCGTATATCCGCGCAATCTCCTGCTGCTGGTCGACGTTGACTTTGGCAAAGGTGATTTGATTAGGTCGAGACAGCTGGGTGGCCAACTGCTCGTACATGGGCGCGATGGCTTTGCATGGACCGCACCAGTCTGCGTAGACTGTATCAAGGGGGGATTAGTAAATGAAGAAGAGCCATTATCTATGATGTATAGGGCAAATGGTTCGCGCTGTTGTTGAATGCTGCTCAAAACAAGCTTGGAGGAGGGGCAAGGCTGATCGGTCAGCACTTACAGTCGGTCACGACAATAGTAGAGCTGGTCAAGAGAGAGCTGAACTGCTCTCTTGACGAGATGTGGACAAGAGACATCTTGAGATGATGCTGTTTCTTGTACACAGTGTGGTGGTGTGAATGAAAGAGATGGGCCTTTGTTGATAGACCGACTGGGAGTCATGACTGATAACTAAGTTGAGCGGAATGTTTTGTTCCCGCTCCCCACTAGGCAAATTACTAAGTGACGACATAACTAACTAGTTAATCAAACCGACTTATAGTCAGATATCCAGTTCGAGTTCATATGAGTCTATGAAATTTTATATTGCTATACTTGATCAAAATGGTATCACTGCTTGTCATGTTTCTCGTCTTTCTCGTAATGCAAAGCCGTTGTTGCATCGCCGGGATATCTTCAATATCTCGAACTTTTCTCTGAAGCGATGATCTGCATCTCTCGACGCTATTTCATATCGACATTCAACCGAGACAAATTCGCAGGTATGCCAATAGTATAAGGCGCAATGCGTGAGATATCCTGGTCGAGAGAGCATTGACGCCGGCTCTGTCTATTTAGTATGTGTATATAATAAAATCCCAAACCAACCTCATCCCGAATCAGCTTCCTTCCAAGGACTGGCTCGCAGAATCAATCTCTGCTTCTTCCTCTTCCTCTTCCTCTTCCTCTTCGCCTGCAACAGCAAACAACACCTTCATCCACAAACTGCACCCCCGACACCCAACGAGAATCTCACCATGTTGCGCCTCCGTCTCCAACTCATCCTCCGTCACGATGAAGCCCTTCTCATCCCCGCATCGACAACCGCGATACCAATATGACGATGAACCCTCGTGACCATCATCCTGATAGCCCATATCCTCAAGGTCGACAACTTCAAGGCCCGTATGGAAAGCAACCTCCCCCGCATCCTTGTCATCATTGCCAGATCTCCTTAGTATCCATTCACGGTCATATTCCGCTCGCAAAACAGGATCTGAAAGAACTTTGTAAGCATCTGTAATATCGTCGACTGTGTATACGGCGTTGGTTCTGGAAGAAGACGACGAAACTGGAGCTGCCTTCGCTGTCGCTGTACCAGCTTTGTCCGGATGGTACTTCAAGAGTGCCTTGTGGTATGCATTTTTGAGCTGCTGCTTCGAGACGACTGTGGGCGAGTTATTGTTGCTGAATGGGATATTTAGGATTTGATAGTAATTCTTATTCGTATCTTTAATGATAATCGTGGCGCGATCAGAGGAGGGCATTCTTTCGTGGTGCCGTTCGTGAACCCCTCTTTGTAGGTTTATAAAATCTCTGTGTGGTAGGAAAGGAAGGAAACAAAGAGGAAGAGAAAGCAAAGCAAAGCAAAGCAAACAGAAAAAGGTTATTGCTGTTCTCTATACGAGTCCATTGTTGTTTGACTGCGACGTTGGTGAAGACTTCGACTTTCTTCCATGCGGCAAATTTACAGTTCGGGCCCACTTTGTCACATGCAACCACAATTAATGTATGAAAGACTACGTGAATCTTCCAACGATGCATAAAGATCGTTCTTATTCAAACATATATCTCACATTAAGGAATCGCCGACATATCTAACAAGACAATTCTCAACTGAGCATAAGCCTCTAGATATCTAAATCTAGTCTAGGCAAGGTATCAGGTATCAGGTATAATAAACGCTCTCGGCCGAACTGTAAAAGCTGCATAGGATATCAAGACATATAGAAGCAATTCGGGAGAACGGGAAATGGCAAAGCGAAAAAAAAAAAAAAAAAGGACGAGCAATCAATCATCTACTCGCTGGACTTGAAGACAAAGCGTTCTTCAGTGGTGAAGGGAACACCGAGCTCCAAAAGCTTGACATAAGCATCGGAGAACTCCTGGAAGAAAACCCCGCTGTCCTTGGCGTAGCGCTCGACGTGCTTCTTGAATTCCTTGTCCTTGACCAGAGCCAAGTCAGTGGGCAGCATCATCAAGGTCTTGGTGGTGTTGTCGGTGTACTGAGCAGGGCCATTCCACTTCTTCCAGCCCCACTTCTCATCAACCAACAGGCGGAAGAACTCGTTGGTGAAAACGGTAGGGCTGAAGTCCCAGGGTCCGTCGTAACCAGAGCGGTCAGTGTGGGCACGGCCGAGGGAGTGAGCTCCGCAAAGAGCAACCATCTCGCGATCATCGAATCCCATGCGTCCGAAGATGGCACGGATGTGCTTCTGGTCCTTGGAGGCATCTGGAAGACGGCCGTCGGGGGTGCAAGCGGAAACATCACGGTCCTGTCGGCCGGGTCTCCAGGGAATGGCGGGTCCCTGCATTTCCTGGATGGCAACGACACCGGCAAGAGTCCAGAGATCACCGTAGCTGATCCAAGGGAATTTCTCTATAGCGGGCATTAGCAGGACCGTTCAAGCATTCAAAAAGCCACTTGTAGAAACTTACCCTTGACCGGCTCGAGGAAGTCACGAGCATACTTCAAACCAGCATTAGCACCGTGGTCAGACTCCGGGGCGAATCGCATGGTGGCTCCGTTGCTGCCACCAGTGCCAGTCTCCTTATCGTATGTACCGCTAGCGTGCCATGCCAATCGCACGAGGACCTGAAAAGAAAACAGTTAGCTAAACTGCGTCCAAACATCAACTACGAGGAAAGTAGCTTACTGGTCCATAGCTGCCATCGTCATAGTTGTCCTTCTCAACCAGAAGGCGAGCAATCTCGTTGTAGACGTTCTGGTAGTCTTCCTTGGCGGGAACGAAGGGGCCGGTGGCTTTGGCGCTCACGTCGCCGTTGCTGTAGAAGTAGTAGCCAGCGCCACCGGCAGCAACGAGACCGATACCCCAGTAAAGAGAGCTGTTGGACTTGCCGGCACCGGCTTCGGAAGCATAGCCTCGACGGCCAGCAGCGCGCAGGGTCTGGGCAGGAGCGGCGAAGCGGGTGCTGCGAGCCACAGGGCGGACGGGGGTTGCGCGGGCAACGGCCCGGGTGAAGGTCCTAGCAGCGGAGGCCATGATGTATACGGAGGAGAGTTGTTGAGTGAGTGAGTGGGTGGGTGAGTTGAGTGAATGAGTGAAGGAAGGAAGGAATGAGCGAATGCAGAAGATGGAGAACGGAATATAAAACAGTTGATCGGGAAACAAAATGGCACAGACGGCGGAGAAGCGCATGGAAAGAGGTTGAGTGACCAATTGCCGGGCGCCGATTGGCTGGCCGAGCGGCTGCCAGTCTGGGCCCGGCGTTTTCTGTCAGCAGGCTGGCGCACTAGCTGTTTTGGTCTTAGCCGATATCGAAGACCATTCCATCTGAATAAGCGTTAACCAACTAGTTAACTTTGTTACGTAGTTAACCAAGTATTATCATACCAACACTCACACGCTGAGGCGCTTTCTTGCCGCCTCGAGTTTTGACTTTGTTGTACCTGCCAAGCGGTTACTAAGCCAGCGGAGTCTGCCGCAGCCAATCAGAATGCCGCCCTAAAGAGCCGAGGCCTGTTCCTGGCTATACCACGGCATATCCTCCAGGAACCAGACAAGCACGCACCTTATAATGATGGACTGATTGCATGAAGCTCTTGTTGGAGAGTTCCTTTCAAGATGCTCCAAAATAACATGCCCCGGGCAACGCTCATAAAGAATAGCTTATGTGCCTAGGTCGGGACCCAAAACGGGTAAACCTTGAAAATGATTTCAGCAGACCTGATCTCACTCCAAAATAACCCTGGTACAGCAAGGATTAGGATTTGGAGAGCACCTTCCGCCATGTCTGATCAACTCAGATCAAAGGTAGTCGGTGACAACCGCATTGGGCTGGACTATTTCCGTAACGTCTTCAAGGGGGTTTGTGCGAAAGACGCCGACTTGCTCTCACTAGACAAAGCTATTGACTAGTTGGAGTGGAATCGTAGGCCACAAGCATCCATCATAAACCATACTGCTTACTCCACACTGCTTACTGTGCATACAGATAGTGGAAAGAGACTCGTATTCGACTTGTCTTCGCTGTCTTATCGCAAGAACTTCACTTGGACCTAATCAAGCCCCTGATAAAGGCAGCCCTCTCGAAGACAGCTCAAGACAAGCAGATATGGGATCTTGTAGATATCGAATTACCTATTGCCACCCAGGAAACATTATGGTATAATGCAAGCAGCAACGCCTAAATTACGGAGGTAGTGTTTATATTCATCCATATCAAGAACGTTTCTATAATACATATGATTGATATTCTCACCATCCGCCTCCCTTGCCACCGAATCCACTTGCTTCTTCAATTTTCTTGCCCATCCCACCGCCGCGAGTAGGCCTGGATTGCGCTGCTTCGTGCTTGCGAAGTTCCTCTGGCACTCGAGATATGGAGGATTTCATCAGCATTTGCTTGAGGTCGTACCTGTAGAGTATTGTTAGACACAGCAAGCAGAGAATCAAGAATTGAAAGTTGGCCCCGGGGGGGGGGGGGGGGGGGGGGGGGGGGGGGGGGTGTGAAACATACATAACATCGTTGTCTTCATTACCCAAGAAAGTAATGGCAATACCACTCTTTCCAGCACGACCAGTACGTCCAATACGATGCGTGTAGCTTTCGATATTGGTCGCCATGTTGAAGTTCACCACCAAACTGACGTCGGGGACATCGATACCACGGCCAGCCAAGTCCGTCGCAACGAGGACGTCAGTATTACCATTACGAACCGATGCCAGAGCCGCTTCACGCTGCTCCTGAGTCTTGCTACCATGCAAGGTCACGGACGAAAAGCCCATTTGCTTGATATCCTTGGCGACAGCGTCGCAGTTTCGCTTGATATTGACAAATACAATGATTGGAGGCTTGAACTGTCCGGACATGAGAATGTCGGCGAGACGCTTCTTCCTCTTGTCTTCGCCTGCAACGAACTCGACGCGCTGCTCAACTGTGTCAACGGCCTGGCCGACGTTACCAATCGTGATGATGGCGGGTCTGCGGAGATATTTTCGCGCAATTCGCTCAACTGCCGATGGCATGGTGGCTGTGTACATCATGGTCTGTCGATACCGCTTGTCTCTTCCGCCGACATGTTGGCTCATTGCTCGTGCATCCTCGGCCTCTTCTGTGTCCGGCTTCTCGTTCGAGACGGGTAGTGCATCGAGGATCTTGTTAACCGGATCTTCAAATCCAAGGTCTATCATTCGATCTGCCTCGTCCATAATGACATAGCAGCACTGTGACAGAACCAGCATTCGTCGCTCCAAGCAGTCAACGAGACGTCCGGGAGTGGCAATAATGATCTCGGCACCGTCTCGTAGACTGAATGCCTGTTCTTCTAGAGAGTGACCACCAACGATACTGACAACGTTGAAATTGAGAGGTCTAGAGAATTTCTTGGCCTCAATCTCAATCTGCTGTGCCAATTCACGAGTAGGCGCCAGGATAATAGCATAGGGCCCGTCATTTTTTCGCCATTCAAATTCGTCCAGCCGAGGTAACTCAGCAATGTAGACGAATAGCGGAAGCAAGAATGCCGCCGTCTTACCAGAGCCCGTGACAGCCACACCGATAAGGTCTCGCGCTTGCAAGGCAATTGGAATTGCTGCTCTCTGAATAGGCGTAGGATCAGTATATCCGACCTGCTGGATGAGCTCAAGCAACCTCCTGGGCAAATTGGATTCCTCCCATGAGCGCATCGGGTTGGGCACACTACCGCCCTTGGTGCTGATGTTGAAGTCTTCTTTGAAGATACGCCAGTCTCGTTCGCGCATCTGATCCAGTTTCTTTTCACTCCAGTGCTTGTCAATCGCATTCCTGCTGCTTTCCTCCTTCCGTCGTCTTTCCATCTCTAAAATTTCCCTGGCACGAGCCGAGCCTGCTTCATGGTCTCGATCCTCCAAGGCCTGAACGTATCTCCTTGTAGCATTATCTGCCGCATCTTCACCAAACCCAGCAAGTCGACCGCGTCCATAAAAGTTCGCGTGCGCCCGGTTCTGATAAAGCGGGTTGTAGTCGTTACTTGTATCCTCTTCAGCATTCCATTCAAAATTAAACTTTCTTTCCGTGGTACGCTTTCGTTTCTTCTTCGCCGAAAAGCTAGACGTCTGGTTTACACCCATATATCGCTGTCGAACCAATTCCGCCTCTGCTTCCGCCTCCGACATTCGCTTGTCGCCTCCTTTCGAGTCCCCTTTACCAAAAGCGATGCGTTTCGGAGGAGCTGGCGGCGCCATATCGTAGTCCGCATTCGGTTGCTGAGCGTTGCGCATAGCAGCAGGTCCCCTGGGAATATCCCCATCATTGCGCAACGCGCGGGGCCCTGTAGGCACAGAGGCGGCGGATCTTGAATCAATATCTGCTCTGCCATTCGGTTCATTCGCTGATGATAACGTTGTCCCATTCGGCCTTGAGCCATTGGTGCTTCGACTTTGTTGGATTTTGGCCCTGCGCTCCGTCTCGACTTCTTTGGCGCGTTTTTCCAATGCGAGTCGTTCGCGTTCGGCTTTTGAGAGAAATTTAGGCTATAAGCAAAGATTTCAGATCAGTACTTCTTACTGTGAAAAAAATATAATACAGGAACTGAAAGAGAAATACTAACCTTTGAAGCCGCCGCGTCGGCCTCTCTCTTCTTTCGCACCAGCTCTTCAACACTTAACGGCTTAGCAGTCGAAGTACCCCAGCCAGCTTTCTTCTTCTTCGCAACAGGCGCAGCACCAGCATCAACAGGAGGGGGAGGTGGCGGTAGAGCATCCTCAGGTGGTGGAGGAGGTTTTATATCGGCTGGCGGTGGAGGAGCAGCAGCATTATCATCATCCATCAGTTCTAGCGGCGGTGGCGGAGGAGCTATATCTGCTGGAGGTCCTGGAGGAGGTGTCGGAGGACGATCCAGAGGCTCGCGGCCGTCATTTGACATTATACCAGCCATTATAGACCCTGTCTGTGCCTATGCGCACACCTCTTGGATTGGTCACTGTTCTGGTAAGGATGTATTGAACTTCTAAGGTTGCTTGATATATTTTATTTTATACTAGAGCCGCCCGCGGTCACGTGACACAATTGCTAGCAAGAGCCTCAACCTGCTCAGGTGGTGACAATCTATGAATTTTTATGTACTGTCGACAGGATGTAATGGGCTTAACTGTTAGATTTTGAGTACAGCTCGAAAAATTCGATAGGTATGCTCTCCCTATCATCACTACATAGAGATTATCTAGATGCGTCCACAGAAAGTACCGCCTATTGATGAATAGAAATGAGAAAGAAGTCTTCGTTTCATATTGCAATTAAGCTGCACAATCTACTCCTTAGATGAAATGCCCACGAGTACCATTAAATACGCCATAAGGGGGAAGACATGGGAGACACTTCTCAGGATTATTCATGATAAAAGAGAGACAAAAGATAAACCCCGTAATATCATACTGCAATGTTCTACAAAAGAAGAAAATAGCCACCGCTTGGTATTGAGTTTAGCGAAGAGAGGGAAAAGTGAAGAATAATAATTAAAGACCATCAATAATGAACCGGTTGAGTCGGGACCTGCACGGAAAAGTATTCATCAGGTTATATAGTCTGGGATCAGCAAAAACTTGTTGCACTTACACCTCCATTAGCCACGGCCGGTTGTTGCAGTTGCTGCTGTTGATAGTAAGCATAAGCAGCCGCTGCAGGATCTGGGGTTGGAACAGGTTGAGGAGTACTCTGAACCGCTTTTGCGGCCTCCTTATTCTTGTTTGTAGGTGAGACGGAAGCTGGGCCATGGACTTCACGGTCCAACATGATGTATTCTTTGGCTGCGGTTTTGGATCCTCGCTCAAGCAAATAAACCATGTAGCTTTGAACAAGCTCTTTCACCGCCTCCGCAGGCAATGTGCTCTTGTGCCGAAGATCGTCAACTACCTTCTTGATGCGTTCATGCTGAGCACCTTCGGTATCTGGAGTGGTGGGTTGCTCGAGTTCAAATAGAAGATACCTTGTCCAGAAGGGGCGGCTATCCAAAAAGCTCTGCTGATTCTCCTGGAATACCTGTCTGGCCTCGTCAGAGGAGCCTTTAACCCTCCAAATCAATATAGCCCATTCGGCAACAAGAGCAGCTTTAGTAGCCGCATCGCAGCCAGGTGCTTCGATGTGGCTCTTGTACACTTGGATAGCGTCCTCAAGAGTGCCGTGGCGACGAGATATATTGGCCAGGGACACAATGGTCTCGACATGATTTGGAAGCACGAAGAGTATAGCTTGGTGGATATCTTTGGCAATGTCAATACGCTCGGACATCTCTTCAAAGTAGGCGTAGTGCAAGCGCACAGTGGGATGAGCAATGGGCACAAAAATCGTGCTTGCCCTTTGGTATATATTTCGGACTTCTTCCTCTTTGTCAGGTTGCGCCGACATCCATCTGGCATAGCGTAGCCAGAACTCATCGTAGTGAGCGCATGTGACGAGGCATCGCTCGTACAGGAAAGTGATTCGAGCATAGGAGCCCTCAACTTCCTCAAAATCAAGGTATCGTTTCCAGTTAGCAAGTTGCCCTTCGTCTAACTCGGTCACATGGAAGTATGGGCGCTTGATCTCAGATTCATACGTCCAACGCTTGGTTGTTTCAGTCTGGGTCCTGGAGAAAATTTCCAGATGATACGTATCCAAGCGCAACCGAAGCTCTTGTTCATACTCTGCCTCGGATTTGGCACCCGGGGGGATTTGGACAGACGCAGATTCAATTTCAGACCGGTACTGAGAAATAATTTCAGGCGGGGCTAGCTCATTCACTGGCCGACTTTGCGCAAGTTGGCGGTACCGCTCAAAATAACGAGCATACTGATGCATGGGGATATGAATCACGCGTCCCAAAATGCCAAAAATCTTGTCAAAGGCATCGAGGCGTTCTTCAAACTCAACGTATTTGTCCCAAAAAGGATGGGCGAGAAAGTCCAATCCTACGCAGTTGGCACCCCTGTCAAATAACCTGTTCAGTGCTTCGTTAGCCATCCGGTAGATAAGGAGAGGGAGATGCAAAAAAAAAAAGGAGAGCGAGGATGTCAAACATGAAGAGTTTGTTATGTTGCGAATTGGGTCCAAATGCGATGCATGGAGAAAAAAAAGAACATAATCATCTCCAACCGTTCAGGGTCTGAACGAGCCTCGAGAGCACAAAGGGCAAGCAGGTGATGGATTTTTTTGTGGTTGGATTATCTGTATTGATTGAGATGCTCCTTAGGGGGAAGAGGATTGCCTGAATAAATTTATGGGTGAGAAGAAAATCCCAGTGACCTGGCTGCAGGCGAACGATCTCACCCGTCTATCTCATCAAGAACAACCAAATTTTTCCACTTTGTAAAAAAAAGTAATCACAGTGTGTGATATTGGCAAAACCCGAGTCTTCGAAAGAACCGTGCTGCGTTGGTAACGTTCTAAGGGAAAGAGGAGGGGAGGGAGGGGGAGAAACAATTTCAGTCTTTAGCTATACTTACTCTCGAATGACATCCGAGTCATGATTCGTTTCGACTTTGAAAGCGCAATAGTTTGCCCACAAGTCGACCGAGGTGGGAATGCTTGCAACGCCACGTTCGTAGACCTATTGAATGGTGGATGTTATGAGCGCGTTTTAAAATCCTCATACGGCCATCGACCTCACTTACCATTTCTGCAGCTTCCGTACCGGCGATCGAGAACTCAAGGTCGGCATATTTCTTCCAGTATCCGAAAAGCAAAGGAAACTTGGCAAGGAATCGATCGTAAGCATTTCGGACGGTGGTGATTGCCTGGGGATTGGAGTTTCGATTGATTCCACCTTCGAGAGCTTCTGCGCCGCGAACCAACTTCTCCCAGGATTCGAAATTGTCCGGATCTTCAGCCTGTAGTAGAGCAAATTTGGTTAGAGGCCAGCTGCAATGGAATATGAATTCTTGAACGTCAAGCAAGAATGCCTACCAGCTCGGCCTCAAGTTTCCTTAGCTCGGCATTTTCTTCCTCTGAACCGCCAAAAGAGTAGTCGGCCATTGTTGCGAGGACTCCACTGGGCCAGCAGAAGGTTAGAAAGAAAGCTGATTAGAGCAACTGCGCCGACTGTGTTTGGAGACGAGACGGATAGGAAAGTTGGAGTAGAATATAAAAAGAGAGAGAAAGACAGCGAAGTGAAGCTTTCCTCTTGATGCGGGACGGAAGAGACCGACCGCTGGGAAACTGCCTGCTTAATCATTTATTTTCAGCCGAATCCAGCCTCCTGCTAGCCCGAACGGGAATAGCGTCCGGCTGCCGCTAAATAATTAAAATCGGCAGTCAACGTTTTTGTCTCGACAGCCAGCGAGCGCATAATCTTATCCAAGAGCCATCAACGGTGCACAATGGCCACAATGGCGGCGAAGATGGTCTCCAGGATGGCTTCCGCCAACATAGCCTCGACCAAGGGCCTCACAACCCATCGCCTCTTCACAAGGCACCTCACAACGGCCGCAACGACAAGCACGCCGAACGTGACGATTGAAGCCAAAGGCCCGAAATTGTCACCGCAAGAGGCAGCGAAACATGAAGAGAATTTAGACGTTATCTCAATGCTCCCTCCTCGACTGCGCAACTTCTTTGCCAAATATCCCCCGCAGTTTTATTCGGCAGCCGTAGCTCCTACCGAGCGCCTTCTACCTCCCTCCGATGCTTCTTTAGATAGCACTACGACCACAGAATCAGAATCAGCAGAATCACAACAAACACAGACGCAAACACAAACAACAGCAGCAGATCCTACGACCCTAGAACCCCAGAAACTGCCATCCCCTTATACCCCCTCCCGAGAAGCAAAGGGCTCAAAACGCGATCCCACAGCATGGTCCGCCTCCAAGGCCATCCTCTACAATAACCCGGAATACCCGAACCCATTCCTCCCACAGAAAAGCCGCAATAGCAAATCGTGGCGGTCGCCCAAATACGGGCTCCGGCAGCAGGCGGATCTGTGCAAATTGGCCAGGAGTTATGGTGTCGAGCAGTTGCTGCCGACGTCTCGCAAATCGACGCTTTTCAAGGAGACGCGTCTCGCTGAACGGGGTCTGGCTATCAAGGGTACTGGTATCGGTCAGAAGGTTAAGGGTCACAAGTGGGAGAGGACGATGGAGACTCGACTCGACGAGAGGAAGAAGGCTATGATGGAAATGCCGGAGATGATCAGGGAGTGGAAGCAGGTTAGTTCTTTCCCTCACACTCTTGCTCTGTTTTTTATATATATCTATTTGGAGATGCTAATCACTTTTTTAACAGAGAGGTCATGGTCGTGGATGGAAGAAGTGGCCCCGACGATAGATTGGCTACTCTTCTCTGTTGGTCCTTTAAACATAGGCTCGTTTCAATTTCTGCCTTCATTATTTGCATCACCTTTTTTGGCGAAACTTGTTCCGTCCGCTGCTAGTGTAAAAGGCAGAGATGGGAAAGGTCCGATTTTCGATTTTTCCTTGCACTGTATTATATATATTGAAAATATCAAATAAGATTTATTTATTTACTACCTGGTTGAAATTTAATTCAATTCAGTCTATGATATCAAAAGAGGGTATAACAATATCTCCAACCATAATGAACCGGTCCGTCCTGTCATTGACTCTTTCATTCGTAGTCTCATTTGTATCATCTTCCAACGCTGATAATCCAGCATGTCTACCAAAAAAGATCTTCCCGCCAACCCGTCTCGTCTTTGCCAAAGTCGACAGAGGCTCCTCACGTCTTTCGGCAGTCAGTTGATCGACGCATACCATCTGACACCGCTGGCAGGAGCCGAGGATGTCGAATCGCAGATTTTGCGCCCCAACCGTGAAAGACGACCAGGTATCTTCGACGTATGGTTGCTCAAAGCATGGTGAAAATGAAGGATATGGCATTGTGGAAGTGGAGGAATGTGGAAGGTTTTCGGCGACGACAATGTTTGCGCGAAACACGTTGGCGGCCACGGCCATGGGATAGCCATTATTCGTGGCTGATAAGCCTGTGGCTGCAATGGAGCTTTCTTTGATTTGTTCGTTCAATCTGTTCACGGATGACCGCGAGATGAGGAGAATGGGGCTCTCATTGGAAAGGAGGATAGGGTTCGATTTGCCTTGGTTCGCTCGAGAATAATTATTCGTAGCTCGCTGGCTGGTTTCTAGCGGGAAGGAGCCGGGCATTTGGTTTCGTGATATAGGATGTTGAGAAGGAGGTAGAGAGGTCCTCGCATGTCGCGAGTAACTCTGTGGGGGAAATCGAGCTAATGTACAAGGAACTCCAAGTAGGTCAGAGAAAAAGGAAGATACTTCTGCAGACGAGTAGACCTGAATGATGACTCGGTCACCACAGACCAAAGACGACTTTCGCACAGAGGAGGAGCTCTGACAATTCCCTATCTCAGCAGGGACTAGTTGTGCATCATTCCTGCGTAAGGAGATATCCAGCTGGCGTCTCCCCGTGGTGAATTCACCGGTAATGCGGAGAAATCCCCTGCCAAGGTCCAAAATGGGCTTGATTAATGCCATGCGAGGGTATCTTTTCTGACTCAGGGCAGCACCCGTGCCTTGGTGGACGATGCACCATTCACGGTCCCATTCAAGCCCTTCAGGATGCACTTGCCAGGTCACTCCTGGTGGCACAGGGAAGCCCGAGCAGCTCTTTATAGGATATACGCAGAGACTCTCCACGTAGAACCGGTTAGTTTCTGCTAATTTGATCATAGACAGGTCCATAGGCGGAGAAAGAGGAGCCCGTTCAGCGTAAAACTCCGCAATGAACGCTACAAAACGATCAATGTCTCGAGAGCTAGTCATGGCTCCGAGACTTAAGCGCAACGCTCCAGTTGGCTTGCCTTGCATGATGTCGTGTTCATCACCGCATCGCTGGCCAGCGGTGTAGTTTGCTTCCATTTCCTCGTGGCTCAAACCAAGTAGACTTGCTGTACCACCAGGATTGCAAAGGGTGCCGGATCGTATATGAATAGCCTTGACAGAAGCGAGCTTCTCAATTTCAGACTTGCCCAACCAGCCACCATTGCTATCCAAGAGATTGAGCGCAAGTATTGGACCTTGGCTGGTCGGATCCTCATATGAACAGCCCGACATGTAAAAGTTGCACACAGGCATCCCATTCGCGTGTTTAATCAATGAGAGTCGATTATATAGTTGCTGAGATAGAAAACTGGTATGAGCTGAGATGTTGGACATTGACCCATATAAGCGGTTGTGTACACGCAACGCCGAGTCCAGCGCTATTATATTGTGGAACGGAAGGGTTCCGTCTTCAAGCTGTTCATGAATAGATGTTTGCTTCTTAGCATGCCACTGGTGACCAACAGTCACCATATCCACGGTTCCTCCTCCGAAAAACTTTCGATGCTTAAATATATGCCCCGATTCTTTTCGGACAATGAGAGCCCCGAGATCAGGGAAACCAAAGATCTTGTAAAAGCTGACAACAGTGAAGTCCGGGCAGATGCGGGGGTCGCTAAGGTCCAATGGCGCAGTCGAGACAAGACTCGCGGCATCTAGTAGCGTGAAAGTGGTTTGTCCTCGGAGGTTTCGAATTTGATCGCACCATCGTAGAGGAAGTCGGCGGCCATTCATGTTTGACTGCGCAGGGTACGCAAAGAGCTTGGTGTCATCGTTGTCCTTAAAGCTAGGTTCATTGTTGACCCATTGTCGAACCTCATCGTCCGTTGTGAAGCAATGATTGCCCAGATCCGCAAGTTCTCTCACTCCCACCAGGCTGGTATGAGAATCAACATGATAGCCGTACCAGAATCCGCGCTGACCGCTACCAGCTAAGAAATCTCGTAGAGTGTCTGCCACTAACTTGATGCCCGCCGTTGCGTTGGGGACAAAGACAAGGTCATATACATCTGGGTCGGCATTGAAAAATCGTAAAGCTTGCAATCTGATGTCTTCGATACGGCTGGAAGTCAGCTGAGAAGACGCCGATGCCGAATGCGGATTGCCAAAAAGGTTCTCAGTCAGATCGCGAGAATAGTTTTCAACCAGAGATCTGGCATATAAAGCGGTGCCAGCATGATCGAGATATGTGGTGTCTAAGTCGAGCGAATCAGTATGGACGCATCACAGTATTTTATAGTAAAAAGGAACGGACCAACCTCGCAATGACGGGTATTCACGATCTCGAATTTCATCTATAGCCTCAGGATAAAACTCCCGGCCAATAATATCCAGCTTCTCATCCGCCATGGTGAGGGTAGCGAAGGGCGCAGGATAAGAGGATTCATCGAAGGATGAGTGGCGACATCAGGAAACTGTTTTTTTTTTTCTTTCCAAAGCTTGGATTAACGGTCGTCATTGGATGATGAGCGAGAAAAACGCAGCAAGAATTGCAGAAGCGATAGGTATTAATATCAGAGCGATTATCCTGTAGGATGGAGTTTTATCGTCGCATGAAGCTAGAAAAGCAGGGTCATGGCGGAGCTGGCCGACGGAGCCTTTTGCTATCAAGCGGTTCGTATAGCAATTGAACGGGGGGGTTAATGCCCGCTAGTTTCGTACATGTATATGTATAATGGAGACCGATTATTGAATAGCCAGCAGGCGAAAGCTTGGAAAGAAAAAGATGTAGCTGGATGATGAGAGAATCAGCGATGCCTTCCCGATTTGCGCAGATGGACGGCGGATGTCGCCGTTGCGGGGATGACGTCTGAGGCCCACATTAGATATTTATTTGATCGTTGTCATTCACTCGTGCTAAGTTACATACATGCTGTGCAATATTCACAGGAAGATTCATAAAGCATAGAAATACATCCATCCATCCATCCATCCATCCATACATACATACGTCAAGCGTTGCAAAATATCCAAAATCAAGTCATTGCACAAGCCAGGAGGAACGAGAGATGGTGTTCCCACTGGCGACGAGAACGAGCAGTTCATAATTTTTGCCTCTATTTTAACCTTTTTTTTTGCCTGTTATTTGCCCTTATTTCTTTTTCTTTTCTTCTTCTTCTGTCATCTCATACCACATAATTCCGTCGACTGCCTGAACGGCTGCGGCTATGGCGATGGCCACGACGACTGCTATGGCTGCGACGACGCACGACCGTCTCCCTCGCCACGGGCTCTCCCCTGTGATGGTTGAAGATGAACAAGGCCCAGATAGCCGAGAAGAAGAAGAAGACGACCTCCATAATGCCCATGGCGAATGAGGCCTTCAGCATGGAACACGTCTTATTGAAGCTGGGGGTCTCGCCGGAGTACACGATCGAGCCGAAAGGTCCCAGCGAGACCGAGGCGGTGGTCGCATCCCAGCTGGTGCAGTTGGCGCCGGCAATGAAACGAAGCTCGTATACGCCTGCGATCAACGCGCCGAAGAAGCAGAGATCGAGGAAAGCAACGAAAAAGGCGGAGCGGCGAGTGCTTCCAAAGCGAATCAGGGTGTCGAGACACCAGAAGGCGGCGATGGTGCTGACGATGAACAGGACCAAGATGTACGCGGGGGTGAGCTCGTTGGCATTGAGGAATCCATGGACGAAATATGCCTGGCATTATCGTGAGTATACTGACCGACCTAGCCCTAACTCACAGACCACCACCGCGGAGAAGAGATGCATGTAACTTACCAGCATACCAATGATGGGGATCAGAAAGACGACCTCTGACAGCCGCGTAAAGATGAAGAACACCTCGGCAATCATGTTGACGACGGTCAAAATAGGGTGGTGATGCTGCTGTATGTAATCTCCCAAAAGGGTAGTTATGTACGTCTGGCGCTGGTAGTCGTAGTAACCAGTCAAGCCGCGCGATAAGCCCCCGCTTGTCAACAGAGCAGCAAGCGATCTGCAGTGCTTTTTTGACAGTGGAAAGGGGAGAAAAATAAAGGACAAAAATTCCAGAAGGAAGAAGTTTAGCCAGATGACGAGACCGTGCAGATGCCTCTCTTTAAATCGGAGAAAAATGCAGGAAGCGATCGGAAGTTTTGTGGTGGGAGGCTGGGAGGTTGGACCAGGCGCTGCTTTTGACTGGCTGGGCCGCGATATGAAAAAGCGATGGCGGGTTGCTCATCCCAGCCATGCACGTCAGCCTGCTTAATGATAGTTATTAATCCCTTTTGTTCATTCTGTTCATTCTGTTCATTATGCATCGGTCTAGATGGCGTGGCCTGCAGCATTATCAGAGTCAGTATGCAAGCAGGCTTAGACTGGCCAATCAGCAGCCGCTCTGTATACAAGTGCCGGCTAGCGGTCACGATGCCTCAAAAAGCAATCCACCATCCGGTCTCCAATTTAAATTTTGTATACTAATCTAGCAAAACCTCCAAGTAAATACCGTTAATTTCCAACGCTGCCAGAGATATTCAACAGATTTATTGTATGCTGCACATCACACCTCGCCCGCTAGTTGCCGCTGTCCAATCCCAATTCCACTCTCAACGACAACGTTGGGCGGGCTATCCAGGTGGTTAGAGGAATGATACGTAGTATCATACGGTTGGTACGCTACTGCTGGTGGTGGGCTCGCAAAATTGGGACGTCTCCGGTCACGAGGGGCAGTCATCTCATAGCCGACAGGTTCGTCCTCGCTCGACGATGAGGAATAACTGTCTCTATCCCTGCGTGTATTGCTGCCAACAGCAGCTGCTAAACTTTGTTGTTGCTGAAGCACAGACTGACCCGAGATTTGCTGACTTGAGTGAGTAGCCAGCTGCTGGCCCTGAGCATAGATTGGCTCGCCGCCAGCGACACCGTCGGCATCATTACGAAGAGGCAAGGCATCCTCATGGTCGTTATAGACTGCTTGTGGTGGAATAGCGGGCTCTGTACCCCAGCTTCGGATCGGATATGCTCTTCCTTTCTTCCATGGCTCGGACAAAGATGGGAAGTATTGCCGATACGCTATCCAAGCACTGAGAATACCCAACAAGGAACCAGTAATGACATCAAATGGATGATGGCGGGCATCCATTATTCGACTCACAGCTATCAAGGAAGCAGCAACACAGGGAACTATGACGATGATCGTTTTCCAGACCTCCCCGCGTTTGTCCATGATATGCATTTTCCCACTGAGATAGAGTGAGAGATAAAACAAGCCGGCAAAGGAGGCTGCGATAACATTGTGTCAGCTATGGCAAATAATAGTAAAAATAAGACTCCAGACAACTACAGGCTTACAGCTACTATGACCTGAAGGCCAAGAACGAAACCCATCCTTGATAAGCTTGGGGTCTCCCTGGCATATGGTCGAATTAGACAGCCCATAAATAGGAGCATCATGACTGCCGGGCGCAGGCTGACAACGATCAATCAAATCCGGCCGCGGTTTTCCGCAGGCATTTTTGAGAATCTGCGTAATGACAAATGCCATAGCTTGAGCGAGGAACAAGCCCAAGATGCCGCAGTTCATTTCCCATAGTCGATCCTTGAACCTGTAAGGGCCCCTAAGCTTCCTTCTTCGTCGTCGTCGTCCAGACACCCCATCACTTGTTGACGGCGATAATGATGAAGGCTTATGGTGGGAAAAAAGCCCGTCTAATACCAACGTGAAGAAGATGATGATGACGAGTGGCGCGAGCAATGAGATGAGGATTGCTTCCTGGATGGTGATTCGCTCTTTGACCGCGTAGGGATACTGAAGGCTTTTGTTGTCCAAGGAAAAATGTTGGTGAAAGGGCTCAATCAAATCCAGCTCCCAGAATCCAATAGCAAATGCACTGTCGATTTCCTGGTTAATTTCGCTCACCTACGCAGATCTCAAGTTTAACGACTTACATGATGAATACATAGTCAAGGATATATCTGCATCGTAAAAAGGCAAATCAGCAAAATCGCGCAAATGGTTTAAAATCTTGAAGCAACATACGAAATAACAATCCGAGGGGCGAGACGCTTCTTGGAGAAGGGCAACTTCGTCGGAAGCTGAGCCATGACTTTGATGTGCCGCGGTGCCGTGACGACCTCGGGTGAGTTTCTTTCTCTAAATGCAAATTCAACGACGCAACGTCTGTTTTTTTATGTTAGGGAAAAATAACGGAAGTATGGTAGATAGAATAAATGGATGCCTGACAAACCCAGCATCGGCGGACAAAACCCAAGCATTGGCGGCAGTGCAGCAGACAATTGCAGGTGCACAGACCTGATCCACGGGGGACCATTCTTTGGTTTCTGGCAGGAGAGGACCGAGCAAAGAAAAATTGCAATTTCCAGGGTCTTTAAAAATAGCAGCAACGATTCATTGAGATGGTGGAATGATATACAAAAAAGAGTATGTGGTCTGAATGGCCAAAAATCCGAGTAGGATAGATATAGTACAGTGTTCAAGGAAGCCTCTACAGCTTTCCACCAGTCATCTCCTCAACCACCTTGCTCATCCTGTCTTGCTCGATTCTCCATCGGCCAACATCGTCCCTTGTCTGGTTCTTCACGATATCTTGGATGGTTGGCGGAGCACCCTTGGCCCAGACGTTTGTGCCTATGCCGCTGTCAGACAGCCATTCATCCCCGCCGTCCTCGCGGAACTTGGCCTCGATCTCCCGTGTGAGCTGCTCCTCGGTAGTAATAAAGGTTCTGGCGTTCATATAAAGAGTGTGAAGGTCGTTGTGGCGTTCTGCGGATTTCTGAAGCTGCTTCTCCAGCACGCGCTCGCGGGACCGTGCAAGTCGTGCATCTCGGTCTGGATCTGGTAGGATTCCATGCTGTGTCTTTAGAGCCTGTATGACGGAGGGATTTGTCAGGCGTTCATCGTCTCGCTCGGGTTGTCTCAACACACGCTCTCGTCGAGCCTGCTTCGCTGCGCTGCGCCGCGTCATGGCCGCGTCTGTAGTCTTCTTTCGTTCATATAACTCGAGCAGACCTTCTTCCAGGTTCTTTCTCCGGGACGCTGCCATCTTCCGTTTCCATTCGATAGACTCGGCGTTGGGATCCCCTTTCTTGATGATTTTGGGCTTGCTTGGTTCGAGCGTAGCAGCAGAAATGTATGCCGGCGTGGCCTTATCCGGGCGACGGGCAGGAAATATTTCTCGCGGCACAGGGAGAGTGCCCTTGACTCGGGGCGTTGGAGGTAGATCTGGCTGCAAAGTTTGGGGCACTTCGATGTAATTCGGCGATTCGGGGCCAACACGCAGGTTGGACGAAACAGAGAAACTGCGGACCTGCCTTGTAGCAGCCCGATAGGTCCTGGAGAGTGACATTGTGCTGTTGATATAGTGTGGATTTTTCACCAATTGATGAAAGTCCAAGAGGTGAACAGCAAGATGGCTCCTTCCCGCGAAGTTGCTCGACTGCCAATTTTCATGGACGTGGCCCGTGCACCACTAGCTCCGGTCGGCGTTTAATTTTTTTTTAATTTTCATTTTCTCCCTCTACCCGCCTTCAACTCTCTTCTCTCCTCTCTGTACCACTCCTCTTCTCCTCTGCCCTTTTTTGTCAACAAGAGGAGAGGAATTAAAAGCATCATAGCCATGGGTACCGGAAAGAAGGAAGCCTCTCGCAGAGAGCGCCAGGGGAAGGTGGGCGATGGCATGGCCAATGTCCGCACCAAAGGCGAGAACTTTTATCGGTGAGTGAGCCCATGTTCATCTCAAGTCGGATACCTTTTTCTTTTCTAATATGGCCGTGCAGCGATGCGAAGAAGGTCCGCCATCTTAACATGTACAAAGATGGCAAGGCCAAGCACGACGCCGAAGGAAATGTTGTCAAAGCTGCTTCGTACCAGTCGCGAGAGCTCCCCAATGCTCGGATTGAGCCAAATCGCAAGTGGTTCGGCAATACCAGGGTGATATCACAAGAGGCATTGACTTCCTTTCGCGAAGCGGTCGCCGAGCGAGCTTCAGACCCTTACCAGGTGCTTTTGAAGACCAACAAACTGCCCATGAGTTTGATCAGAGACGGTCAGGAACTCAATGGTCTCAAGCAGCATCGTGCCAAGATGACAATCGAAACGGCCCCTTTTGGTGACACTTTTGGGCCCAAGGCTCAGCGGAAACGCGTCAAGCTTGATGTTGGCTCGTTGGAAGATCTCGCTGGAGAGTCCGTCAAGATGCATGATACATACCTGGAACGCTTGGATCAAGCTAAATTGTTAAGTGGGAGGTCCGGTGAGGATGATTCCGAAGACACACCTATCCTGGGAACTGCTCGAGAACATGTCTTTTCCAAAGGCCAAAGCAAGCGCATTTGGAACGAACTTTACAAGGTGATCGACTCCTCAGATGTTGTCATCCACGTTCTGGACGCTCGCAATCCTGAGGGAACAAGATGCAGAAGTATTGAAAAGTACATTCGTGAAGAGGCTCCGCATAAGCACCTTATATTTGTTCTAAATAAGTGTGACTTGGTCCCTACAAAGGTAGCTGTAAGTTGTTTCCACTAAAATATCCCTGCGATTGTTTTTTTTTTAAGCACCCTTCCCCCCTTTTTCCTTCTCATCCGGCCTATTGCCGGTGCCATTGCTAAGTCAAGGCTTCTTCCTTTGCGCAATATTTTTTTTCTTTTGCCGATCTCAATGGAAGTTTTGTCTGTTACAGCTTTGGTAGATTGACGCTCGTCCGCCGCCCAAGCTCTTTCTGAGTTTTGGGTTGACTGGGTTTCGTTTTGAAACGCTGTCGCAAGGATGTAGTAGTGCTTTGTTTAAGAGTTGAGCTCTGAATGCTATCAATATGATGGCCTTTCTTGTATCAGAGCTCTTAGTAACATCTCACACATTTCCACACATTTTCTCTTATATTTATGGTGTTTTTCTTTTCTACTCAACGTGCACAGGCTAACTGAATGTGCCAGGCTGCTTGGGTGCGCCATCTTTCCAAGGACTACCCGACTCTTGCTTTCCATGCTTCCATCAACAATTCCTTCGGCAAAGGATCGCTCATTCAGCTGTTGCGTCAGTTCTCATCGCTTCACTCCGACCGCAAGCAGATCTCCGTCGGCTTCATCGGCTATCCTAACACAGGCAAATCTTCGATTATCAACACTCTCCGAAAGAAGAAGGTCTGCACAGTGGCCCCAATTCCTGGAGAAACTAAAGTATGGCAATACATTACATTGATGAAGAGAATATATCTCATCGACTGCCCGGGAGTTGTGCCCCCGAACAGCAATGATACCGAAGAAGACATTTTGCTTCGAGGCGTTGTCCGAGTGGAAAATGTTCACAATCCCGAGCAATATATCCCCGGTGTTTTAAAGAGGGTACAGAAGCGTCACATCGAACGGACTTATGATATCAAAGACTTTAATGGAGATGCCATAGAATTCCTTAGCGTACTGGCTCGTAAAGGAGGCAGACTTCTACGAGGCGGCGAGCCCGATCTGGATGGTGTTGCTAAAATGGTGATCAACGACTTTCTCCGAGGAAAAATTCCTTGGTTTACGCCTCCCCCTCATAGTGCTGCAAATGAGGATGAAAAGATCGAAGGCAGAGATGGTCGCCTGGGAGAAATGTCCCGAAAACGCAAGAGGGAAACAGCAGCTCCGGCCTCTGAGGCAACGACCTCCGAAGCAAAAGACGAGCAAGAGTCTGGAGAAGACGATGATTTCGAGGGATTCGACGACGACTCGGAATCAGAGGGAGGAATACACGTCTCGGATGATGAGGAGAGTGAAAAGGGCGAGGATTGAAGCCAATCGTCTACTCGAGTTTAGTGCTTCATAATTTTTTATTTCACTTTGAAAAGAGGCCTTCTAGCCGAGTGCCGTCCGCCACGCAATCCTGCGTCGAGCTTGCTGCTAGGTCTGCTACGTTTACAGCAAACCAGCTCCGCTTGGCTGCATATTCCGATCCCGCATTTTTTCTGTCGAACTGCGTATTGACAGCTTGACACGTACTTTGGAACCAGCTAGAGCTAGAGACACTGCGGAGACTCCCTCGGGAGCATGTATGAGCTGGCTAGGAAGCAGCAAATCTGCGACTCCGTACAAAAGAGGAGGATGATGTCGCCTCACTGTTGTGCTACCCGTGATACCTAACTTATTGACGACCGTCAGTAACACAAATCAAGTCAAACCATTCAAATCAAATCCGATTCTAGGCCAGCGTAAGTAGTAACTGTCTTGAGAGCGTAGGACGAGCCCGCATCATGCCTGGGCGTTTTCTTTTTTTTTTTTTTTTTGGAAGTAGATCAGCTTCGCTACGGAGCTCACGTGGGGCACTTCGTTCTTCAACATCTCACAACAAACCAACACAACACAGCACAACAAGACTACTTGTCGATTTCTTCATTCCATATTGGGCATGTCAGAGTATTTCCTCCAACAATGTTCGATCTAAAAGACCGTTCCTCTCTTATGAGAAGCGAGCAAAACTCTCACTAGTCGTCTGAACTGCGACTGACCATGGCTGATGACGCACCGCGGTCAATGTCAATTGTTCCATACTCTTCGAATCGCGACATCGTACTGTTAGTCGTTTTATTTCCTTTAAATGTATTTGTGTATCACTACTGACCTCTGGGCTCTTTACAAAGCCGTCACAACGATTCTGTTGTTGTGCTCGACCGCGACTCTCAACAGCTCGTGCTCCGCAACGCGAGCTCCAGCAATGGCGACCACGACCTCGACTTGTCGGAATGTCCTTATTGCCACCGTCCCATGCGTGGTCGCGAAAATGAACCAGAAGTGCATGGTCCTGCCCAGGCGGATTTCGTGAACCCAGAGTATTTCCGTCTTCTGCACGACAGCGTTTCGAGTTCTGCGGCATCGACTCCGCCACCTCCCCTATCGCCGCGTCGACGTTTCGCTCAACCAACTTTGACGGATGGCTCAATTGGAGCTTCTTCGCCTTATGTGGAGCCATCTTCATCATCTCATGGGATCTCCTCTACTGCCTTTAGCCAGGGTTATTTCAAAAAGTTCTTTGTCGAGGAAGGCGAACTGGGCCGAGGAGGAAAAGGCGTCGTGCTTCTAGTCAAACATCTTCTTGACGGCGTCTCGCTGGGCCACTTTGCTTGCAAACGCGTGCCTGTTGGTGACGACCATGAATGGCTGGAGAAGGTCTTGATAGAAGTACAGCTTCTGCAACACCTGTCACATCAAAACCTCGTGTCGTACCGACATGTCTGGCTGGAAGATTTCAAAATCAGCCCGTTCAGTCCAAGCGTGCCTTGCGCATTCATTCTACAACAGTACTGCAATTCCGGCGATCTTCACAAATATGTTGTAGGATCCGTCCCGGCTTCCGCGACTCCGCAAGAATTGTTGAAGGAACGCCTTCGGAGGAGATCCAAAGGGCAGCCTGAGATACCGGCGGATTTGGCAGGTCCTCGCAGGCTCCATCTTGAAGAGATTTATTCTTTTTTCAAGGATATTACGTCTGGAATCCGCTTCCTTCATGCCAATGGCTTCATTCATCGCGACCTTAAACCCAGTAACTGTCTGCTGCATGATTCTGGGCAGGAATTGAGGGTTCTTGTCAGTGACTTTGGTGAGGTGCAATACGAGAATTCCGTGCGCAAATCAACAGGTACTACGGGTACAATCTCATACTGTGCTCCGGAAGTCTTGCAGAGAGAATACCCCGATGGTCCGTTCGGCAACTTCACGTTCAAATCCGACGTGTTCTCCCTGGGGATGATTCTCCACTTTCTTTGCTTCGCCCAGCTTCCCTATCACAGTGCAGACCTGATTGAAGAGAAAGAAGACATTGACGAGCTCCGAGCTGAGATTAGCGAATGGAAGGGGTTCGACGAATCACTGAAAAAACTGCGTCCCGATCTACCAGAGAAACTATACACCATTTTGGAGCAGCTTTTATCCCTGAACCCCAGCCACAGACCTACTGCGGACGAGGTTCTAGCCAGTATTCAGGCCGGCGTAACTACTGGCAACGAAAGCCGCCGATTTGGTCGAGCAAACTCCAATAGCTCTGAATTTCCGTCCAGCCATAGAATACAGCCCGTTGAGTCACCAATCCATGCTAACCCTCGGTCATCTCGCTCTCCAACTAAGAATATGCCACGAAAAGCCGGTCCTCTGGCTGTTCGATCACCGGCCAGATACGAAACCAGGAGCGTTACTGCAAATGCGAATATGAATGCGAGTAGCAGTAGCAGTAGTGGCATGTCATTTGACACAAACTCGGAAAGCAATCAACCGCGCAGTCGAGAACAAGATTTGATTCTCCGTCCTCGATTCCGAAGCCCGCCATCCTCATCACCGCAGCGTGCAGATGTCGATTCAAGTGACACGCATCGACGACATACGCACCCCATCGTACACAATCCTCTGTCATCTACGAGCCTGTCTTCCCCTCCTCCGTTATCACCGCCACGACTACTACCTCTTCCTCCTCCGCCAGCACCGCCAGCGAGTTTTCTAAACAGTAACGCATACCTATTCTTTGTCCCCATAGTAACCCTCGGAATCCAAATCCCAGTCCCCAACGCACGCCTCGTGCTGTTCGTCGTCAAGCAGATCTTGATCTCGCAGGCCTGCATGCCCCTCGCCGTCAACCCCTGGGTATACTATCCATTATTCACTCTTGCAGTCTTGTCCTTGCCCCTTCAGGGCTTCGGAATACAGCTACTTTCGCTTGCAATTCATCTTATATTCATGGCGCTAGGTCTCCGGACGGATAGTATTTGTGTTTGGGGCACATCATCTAGAACGCTATTCAGATGATCGCCATCAATCTGTTCAGCATGCTATTTTTTATGTTTTTTTTTTTTCCCTCTCCTGCATTGCACGTATTATTCCTTATGGAACCATGAGTTTATGCAAATGTATTGATGACGGGGAAAGTTTTCCTATGCATATACTATAAGTTTACCATTTCATGACGCAGTGAATCACGATTCTGTAAATATAAATTCCATCTGACCCACGGCATCAATATTATTTATTCATTCCTCTCTCCATCTCGGAGGTCCATTCTCTCCATCTAGTCAAAAAAAAATTATGTAGAAGGTGAAACGGACCACGCCTCCATGATCTCTCTTCCAACACCCTCAATAAATTGAAAGTGGCGCAAGACGAGTTATGGCGCAGTCAGAGAGCCTTCTGAATACTTATGTATTTTGATATCGGAACTTTGTATTAGTGATCGATGACATGGATCAAGTCAAAGCACAGTAGAATGTTATGACGGATTGTTATTGTCGAGGACAATGCGATCCTTCATAACGGAAAATTCCTTCAGTTTTCAAATAGAATAAAAAAAATTGCATAAAACAAATCGGGTTGTTACTAAAGTATAGAAAGCGGAAGAAAAATGAACTGATCATTTCCGACATATATTGATATATAGATAGATAGATAAATGAAGCCTCACGGACGTATCCTCGCAGCTTTGAACTTACTGACTTTCCTCTTCGGCTGATCGTTCTCATCTAATTCATAAAGCTCGTCCTGCGGCTGCTCATAATCATCATCTCGCAAAAACCCGCCACTCTGTTGAATCTTCAGATTTCGACGACGATAGAACTCGGACGCGACTTCCTTGCGGTGTATTTCGTCGTCGATTTCGTCTGGATCTGGCGGCAGCACGTCCTGTCTGTCCAAAACTGGTGGCCGTTCAATGAGTGTTTCTGCGCTGATCTTGCCCTCAGGGGGCTGTGGCTCGCTGCGTGTAGAAGAAGAAGATGATGATGTTGCTGCCGCTGCTGCGCTGAATATGTCTCCAACTTTGCCGGAAATAATGGGCTGAGAGAATGGCTTTGGCTCACTGGGTCGTGCGGGAAATAATGTGATAGATGAAGCCGTCGGGGCTTGGTCTGACTTCTTCAAGTTGGATTTTTGTGGTTGTGCTGTATTACCACCAATTGCCGCAGTACTCGAATCGCCTGGTGTTGGAGTGCCGTCATTTCTCGCAGATTTGAATCTTGATGCCTTCTTCTTTACAGAAGCAGGACCAGTAGTATCTTTAGTAGGACCTGATTTTGTGGTGGTAGAACGCTCGACGATGGACTCCGATAAAGGTGCAATGTCCGGTTTCACAACGTCGATTTTGCGTTCAGATTTCGGCTTCGATGATGCTGGTGGCGTTGTTGTTGCTGACTTTTCTGGTGCAATATCGAGTTCTTCGGCAAATGCAACTTTCTTTTTTGGTTTGTTCTTCTTGTCACCTCCACCTATCGTTTCTTTATTTGTATCCTTCTCGATCGTGACCCTTAGAACACCAGCCTGTGATGTCGGGGCAGATGCTGCTTCTGCTTCTGCTTCTGTCGTGCGTATCGTTTCTGCAGACATGTTCCTAGCAGGTCCCAAATTGACAAAGCCACCTGCCTTGAGCTTCTCTTCTAATTCCTTCATCTGCTGGTGGTATTCCTCTGTCAAGACTGATGAAGTTGTGCGCCCATATTCGTCCTCTTCTTCGTCTTCGTATTCATCATCGTAGTCGTCATCATCATCATCATCATAGGATACATCACTGCCTTCCTCGTCCATTTCAAGCTCTGCAACGACCTTGCCTACTTCGTGGAAACTGTACTCGAGCATCTCCCGGCGAAGCTTTGCGTCTTCGGGAGATTCATCGACTTCAGCAAGGGGGGCTTCCGAGTCTGAGTCATCGGAGTTCTCAGCATTTGTTTCCGCAGTTGTAACAACCGTATTTCTGACCAAGGGTGCTGTTTTTGCTTGCTCCTTATCAGGTTGAGTGGTCACTGGACTCGAAGGCTTTCCCGATTGCGAATCCGTCTGTGCTTTGCTCTCGATCTTCGCATTCACTTTGTCACCGCCATCAACCTGCTTCTCGTCCTTAGAGTCTTCCGGCACCTCTACACCAGCTTTCTTAAGCGCATCCATAATCTCAGGTGCGCGGTCTGCGGGTGTAGAGAGCTTGCTAGAGACGACCTCCCCATTCTCATCCAACTCTTCAAAAATGTCGGTAACAGCATAATTTTCCGTGGCGGCGTTCGGCCCAGGGCTTTCAATAGAAAGCAATCTATCCAAATCGGCACCTGCAGTTGCTAAACGTTTCTCAATAGTGGCAACATTCTGTTTAACATAATCCAGTCTCCTTGAAATCTGCTGGACGACCTGATCCCTAGATCGCGCGATGTTTCCCTGTTCATCGCCAATAAGGGCCTTGACTTCCTTCTCGTCCACCACAGTCCCCTCCAAATCGATGCCCACTTGCAGCATTTCAGCACTCGTGCAGTCTTCTGGCAAGTTCTGTAGCTCGTCTCTCAGCCCGTCATATTCGGCTTCCCAGAGTCGCCAGTTGTAGAGAGATTGTCGGAGTTTTCGCACGTTCTCTTCGAGGTCGAGCCGCTGGCGCTCTAGCTCGTCGAGCGAGTCACGTTGCTGAATAGCCATGTTGCCGCTGGCCCAAGGCGAGAAGCCAAAGTTGGTGAAGCGAAGTGATGGAAAACAAGATGGAGGGGTGAAACCGTGAAAGACTGCTGAGGAGGCAAAAGGAAAAGCAAAAAAAAGGCGGGAGGCAGCTCTGATTGGTCATCTCAACCCGAGCTCCGCGGGCAACTTCCGTAGCTCCTCACCATATAGTTAACATCACTCCGCCAAAGCTCACAGATTCAACAAAGACTGGGTCGTATAAGTCAATATGGCTGACCTGGATGGTACATCTCGCCGCGACGAGGACGGTAAGCATTACTCTTCACTAAGTCACCGGCATATAAGCTAACCATGATGCAGAGGTGTGCCCCATCTGCAAGTCTTCGAGATACCTCAACCCCGACATGCGCTTCCTCATCAACCCGGAGTGCTATCATCGAATGTGTGAAGCCTGCATAGATCGGTTGTTTACTTCAGGACCGAATTCATGTCCCGTCGTTGGTTGCAAGAAGACATTGCGAAAGAACCGATTTCGCACGCAGACCTTTGAAGATATCAGCGTGGAGAGGGAGGTTGACATTCGCAAGAGAGTGATGGGAATGTAAGCTTATACATATCTAGACATGTAGCACATGTGTGATACGTAACTTACTGACACGAGCAAATCCAGCCTCAACCGTCGCGAAGATGAATTCGACAGCAAACTCGACTGGGACAACTTCCTCGAACAACGCGAGACCATGATCATGAACCTCGTGACGGGAACAGACGTAGCCAAGACCGAAGCCGACCTGAGAAAGTACGAAGCATCAAACCTCGATTCCATCCGGGCCAACAAAATGCGAGAAACGCAGGAATCGTCCTCCTTCCTGGAACAGCAGTCATTCGAACAAGAGCAAGCGCGTCTACGCCGCATGGCTGCGCGGGACGAATACGAAAGAGAACACCGCGACCTCCTTGCAAGCCGCGAAGAAACACTCTCCAAACTCGCATCCGGCAGGCCCAGTGACGCCGCAAGTATTGCACGAGAGGGACAGAAAATCCTACTCAAAAAGTCATCCGCGCGCCGCAGCGAAGAGGAAAGACTGCGCCAAAAGCAGGCCTCGCTACGAGGCGAAAAGAGCAAAAAGCAAAGCCTTCTCGCGACTGCAGTTGCAGACGCAGACGCAGACGCAGAACCAAGCCTTATCAAGGGTCTCAAGAAAGTCTCCATCCCAGAACCAGAGAAACCCTACGATCCATTTGGTGGTTTGGAGCCGGGCCGACGAGATTATTACGTCTTACAGGACCATTACCCATCTTCATGGCTTGAGCAGGCGCGTAACAATGCTACGTTTGCAGCAGGCGGGTTTGATGTCAAGGAGTACTATTCACGCACGCTCCTCGAGGCCTTTGCTGGTCTAGGCTGTTTTATTGATGATGAGGTCACGAAGCGTGAAAATGCGAAGAAAGCTTCAATAGCTACGAAAGGTGCTGCACAGCAAGCTGCTACTGTTAGGGCATCGGATGATGTATTTTGAATTTTTTTTTTTTCTTTTGGGTTTCCGTTAATGCTACTGCGATCTATTGGGTTATATTGATGGGACGGGAGCTACACGCATAGCGATGGCGTTTGATTGATTGACTTCCATTTTAAGAGTTGTTCTTTTTCTCTTTCTTTCATTTTTTCAAAGGGCAAGGGATTTGAAACAGATGGCCTTGACTTACATTGATCGATCGAATTTTGAAGGTTATTCTATAATGAATGACTAATGAATTCCAAGGCTGTCATATTCGATGAATTACTAAAGACGAGAGTAGAAGTAATAAACTAACATTCAGCATATTTGTTGATGATACACATACAAGACAAACTTGAGACCAGAAGATTGTAATCCATGCAATGGAAAGACAGACAAGAAATGAATAAGAGACGATATAGAGAAATGAAAAAAAAAGAAAGGACAGAACATGAATCAGCCAGACTCCATCCAGTACAAGATGCACTTATTCACTGAACGCCGCGCGAGAGAAAAGAAATACAGTTGTGTAAACGAATCTGCCTCGTGGAATCCGCTGTTTGATGGCTTATGCTTGTTTGGTGAAAGAAAAACATGCCAGGGAGGTGGCGTTACAAAGAAACGATGGGGGAAAAGAGAAAGTAAGATGTTGTCAACATCTGCCTAAATGAAAGCTGAGAGTCAAAAATTGATCTGACAAGTATCTTCCTTGACACCACCGCGATTTGTTCCTTAATCAAACTCAAGAATTCCCAATTTCATCGTGGACATACCCCGAAGTCAGTCAACACGAAGACATGAGAATTCGAATCCAAGATGCAGGAAGCAAAAGAACGTAGTATAAGAAATCAATAGTAATGTCGACACGTCCACTGAATGAAATTCCTCTAGTGATCATCAAAGGACAGGGACATACACCTCTCATCTACAATGAGAGATCAGTCTGGAACCTAGACTTGATATCACGAAATTCAGTGTCTGACTCGGCGCTTGTGCAGGGCGATAGAAACAATCGAGTCGTTCATTATAGGTTTACTGAGCGCGAGGTATGGCGCCCAGTAATATCGGCAGTGCTCTCAAACCCTTCCCAAGGCAATTCATCGTCATAGTCGTCGATATTGTCGACTTGAACTGGGAAAGATTCATCTGTGGCATCAATCAATTTTCCAGCACCATGGACGTCAATACCGATGGACTGCAAGGTAACTTCCATTTCTTTTTCGGTCATTTCATGTCCATCTTGTTTCTGTCCTTCAAGAACATCGTACAAAGCGTAAATTTGATCGGCTTTGGTATCGATCTCCTTGAGCAGCTTCTCAATCTTATTGGAAAGAGACTTCCTCTGTCGTTTGCCAAGAGATGCATCATGCTTGGAGAAGGAGCTTTGAGCTACTGCCAATTGCATTTTGAGGTGGGAAAGCTCGTCTTCAAGGCCCTTGAGAACAGTAGCTAGCGCTACAGCCGGTGGACAAGACGGGCGAAGCGTCGGGTCTTCATTGTGAATAGATGGCTCAGGCATGCGCTTAGAGACTGGGACAGGTTTCGGTATGGAAATAGTCTGGCGGTGGTCTTCCTCGTGCTTGTGGGTGACCCCTTCGGGTAGGAGACGCTTACAGACTGTACAGTTTCTGCCATCATGACCAGCTACACTATCGAGGACTTTTTGAGCAGATTCAGAGAGGCGAGCAGGCTCCCGATTCGTGGTTTCTGGGTAGCGGAGAGTGATGTCAGGTAAAATAAAAGCTGATGTCAATTCCGGAATGGTTTTCTTGCGCCGAGTTTGGCTTGAAACTGAGTAATCAGAGTGGCGTCTGCGACGTCCGGCAACACTGTCTTCGCAATCACCTTCGTCTCCATTGTTAGTCGTAGGGTTCTCGCCAAGCGCAGAAGATGGACGTGCGGCCTGAGTCTTCGGTTCTTTTAAAGATGACTTGCGAGGAGGATCCGAGGCCACGCGTTTGGCCGTCGATGCGTTGACAGATTGCTCTCTCGTGATTGTCAATTGGTGCTGCTTACGTGCAGCCCTCTCGGCTTCGAGTCGACGGCGCAATTTGGCAATTTCGCGATCGTCAATAAAACTAAGGACGGTAAAATCTTTGTCTGCACCAGTCTGGTTCTTCACGTTGTCCCGAACATCCTCGTTGAAAAGTTCGGTAGTATCTGCCTCCTCGACAATGACACGTTTGATGCGTTGCTTTCCAGTGTTGGGCAACTTTCGTCGCTCGGTCTCTCCCGATCTGAAATGTGCCGTAGATCTAGTGGCCGATTCCTGATTCCCCGTAGCAGGTCGAGACAAGTTGAGGGAAAACAATTCCTCATCTTGGCGTTCTTTTTCCATTCTCGAGACTTCCCTCTCTACCATGCTAAGAACCCTACTTTGAGGATCATCCCGCGTGGAGTTGTTTTGTTCTTTAGATTGCCCTCTAGCACGTGTGGATCCGGACGTCCTCTGCGTGTATCCATCATTATTATCGGTACTGATGGTGCTATGTTCTGTGTGCTGTTGGGTCTTCGGGAGCGATTGGGTGGTTGTGTCGTTTCCGGCAAGTTGACGAACCAAAGTTGATAGCTTGGTTATCTGAGATTTGAGTTCCGTGTTCTCATTCTTGAGTTTTTCATTCTCTTTATGCGTGTCTTGGGTATTTAAATAAGCCACACCTAGTTGTGTAACAGCGGAGTCGCGTTCTTGAGCCAAGGACTTCAATGCTGATTCATGAACTTGAATCTTTCGGTCAGCAATATCAAGTCTGTTCTGTAGAGCCAAGTTCACCGCTTCGAGTTCTGAATTATGTGTTAGCACGCCAGTCAGAAGAATAACCTTGTTGGGGGTTTGCCTACTGTTTCTATCTTGCATTATCTTCGTATTGCCTCTCACTTGATCGCCATCCTCGCCCCCAAAGAGTTTGAGGCGGTCATACTGCTCCTTTTGTCGACGCGCTTTCTCGACTTTCAACCCATGGTTCTCTTGGCGAGCATCGTCAAGTTTCTTTTCTGCCTCGGATTTTGCAAATTCCAAGTCTGCGACTTTGTCTTGCAGGAGTTTCAGGGAAACAAAGAGAGCCTTTTCATCATCGGGAATAGGTACATTCTCCAGAGGAAGATGCGCTCGTGACTGTGATGCATCGGCATCTGCGATAGGGGGAGAGACGAAGCGTGTTGTACGAGGTTTGGCTTGACGGGTGAAAACAGGGGTACCGTCTTCATAGACACCTGAGACTAGTTCGGAGATGTTTGGCAGGTCCGGAAGAAGAATTGATCCATTTGTCACAGTGTCCAGAGTGAAAGTAGGGTTTGGGGCAAGGTCGCGTTTGCTACGACGAGACTCTCGAAATTGCGCGTCGCGCGACGCCGAGTCTACAGCAGCTGCGATTTGGGCTGACACGTTTCCAAACCGAGTGGTTCGTGTATTTGCTGGAGGGGGATTCTGAGGTCTTTCGTCGCTAATAACAGAGCCATCATATGTTTCACGTGCCCTGGCGTGCATCTCAGAGAGTGTATGACGGGCTTCTGCAGCACGGGGCTGGTTTTTTGAGCGGCCAGGCTGAGGGCGCGGGTCGATATTTTCTTTTTGCATCTGACTTGCGCGTCTTATTTGAGCATCCTTGCGCAGATTGTCGCCACGCTTTGACGCGCTGCGCATTGCCGACTTGGGCGGGGTGCTCGTCACGGGATAATCTAGTTTTATGGCGGGTGAAGCTGAGCGGACACTGTTCTCAATGCTCATCATAGAGTTGCGAGAATCGTCACGTCTATTTTGGGAGGACTTTTTCATGCCTCGACCAATCTCAACGGAGATGTCATCTTCGGTATCATCGTCATCAGGTGATGACTCCACGTCGGAAAACTCGGGGAAAGCACGGTTGATGGCAGAAGTGTCGATGGTGTACTCGGGGTCGAGTCGTGGCGACGTGCTTTTTGTTGTTGTTGTTGTTGCTATTTTTGCTCTGTGGGGGTTGCCTGGAATACCGGGCAGTTCATCGCTATGGTCAAGTTGTCGAGTTGAGACGAGAGCTTCGTTTTCGGGGTCAAAATCTGACATGGTCAAGTCGTCATACGGACGGGCCATACTGCAAGTTGAACGCGCAAATAAGCAAATAAGAACAGACTAGTAGAAAGGCTGGTCCATACGCCAAAGATCAATATGGAGCCTGCTGTTTGGTGTTGATGTTGTGCTTCTCTCGCGCTTGCAAGACGCGTATGCTATGTTGCTGCCAAATGAGAGGAGCGACACCAATGGCAAGGGATATGAGGAACGAGGAGAGGCAGGGGCTGCTGGTATTCCGGTTGATTCAAGCCAATGGAGACAGCATTGGGCGAGGAGTGTCGGTGGACAATGGAGGATTGTTTGCGCGAGGCGTCGTTTCAATGTTTACGGCGCGGGCGGGTCCTTCCCAAACAGTGCAAGCGCGCCGTTGGTTCGAAGCAGATCACCCAAGCTACATTTCATGGCACACTGAACCAACTATAGATACTGTATTTTTTAAATATTTTTCTAGCTTGGCTCTACCAGGGATAATCTGCCCATCTATCTCGTCTACATAAATGATAGCCTTCCTTTGTCAGTTATAAATTGTGCTAAAAACACTGCAATTTTAGTCACACAAGACTCTGATTCGTCCAAATCTTTTCAAATGAGAACCTAATTTTTTGCACGGTCTGCCTTTGATGCTCTGCGAATCAAACAAAAGCCATTAAACAAAAGCCATTAATGGGAGCGGCAACTTTCAGCCAATGGTCTCGTGGTGTAACGGCTCAGCACGTAAGGTTTTGATAACCCTAGTTTTCTTAAGATGGGGGTTCGACTCCCCCCGAGACCTGCCCTCAAGGTTTTTGTCTGAAGTGTTTTTCTTTTTTTTTTTTCTTCCCCTTTAGGATTGATTCTTTTAACAAGCAAATCTTCGCCAGTCGCACGAAGGAATCTTGTGTGTGAGGGGACGATTGCTGTTACATACTTCTAAAAAGGGCAAAGGGGGAATAGACAAAAAAAGAACATCAACTGTTATTGAGCCAATAATAGATAACTGAATGATATGAATTAGGATCAAGCATTGATCTGAGGAATACCCGGCGTTATGGATCTGTGCGATGGAAACAATCGACCAGTCTTCTGTCACGCCTAAGTTGGGATCAGCCGCTGAAAAGGTTGGATAAAACAAATGGCATGCCACACGGGCATTGAGAGGACCACGCAGCAGAGAAACATCGCGAGGTCGTTCGACGGTACGAGACGGATAGAGAGAGACTGAGGGAATAGGGAAGATACATGTGTGGAACAAATGCTACTTATAAAAGAGCGCACACAAACAAAGAGAAATGAAAAACACCGGGAATTTCCTCTATGTATTTATCTATCATAATCAATATCAGATTATTTATTGACATCCTATATACCTATCTACCTAATAATCCCATCCAAATCACCCGTTACATAACATAACCTAACCTCGCTTTTATAAGGAAAACAAAACAAGCAGAGAGACAGATAGACATGGTATCATGACACTTCACATTCGAAGTGGAAAGAAGGAAAAGAGAAAAGGAAAAAGGAAAAAGCGGTCCCTTTGACGCTGTTCGTGTGCATCATTAAGATAAAAAGAGTATTGGAAAAGATCCAGATATGCCCAAACGCCCAATGTTTCAAATTGTTACCTATATCAAAATCCTTTCAGATGAAATAAAGCCCCCCATTGAGCATCCCGGCCAGTATATAATCTTCAAGTTGGTAAGAATGAAAGAAGAAAAAATATGGCGATGTAATCTATGTTTTACATCTTCCGATCTCACTGCATGCCATATGTCCAAGTTCTCACGAAGAATTTGATTGTGTTGCCTCGCTGGCTGGATGGGGTGGATTCTCTGGCCGCTCCGAGCTTGGCTCGTGGGAGCCAGATGTGAGGGTGGTAGTAGAAGTGTTGGTAGAGGTGTTAGTGGTTTCAGCAACCGGAGTAAGCGGCGCGCTAATAGAAGGACTGGCAGTATCGATACGGATTTGCGGAAGCATATCTGTCAATAATTGTCCTCTGGTACCTGAAATGGGACTCTCGTAAGCGGGTGCTTCACCCCAGTCGTCATAGTCATAACTCGGAGGAGGGATTTGCGCAGTGCTGAGATCTCCTTCGTCCACTTCGCCCGTGGTGTTGCCATCGCCGGAGTGAATGCTAGCGCTGATAGTACTAATTCCAGACACGGAAGAACGAGCCTGGCTCCGAACGGTCAGGATTGACTGGGTGGATTGGCGAGAAGTTTCCAGTAGGGGACGATGGTCAGAATCGGCCGAGTTGGCTCGAATACGCGATCCATCGTGACGCACGTGCCCAATGTCGGCATAGCTCACGGAAGCGAATCGTTGGTGACGATCTCGAGACTGGTGCTCAGCCAGCATGGCACTAGCACTGGGTCTATCGCGATTTTGGCGCGAGGCCATACTGGCCCTGCTTAATTGCATAAGGCGTTCTGTGTCGCCTGCAGCGCGGGCTTCTTGGCGCTGTCGTCGGCGTTCATCACGTTCGGCCAGTTCTTCGCGGCGCCTCACTCGGATCTGATACAAAGACTCCATTTCTTCCTCCCGACGATTCTCCTGTTCTTCGGCCGTCTCGGGGAATTCAACGACCAAATCCATCCCGCTACGCTCTCCCTCGCGTGCAATCACCTGTTCTTCATCCTTTGGAAGTCGACTATAGGAAGGCAGTGTAATGATGGATCGTATCGAGCGTATGGATTGTCCGCGCTGCGGGGGGTTCGAGGAGATATCATTGCGTGCGGCGGCGTCAGCGATGGGAGTTGCTACATTGGTCGAGAGCGTTGTGGTCATCTGTCGATTATGCTTCGCAACACCTGCAAGTTTTCAACATTAGCCGGAGAGGGTTTTCGATTCGGGATTATATCAAGGAGAGATGATACCTCTTGGTGTCCATTTCCACCAAAGATTCTTCAAATAATTCCCAGGAAGAAGTCTCGGTTTCGCTTCTCTCTTTCGTAGGCGTCGTGCAGTCATGAATATCAACCCTGTCGCCAAAAGAGTAAACCCGACAACAATAGCAACCTATGAAAAGCCCACCCCCAAAGCCAGTCAGCAAATTACCCTGATTGGGAAAAGGAAAGAAAAAAAAAAAAAAAAAAAAAAAAAAAACACGAGAGAGAAGGAAGAAGAGCACATACCGTGATGCCCGTCATGGTGCCGGTAGCCATGCCACTCCGGACAGCAAGACGCTGCCGGGTGGGTAACTGAGGAATGTACATTCTTGTGACTGGGCCAATCGATGAGGAAGTATCATCACAGAGCCATGGGGATGGCTATAGCTGTCGAGATAACTCAAACAGAGAGATAGATGTATAAAATAGGTATGGACAGTGGAATAATAAGATTGTCTCAGGTCTCAGAGCGGTCTCCGGGCCAGCCAGTCTAGCCCCCCCCC